AGAAGGTAAAATGAATAATGGGAGTATTATTCTGTTGGAGCCAAGGAACCATGACAGCGAAATAGGACGAGGGATCGCTGTTGGAAAAGCCCTGCTACGAGCGAAGAAAACTGTACCGGTGAGAGTAATGAACACGAATTATTATTCTGTATCCTTGAAGAAGGGAACCCTCTTAGGGTACTGTTGTTCGGTCTCCTCAGTCGTTCGAAGCGTGGAAGCCTCCAAAGTTTCGACTTCAAAAATTCCGGACAAAATGGTGAAGGAGTTAGTAAACGTTAAAGGATTATCTCCCGAAAATAGAAGAAAATTGAGAAACCTGATAATCAAGTATCAAGATGTGTTTGATAAAGGAGAAGCAGGACAGAGAGGTCGTACCAATTTAGTACAACACAAAATTGATACCGGAGATGCACGACCAATCAAACAAAATCCGAGAAGACTTCCGCTCGCCAAACGTGAAGAAGCTGATAAAATCCTTCGAGAAATGAAAGAAGAGGGTGTCATCGAACCATCTAACAGCCCGTGGACATCGCCGGTAGTACTAGTAAAGAAGAAAGACGGTACCACCAGGTTCTGTGTTGATTATCGGCAGCTCAATAATGTTACCAAGAAGGATAGTTATCCCCTGCCGAGGATAGACGATACTCTAGACACGCTGGCGGGGTCAACGATATTCTCTACGTTAGATCTGAAGAGTGGATATTGGCAAGTCACATGGCGCCGAAAGACAGAGAGAAGACAGCGTTCTCGGTGGGCACCGGACTGTGGCAATTTACCGTCATGCCTTTTGGATTGTGCAACGCGCCAGCTACCTTTGAGAGACTAATGGAGTCTGTGTTAAAGGGTCTATCCTGGACTACCTGTTTAGTGTACCTGGATGACATCATAGTGGTTGGGAAATCCTTTGACGATCATCTGAAGAATTTGGAAGAAGTTTTCAAGCGACTAGGGAGCTCTGGTTTGAAACTTGGGACATGTAGTCTCCTCCCAAGGAGTTGCGGTAGATCTACAGAAGACCAAGACAGTGGAAGAGTGGCCAATACCTAAAGATAAACATGAACTACGAAGCTTTTTGGGACTATGCACATATTATCGCCGCTATGTACAGGGTTTCGCCACCATCGCAAAACCATTGACCAGACTTACCGAAGGCGAGAGGCGTTTCTCTTGGGACTCAGATTCTGACGAGGCATTCCGAAAATTGAAGAAGGACCTGACTAGTGCGCCCATACTTAGCTACCCTCTTGGCAACGGAAACTTTATATTGGATATCGACGCTAGCAATGTTGCGTTAGGCGCTATTCTGTCTCAGATCCAGGATGGTCAAGAAAAAGTCATTGGATATTTTAGTAAGACCTTGTCAAAACCGGAAAGGAACTACTGTGTAACCAGACGAGAATTACTAGCAGTAGTTAAAGCAGTGGAACACTTCTACAAGTATCTCTATGGAAGAAAGTTCTTGTTAAGAACAGACCATGCTGCTTTGAAATGGGTGTTGCAGTTTAAGAATCCTGAAGGGCAGGTAGCTAGATGGATTGAACAATTACAAGAATTTGACTTCGACACAGAACATCGAGCTGGGGCAATCCATTGGAATGCCGACGCACTTTCCAGAAGACCTTGCGCTAAGGACTGTAAGCATTGTTCCCGAGCAGAAGAGAAAGAAGTGAAACTCCTAAGAACAACTGTGGTTAATGATAGTTGGCAACCCGAAGATCTTGCAAATGCCAAATCAGTGATCCAGAGTTGGGCTTGGTGATTAACTGGAAAAACGCGGACCAGAGACCAACGTGGGAGGAAGTTTGCAGATATTCGTCGAACGTGAAGTCGTACTGGTCCCAGTGGAATTCATTAGTAATAGATAACGGATTACTTCGCCGTGTGATTGAGAGACCAGAGGGACAAGAAGAGAGAATGCTGATCGTCATTCCAAAGAAGAGGGTCCCGGAAGTCTTGGCGGAAGTTCACAATGGAACCAGCGGTGGGCATCTTGGTGTTAGCAAGACCCTTGGCAAGCTGCGTGAACGGTTCTATTGGGTGAACTGCACAGAAGACGTGAGGGCCTGGTGTAAGAAATGCGACGTTTGCGTTGCTATCAATGGACCACAAAAGCGTGGTAAAGCTCCAATGCGCCAGTTCAATGTAGGCAGTCCTTTCGAACGAATAGCAATCGACGTGGCAGGTCCTTTCCCGGAGACGAACGTTGGCAACAAATACATTGTGGTAGTAATGGATTACTTCAGCAAATGGGTCGAGGCCTACGCGTTGCCAAATCAAGAAGCGTCCACCATTGCTGATGCTCTTGTTAAGGAATGGATCAGCAGGTTTGGTGTTCCCATGGAGCTGCATTCAGATCAGGGAAGAAACTTTGAGTCCAATCTGTTCCAAGGCGTCTGTGAAGTCCTTAACATCCGCGAGACCAGGACGACTGTTCTGCATCCACAATCCGATGGGATGGTTGAACGCATGAACAGAACCATCAACCGTTATTTGGCCAAAGTAGTCTCTGACCACCAAAGAGACTGGGACAAATTTCTTCACCTGTTCCTGTTGGCCTGTCGTTCATCCGTCCAAGAATCCACAGGGCAAACTCCAGCCAGCATCGTTATGGGACGGGAAGTGCGCCTACCTTGTGATGTGAAGCTTGGTTGCCGACCGGGAGAAGATGTCGCCGGAGAAGATTATGTCCATAGACTACGCCAAAGGATGGACGACATCCATCAGCGAGTCCGCATAGATATTCAAAGCGCTAGTGACCGAATGAAGGAACACTACGACATTCAAGCTGAGCATCGTGGGTTATCTCCGAAGCTACAATCCTCGTGGGAAGGGCCATACGAAGTCATGGATAGGATTAATGACGTCGTATACCGTATCAGAAAATTGCCAAAAGGAAAGCCGAGGGTAATTCATTTCAACCGTTTGAGCCCCTATCAAGGCGAAATAGAAGATCGTGCTGGGACCGTGAGAACCTGCAGCTTTGATCCCCCTGATTCGGAGATGTCCTTTGACGATTTCATGGCCCGATACAACAGCAGTCAGAAGGCTCGCTATGGTGTAACCAAAGAAGAACAACGAGACCTCTTTTTCGTGGCTCCTGATTATTCGCTCGCTCACTGTGTGGCCCGAGATTTGCGGATGTCCAGAGGAATCGCTGCGACGTTCAATGAGAAGTTTGGGCGAGTCGGAGAACTACGCCGACAGGATCCAGAGATTCGAAGCGTCTTGAGGCTAACCGACAATGAACTTGGTCAAGCAAGGCACATTTTCTACCTAGTCACCAAGGAATGGCCCCCAAGTGAGTCTCAATCTATGGAAGACCCTGATTGAACTGAGAGAAGCCCTGCTAAACAACAACATTACACGATTAGCCATTCCGAAGCTGGCGTGTGGACTCGATGGTTTGAGTTGGCGTACAATCCGGAACATGATTGAAGTCTTGTTCAGATTTACGGGAATCGAGATCCTCGTTTGCTGCTACAACCCAAAGCTGAGATCGGGAGAGAAAACTGTAGACTGCTATTTCTACCAGACTTCGCAATGTACCAGGGGCCAGCTTTGCAAATACCTTCATTCACCGTATACATCTCGGGACGAGCATGTGCCTAAGAAGGGGGGGCAGTGTTGCGACCCTGTGTGGACTCTTTCGACCTAACCTAACTATATGTCCCGCCCTCAGATGACCTTAACATCTCATTAAAGAATAGACACCGTAATGATTCATTCGTTCGAGAAGAATCGAGTCCCACTGAATGGACTAGTACATACGAACATTCGAAAACCTTCTCCACGCACCTAACGATCTATGGACTATTCTAGGAGTTCTTTACCTGTCGGTATAAAGCCGGCGGCTGTGTATTCTACAGGGGGCAGTTATAAATATAGAAGTGCAGTTGACGCGCTAAAATTCAAAATAAATTCTTAGTTATAAATCGTTTGTAAATAGTTCTATAAGTCTTTTATCGTTATTGTTTTTGTTAATTAGTGTTAAATAAATAGTGTTTAAATAAATTGTGACTTTCTATCCACACGGAACCGACGAAAAACGTAACAGTATTAACAAAAGTGAAAGATTCAGTTTCATCAGTTTTTCAATTGCTGAATGATCCTTTTAACATTTATATATCAATTATGAGGTATCTTTTTGGATACTTAATATTACATACTGAATTAAGTACACATTCAAAAGAGTACTTCCTTCAAATTCTCATGACGTTGCAAAATAACATTGCACTGTCCAGACTTATGTTCACAGTTAAAATAAAAGCCCGGTATATATTATATATGGTTACATATTTCTGCTATACTTTATATGTATGTTTAAAAAAGTGAAGCTAAAAGAAATTAAATTAATTCACACTTCAACAATAATCGTGGTCTATAGCTTGATCATTAGAAATAAATTCACATTTTCCACGAATAAAATTCTTAATAAATTTGGTTTCATCTTTATCTGGCTTGGAAATTTTGGTCTTTTTCGATGTACGCTTTCTTTGTGGAAAAGAACCTAATTTGTTTTTCAATTTCTTATTAGCTAGTTCTGCTTCAGATTTAGGTAGCTTAATAAAAAAAATGGTAAAATTGGTTGGTAAAATTTATATTATTTGAAGTAGTGGCCTCAATAAAACTATTTTCTTTTTTCAAGCAACTTGCAACATGTTTTAAGAGAGTTCTGTTTGGGTTTTTTAACAGGTTATTCTGTAGTTTTAACGTTTCAGAGGATATTATTTGCATTAATTTATCATTGCTTTGATAGGACTTCTCCCCTTTAAGAGTATTTATATATTCTGTTAGAGATGCTCTAGGATTTTCAGTACTTTTATGTTGAAGCAAATTACTTTTTTTAATTATTACCACATGAATTTGCTTGCAAATGGTATGTTGTATTAGAAAATCTGGACAAGTGCAACTATAGGAATGAATACATATGTCACAAGGTGAGCATATTAGGCTGCAACAATTTTCAACTTCATTTTTACAAACTATATAATTACTGTCTAACTAGATACAGATCATTTATAGGTAGCACTATCATTTTCATCTATAATATCTCTAACTTCACAATTACTTTTTACTGCAATATCATGTCTTGATTTAATTGTTCTTAAATGGATTGAATTTTTGCCTTTAATTTTCTTGATTACTTTTTCGAGTGCTTTATCTCTAATAAACAAATTTAAAGCATTTAAACATTTATCTAATCTTTTTACCTTTTTGCCGTCTAAATATATATGTTTTAACACTTTGTGCATATTTTTTAAACGCATATTAGTATTATTTCCACAATTTAAGCGATAACAATATGTCCATTGCATATAATTTGATAAATAATTTCCTGCAAAATATTGTCCAAAATTAAAAGTTGGCTTCATTCTCACCCCAATCATTTACACTCTTTGTTAATAATTCATGAAATTCTTCTTTAGAGTTTGTTGTCTGTAATACTTTTAATGACTGATAGACTAAAGTTTTAAGTTCTGGTGAATTTACTTTACTTAAATTAGAACGCCACGCACGATCTACGTGCCATGCACAATATAGTTGTGATGACACTTCACCCATTTCTTGTTTCCAAGCATTATAAAAGACATGTGTAATATCAGACATAAAAACCTTTGGTTTTAAAATACCAATATTATCTCTAATATTTTTAAACATCAATTGAAAAACTAATGTATCTTTACGGTTTGTTAACATACATGCTCCAGGAAATCCCTCACCCCACTCATCCACCACTAAAAGTGTTGTTAGTTCAAAATCGTAAGCATTCATTCCATGAGTACTGTCTATTGCAACTATGTTTTCCGCAAACATTTTCAATATGTCTTGTTGCACTCTGTTCATTATAATGATGCAAAAATCCTCCTTTTTTAAAATACCTTCATTTTCAACTCCCTGTGGTTTATAAAATATTATAGGATTGCTTTCCAGGTTTGAACATTCCTGAACAAACATATCTACACTAACAGCATCTAATAATAAATATGATTAGCTATTTTTATATAGGTAGGCTTTGGAAAATATATACAAACCTTCTGTATGTCTTACACCCTCATATATTTCAATATTGAATGAACGTTTAATATTATGTATATCACTACGTCTTAATAAATTAGTTCTATTAAGGTTTTCGGGATTAAAGTGATCCCTGTTCATACTAAGAATTCCAAAAACATAATAATGTGATTAATAGAAACATTGTCAAATTATTATACCGTAGGCATTTCTGTGTACTTACCGACTTATACTAATGCCACTTGCAAGTTTCTGAGCAATATCAGCCTTTTCAGTCTTTTCATGTCTATAATGTGATTTTAAAAACGTAGCAGAAACCTTCAATGTGCTCTCATTAGACACAACCTTGATTTCACTTGTGCAACTTCTATTCAGTTTACATGACCCTGTTAGCTTAATTGCTCTTTGACGAGGCTCTGATGGTTTTATATAATTTCCTATAAATATTTTATATCAATTAACTGGACATAATTTTTGATTAGATTGATATATTTCAGTAAAAGCTAAATATATTCCACACCACACCAATACTACATATAAAGTACATAATCTGATTTCCAAACACCAGTAATTAAAAATACATATGAATTTTTGTTTATATTTATATCTAGTGTGTCCTTAATGTCAGCTGAACCTTAAGCCACAATAAGCACCCAACGTAAGCAATACTGACCCTTTGGAGAGACTCTAGATATAGACGTATATTCCCGTAACCTATCAACCTTAAACCACAACAAGTACCCAATATAAGCGATATAGATTTATCTCTGCTTGTACCACCCATTTATATATTTTTTTAATACATACTATAATGTAAACTGTAGATTTCTTGGTTGTGTCCTCATCCATATAGACTTATGTAACAAGAAATGGTACATAAAGTTATGACTGACTTATCAGCAAAATATTGTATATGTCTTATTATAATGATCTTTGATTATAAGTAAATTTCGGCTGGCCAATTTTTTGGTATTCCCAACAGCTTGTATGAAAATTATATAACTTTGCTTTGAAACTTTAATTATAGCAGTTGCTATGCTGTGAAGAAAGATATCTTACAATGACGATTACATTTCAAATATATATAATTTCAATAACCTCTTCACACACACAACCCATTCTCATTCATAACAATAATTTTTTTCTCTTGCTTTCCACAATTTTGAACATATTCAACGTTCTGGGAAATATGTAGCTTATTTAAAAATATATGGAATTCTAAAAATAAATAGGATAAAACTAGTAAAATTGAAAATTACATATCCATCTTAATTTTAATATTACCAAATAGGTATCTACTAAAATACGTACTACGTACCTTCAATATTAGGGAAATGTAACTCTTCAGTTTCCATTTTTAATTTATGTACTGTACATAAATCAGTTATTAAATCCTTATTAGACCTAAAAGAAATATTACACCCTTCTAAGCACTGAAAGGATTTTTCATCCTTTTCATATACTAAAATAGCATCATCTTTAAATGTTTATTCTAATTTCCTATATTGGAAAATGTTTTCAAACACTTGTTGCAAGTATTCATGATTTTACCATCAATAAGTAACAACAATCTAAATCAAAGAGAAATTAAAATTTTAATTTTCAAAGCTGATAAAGTAAATAATCGCCCTTTATCGGTCTTCAACAAATCAAAATAGGCAAAATAATAAGACATTATAATTTATGTCTCTCCCTAGAAATAGTCTCTGAAATAGTGGAAACCTATTCTCTGGTGGAAACAGTCACTACTATTGAATAATCCAGTGGTGGTGTTATTGTATTGTGTTTTATGCCTTTAACTTAATTTGTGCTTATTTTAATTAATACACGCGTTTTAACAAATATTACTATATTACTATTTCGCAACTCAGTAAACAAAATGTAGGTACTTAAAAAGTAAAATAATATTATAAAGTTTACTGGAAAATATTATAAAAATTCCTGATATACAGGGTGGTCCGAACTGTATTCCGGAAACTTCGGCAGCATATTCTGCAGATAAAAATAAGTAAAAAAGTTTGTATAAATGTATGTCCTAAAATGCTTAGTTTCGGATATACAGGGTGTAGAAGTTTCATTTTTATTTCGATTTTTTCCCAATAAATTCTGCAGTAACGTCAATATTTGGATTAAAATTAGTGCCTGGGAGTTTTTTGACATGAGAAATTTGATTTTGATGTCAATATGACTCCTACTAGTAGAGGGCGCCACCTACATATTTTTTAACTGGTTTGAAGAGTAATAACTTTTCGTCCGTACCTGTATAAAACTACTGAGTAAAAAAATATACATTTACGGCGTTTTTTACGTAAAAAATGTCTCTTTGTAAAAATCACTACGAGTATTGGTTTTCGAGAAATTTGGAATCGAAATTATCAATACCTGTCATCACTGACATACGTTATTAGACTGAGATCATAAATTTGAAAGTTTTTGTGCCAAAAGTTCAACAGAAACTGTTTTATCATCATTTCTTTGCAGAAAAATTTATGATTGATTTAGAAAAATAAAAATTTCCCAAATTTTTTATTTCAGTGAAATAACTATCTACTCAACGTGTTTATTTTTCGTCAATAATGACATGTATTGACTATTTCCATTCTAAATATCTTGAGAACGGTTGCTCGTGGCGATTTTTACAAAGAGATATTTTTTACGTAAAAAGTAACAGAGATGTATATTTTTTCCCTTGGTAGTTTTATACAAGTACGGACAAAAAGTTATTACGCTTCAAAACAGTTAAAACACATGTAAGTAGCGCCCTCTACCAGTATGAGTCATATTGATATTAAAATCAAATTTCTCATGTCAAAAAACTTCTAGACACCAATTTTCATCCAAATATTGACGTTACTTCAGAAATTATTTGAAAAAAATCGAAATAAAAATGAAACTTGTACACCCTGTATCTCTGAAACTAAGCATTTTAGGACATACATTTATAAGAACTTTTTTAATTATTTTTATCTCCAGAATATGCTGCCGAAGTTTCCGGAATACATTTCGGACCACCCTGTATTTTCATAAAACACCGCACGCTCCTGGATATTTTATGAATGAAATCGGGCATGATTTTAGAAAATTGCGATTCCCTTACCGTTGCCCCGTTGTTTCAGATCCGTTTGTCAGACTGTATTTACTGTATTTTATTATTTATTAGATATGGGGGCCAATCCAAAAGTCCTAGTATGCAAAATTACTTGTTTCCTAAACGAAGAAAGGCTTTTTACGAAAGGGCGCCCCACCGTAAACGGCAAGTTGGGCCTTTATTTCGAAACTATATGAATCTTAAAGGGCAAATTAACCGCATTGAAAAGAAAATTGACTCGATCAGAATAAATCGGCATATTTTCAATTTGAAAGAATTGACAAGTAAGATACAAGGTGTTCCAAAGAGCTTATGTGAATCAGATGAATTAGATTTGATGTGTTGGCTGCTGGAAGATGATGATACTGTGGTAAGGAAAAGATTCACTTTTAACGAGTTATAATTTCATGTAAGGAATTAGAGTTTCATTATCTCTGTTTCAAGTTTAAATTGAATTTTGAAGAATTTTATATTCACCATGTAATTATTTTTTACAGAGAAATGATAACTTCAAACGTCTGAGCTTAGATGATATTAACAAAGTTAACCTTTTTTTTAAGAATGATGAAAAAATGTAAGTTGACAATATATTTATATTCACTTTTATTAGAGTTATTTACATTTGAAATAAATATAAAGCTACTCACAGATCAGCAAACACATGTATCGTGTATATCATCCTAGGATGACATACATGTATGAAACTAGAATTATTTTGTATTCATTACATATATGAGCTTGTCACGCATTGACTAATCTAGATGTCTCCATACATGAATGTCATTCCAGCTTGCTTGCTGATAATTAGTGGTGGGCGACCAAAGAACACACATGTACGTGTGTTCGAGAGTTTGTATTGAAATGCGCGCAAAAACGAGAGTTTGTATTGAAATGAAATTTTGTGAGCATTTGTAGGTGAATTTAGAGCATTTTTTAAAAATATAGAAAGTTCTACCGGGTGTCTCAAAAAAAGTTACACATCAAAGTTGCGTTTTTTCCCTATATATTAATTGATTTTCGGATTCTAGAAGAAAAATAAAGGTTGTGAGTTTCGTTAGAGAAGTATAGGACTAAAATGTAAGGTTTTTGACATATTTAACATTTTCTAAAAATGAAGAACAAATTTTAAATTTCAGTAAAAGCTATCTAAATTGGAATTTGCCCAGTATAGCCTAGTATTAGTTAAAATAACTGTAACTTGTGTACTTTAAATCAAATTTAAACTTGGCCCAAAAAGTTATACAGGGTGAGACAAAATTAATATTGAACATTGGTCACTTTTAAAAGTAAGTTACTCTATACAGGGTCCGGCAATAGTGCGTCGGGCATCTGTAGCTCCTAGAATAAAAAACTTGAGAATTTTGTTTAAGTATAGGGTGGCTCAAAAAAGTGTCAGTGGACCTGGATGATTTTTTTTAAATGGAACACCCTGTATATTATTGCATTTTTGGCTTCCTTTCAGATCACTTTACATAACCCTAAGATATGAATAAATATATTTCGATAGTTTCAGAGATATTAAAAAATAAATCAAAAATATATATTTTTCAGCCCTTCTTAAAAAAATTATTAAAAATACAGGAACTGTTTTGAAATCAAAAGTATATTAGGTATTTACTTTAGATGGTCTGTTCTTACTTTGCTATAAATATGGTAATCGTAAATCATACAGGATGTTCAATATTCTACGCCAAACTTTCTAAAATATAAAATATTTTTTCTTGTTTTTTTAAATGGAACACCCGGTATATTATTTTTTTATTAGATCGAGAGTTAAAAAATGAACATTTATTGTATTTAGAGTATTTCAAAATTTTTAACGGTTTCGCAGATACACGCAGTATTATTTCATATGGCGCTGTCAATAGTAAAATACGAGAGAAAAATCATTGGGTGGCTTTGATAAAAATTTACTGTGGAAAATGCCATAAGAAATGCCATAACCGCAAATATCTGCGAAACCGTTAAAATTTTTGAAATACTCTAAATACAAAAAAAAATCATTTTTTAATTCTCCGTCTATTGAAAAAATAATATACAGGGTGTTCCATTTAAAAAAAAACGAAGAAAAATTATTTTATATTTTAGCAAGTTTGGCGTAGAATTTTGAACATCCTGTATGATTTACGATTTTCATATTTATAACAAAGTAAGTACAGACTATCTAAAGTAAATACCTAAAATAGTCTTGACTTCAGAACAGTTCTTGTATTATTAATAATTTTTTTAAGAAGGGCTGAAAAATATATATTTTTGATTTATTTTTTAATATCTTTGAAACTCGAAATTTATTTATTCATATCTTAGGGTTATGTAAAGTGATCTGAAAGAAAGCCAAAAATGCAATAATATACAGGGTGTTCCATTTAAAAAAAATCATCCAGGTCCATTCACACTTTTTTGCGCCACCCTATAGAAGTTAAAATATTTTCCTGAAATAAATCCTGGTACATATTTTAGGTTTGCATTTAAACAAAATTCTCAAGTTTTTTATTCTAGGAGCTACAGATGCCCGACGCACTATTGCCGGACCCTGTATAGTAGAACTACACATAATAATAATTAAAATATGTTTTAAACGTGTGTCTTTTTATTACTGTTGAATAATTTACTGTACATCCTTTATTTTTGTTAACCTAACGAAAGGTATCAGCCTATCAAATAATAAAGATCTACCGACGCAAAATCATAAACATTAAAATACCTAGAAAAATCTTTGTCTAAAGGGTAAGCAGCCTTAATAGTATTTTGAAAATATATGAATTCTCCAAAATTTTCCATCGAATATCGGAAAAATAACTGGGTGTTTGTTCTATTTAAAATAAAGAAGTAACTTGCTTTTAAAGGTGACCAATGTTCAATATTAATTTTGTCTCACCCTATATAACTGTTCGGGTCAAATTTTAATTTGGTTTAACATACAATGGATATTTATTGGCTATTACTAAATATCAGGCTATACAGGGTAACTTTAGGCATATGCTTGTTTAATGAAACTCACTTTTATTTTTTTCCTAAAATCCGGAAATCAATTAATTATTATTAATATATAAGGTGTCCCATTACAAAAAAAAATCAATTTTGATGCATAACTTTTTTTTATTGAACTTTATTTTTATAAAATGCTTTCAATTAACCTACATAATATACTCCCAAAATTCCGTTCCCCTTGGAGCATCCGCGTCGTATGAGATGCGCCACCCTGCACATTATTGAATCTGTTCAGGCTAGGGTTCAGAACCGGGACTCGAAATTATTAATTCCCGGTTCTTTCGGTACTTTCGGGACTCGGTAATAATATTTAAAAACATATTTTTTCTTACGTGCGAAAAACTTTTGATACTTTCTAGCAGTTGAAATCAAACTCTTCTAAATAAGTACTGATGCTATATCTTACTGTTCTTACTTCTGAAGTTATTTTGAAGTTTCTATAATGTTTATTAGCAAGTATTGAAATTTAAATATGTTAGTTTATTGCTGAATGTATTAGTAGTTATATTTTTTTGTGTTATGTTTTAATGGGCATTTGTATCTTTAATTGAAAATGTTAAGTTTTTTTTTCTAATTTATTTAAGTTGGTTTCGCGGTTGGTTTTTTTCGCTTGTGTTTCATGTTTACTTTCTCACGACTTAATAATTTGATATTAGTTTCATTTGAAACTCAATTTTTTATCGGTTTTACTTTTGAGAACCATCCCTTGCTTGCTATACCGTGCTGGCAACTGTTACTTTTGGGTCGGCATTTACATGTGTGGAAGTAAATCGCATAGGGATCTTATTAAGTCGGAGTGAGAGAAATGCGACCTACCGACGCGACGTTGTGCTGTTGCGGCGTTGCCGATACGCTTTTCTTTATCAAGTAAAGTAAAATCACGATCGCAAACCGCTTATTTTTAAAAGACTTTTTTTTTCAAGAGATAACTAGATAAAATCATTAGACATGTTTCTGAGCATCTGAAATGGAATTATAAGGATATCGTTAGGGTGTCATTTTTTTTATAACGAGAAAACGTCAGTAATCGCGATAATTTAAAAACTCAACTTTTTAACACATAACAGGCCATAACTCAAGAACCACTTTAGATATTGAAACTTTTTTATTTTCAAGATCGGATATTTTACAATATGTTTACATAAGAAAAATTCGATAAGGTTGTTTTTTCCATTCAAAAATTGTAAACAATCCATCCATTTATTTTTAGAGCATAGCAATTTTCAGCAATAGTGTAATTTTTTTATTGATAAAGATTTTCACATACTGTCTACAAAGAAAATATAGCAGAAATATTAACAAAGTTCTTGAAAAAACTAAAATCTATTATTTCTAATAGATTTCGAGATATCGATTTTTGAATTCAGAGTTCTAATAGCGCGACCACTATCGAACACCCACTCAATTCCACTTATTTTTACCAAAAATGCAAGTGTTTCTAGCTGGCACTTAAAAAAATTCAAGCTATAGGGAAAATTACAACGACTCGTTAATAAATAAACAAATTAAGTATCACGAGACGCAATTAAATCGTGAAGCTGAACGCATGACGTACACCTTTTCCTAGAACTTTAAGTACTGACTGACAGAGGTATTGATTGGGTCGACCGGTCAACTGCGACAAATCTGCTATATCCCCTTCCACGTCTCTTAGCGATGTGCACAGTTTCTCGGTTTATTTCATACGTTTGGCAACGTGTTTACTGTCCTCTCTTGGTTCAGTACATTATAAACGCATTGTACTCTTCTTACATACGGAAATCTCGACCCAAGACTAACCTTTGCCAGCCCTTAGTATATTGACGAACTCCACAATCGTTGAACGAAAATATTTTAGTACGGTTCTGGAAACTCTAATTAATACTACCAATTAGGGTTCAGATCTTTTTGGCCATCACAGAACCGAGCCTCGGTAACAGTAATTAAAAAAATATTTTTTGTTACGTGAGAAAGTCCTTTGATATATTGATATTTTTTCTAGCGGTCGAAATCTCTTATTGTTCTTGCTTCTTTTCTCTTTGGAAGTTCCTATAATAATTATTATGTTACGTTTTAATAGATATTTGCATTTTTAATTCAATATTTTAGGGCTTTTGTCTCAAATTCAATTAAGTTAGTTTATGTTGTTTGATGTGAAATTTAAGTTACCTATACTTTCTTCTTTAGTCGTGTTCATGTTAATTTTTTCATGACTGATTACTTAATAATTTGATATTATTTTCATTAAAAATCTCAATTTTTTATCCATTTTACTTTGAAAACCCATTCCTTGCTTTCTGATTAATGAACTGCACCACCACTGATCAAAAATTAGTCAGTACCGAAGAAACCGGGAAATTCCCGGTTCCTAAGAGGCATGGTACCAAAATTGCCGGTTCCGAAAAACAGCTCCGGTTACGGAAACCCTAGTTCAGGCTGATCGTTGTACATGTATGGCACACATGTAGGCTACTCTGTGGGCAGCTTTATAGACAGTACATATTTATCATTTTTATTTTATACGCGTTCTAACGTTTAACTAGTGAATAGGAAGTGGTCTTAGAAAGATTATAGTAATAATGAACTATGTTTAATTGTTCGGAGATAAATACGCTATGGTAACAAAGATTTTGAAGACGCATCTAATGTTTATATTTTAAATGTCTAGTAACATAGTCCTGAAATAGATCTGTCGCATTGATAGAAAAAAAGGTGTTTAATTGCCTTTAAAGGATCACGGCATTAAATTTTTATTTCATTTTTCTTTAGCAGATTACTATATTTTTTCTGGATCACTTTGTACTAAAATTTTCTACGAAAACTACCTAACTACCTAACATTTATATTTCAAGTATAAATTTAAAGTGAATATGTTTGTCCTATTGATTTTATTGTACATTATTACTTAACGCATTGTGGTAATTTTTTTACCTAATTTTTAATGTGTATTTTTTAGGGATCAAGATTTTATGAAAATTTTTGTGAAAGCAATAGTTAAATTTGCACCCACAAATATGTTCGATTTAATTGGTAGAATTGTTAAAGGAGATCAAAAATACAGTCCAGATTACTTAAATGTTTATAAATATCTACTAAATAAAATTCATTATCTTGAGGTAATATACGTAGATATTAAGTAATATAAAATAGGTACCTACCTAATAAAAAAAAATTGAAATGTCTTTTAGTCATAATATAAATAGCTAAAATTTTAAAAGGTTAATCATGGTAAGTGTTATAGTAGACATTTTTATGGATAATTACTTATGGTAATCTGAAAGATTGGTTGCTAATGTAAACTAAAAATGTATGGGTTATCTCTAGGAATGGTATGGCATAATACTGGGATGGCAAGGGTTATGTTTAGGTCGAGATTTCCGTATGTAAGAAGAGTACAATACATTTATAATACTGAACCAAGAGAGAACAGTAAAAACGTTGTAGTTCTTTATGTGTTAATATATTAACGAATCGTTGTTGTATTTTCCTTATAGCTTGTAAATACATGCACACACACCGGCAAATTCGGTGCCGGAGTCGGCGCCGGCGCACACTGATCAAAAATCGCAAATTCGTAATCGAAATTAAGATCTTCTTAACGAAGCAATATAGGTAGGTCAAATGTCAAATACATTATGTTTAGAAATATATAATATAATGCAGATATCTGTAATGAATTTTTTTGGAAAAACCAACCCCAAGCAAGGGGTGAAACTCTAAGGGAGCATTATTGTAAATTCATGGCTGAATATCATACCATTAATACCATCCATATTAAGGCAGACTTATAAAAAGGAGATTTTCATTAGCGTAGAATTTACTAATTTTACGAAAAAAATTAGTGTGATATAATGAACACAAAAATGTAAAGTAAATGGACTTTCCAAATTGGAAGAAAAAGAAAAGAAATATATCTATAGAATAGATTTATGTATTTAGTAAAAGTAATCCCCAAACAGATTTAAATTAGTAAAACGACACGCAACGATTATGACGAAAAAAAATGTTTACAGAAAAACATGGTATATTATAAATAATATAATGGCATTTGTAATTAGTTAGTCACTCTCGCTGTCTGAAAATTCCTCGTTGACGAGCTGTTCCTTTTCCTCGTTATCTTGTTCTTCAATTCAATAACCAATAAATCTCTAAGTTCATTTTCTACTTTGGTTTTCTTGTAGTTCTTGGTAGAATATGAACTTATATATGGATCAGAACTTAGCAGTAAACGGTGAAAAAGATCCTCGTTTACTTTAAGCGCATTAAACTTCCTTGTGAAACTTTCTCTGTACCTTCTTATATCCTTGTTTTTTGATCTTGGGCCTCTCCGCACAATTCTCCGATAGAAAACATTGCATTCTTCACAAAGATTGACCCATGAATGAGAATTTTGTGGACTGTTGGGGGCAAGTATAATTATTGATGCATATCAACGCGATTGCGTTAACGCGCAGGAACAAATGAAACACGACTGTCTGGCGCAAGGGGCAGACAGTGGCAGCTGCACTAACAATTATGATGTTCATAACATTCCAAACAATATTGTAATGTAAATTTTAGCATGTCATCTCGTGTCTCACTAAAGATATTCTACGATTTACTCATACATTTTACGTAGATGGCATGCTATTAATAAATTACATAATTACTAAGCAGTATTTTGATAATTATAATTATTCAAAATAAAGAAGAAAGAACAACTCTTTCATATCATATATATTAGGATGTGATTACTTACGCTACTTAAGTATGGAAATTCTAAGAAAATGATATTGTTTTATTTATATTGTGCAATTCAAAGAAAATTATTGATTTTTGTCAACTTCGGATATGCAGAAATATTTTTTGGGAATAATGGCAAATGGGTAACTTGTTCAGAACTTGAGCAAGGGTGCAGCCACACTATCCTAAAAACGGCGTATCGGCGTAACGGCGTAACGACCTTGAATCGATTTCCAGTAATTCTATTGGCTGAAATTTTTGACAGATGAATTTGACAGATAAAATTTCTGACAGATGAATGTTTCAGCCAATAGAATTACTGGAAATCTATTCAAGATCATTACGCCGTTACGCCGATACGCCGTTTTTAGGATAGTGTGGCTGCACCCTAACACATATGAAATTACAATACTTTAATTTGAATTTCGTATGAAGAAATTGAATTCTTGAATTTCGATCACGAAATTGCGATTTTTGATCAGTGTGTGGCGTCGGCTTTGCACCCGTTCCGACAGTTGTAGAGATTTCAGTTCCGTTGTCAGTTCCAAAAGATTTCAGCTCCGGTACCGGCACCGATTTTGCCGGCGTGTGTGAAAGTGCTCTAACTGTAGGTACTAACCGTATGATCGAAAAAAAACGGCGTCCAGTTGGCTTGGAAATGACGATCAATGATATTCCCCATATAATTTTACATATAAAATGACAGCGATGTTCATTTCATAGCTATCGCTGACGCCGTTTTTTTCGATCATATTGTGTACCATAGTGTAAACAGCACAACAAATAACATTTGACAGTGATAAAATCACAAGTTGATAACTTAAGGTTTGTTGGCATTTGTCCGGTTTTGCATTGTTAACTGTTCATATTTTACATGTGTATTCAGCATAAAGAGACCTTTAAAAAACCTATAGGGTTTTGCTGTAAAATTATCAGGGAAGCCGATATTTGGACAGTTCAAAGCATGGGATTTCCTATGTTTCCAACGACCTATGCCTACGACTATGCACCACCCGGTATATTATTGCTACCCTGAAACTGCTCAGAAGAGCTCTTTGTAGTTTGTTTGCCGAATAACAGACTGCTCTCTTTGATGCTCTCATAATTGATTCCAAAGTGGTGCCTGATCTTAATAGCGTTTAAATAAGTCTTCGTCGCTTGTCTGGAATCTTCCTTTCTTATGTACTTCTCTCTCTGGGAGCTGGTACATATAATACTCTTGTATATGTACTTTTAAAGTAGATCAATCTAAGACGTTTCTGGGCTAAGACTACTAGATGGCAGGACCGTTTTCTCTGTATTTTACTACAGAATTTTTTTTTGTTACTCCGAATTTTGAAAATAAAAATCGATAATTTTCGGACTGTGCCAATTGGTTACTAATCGACTAGATACTTTTTGTCTATTAAATATGCTTATTAAAGCTTGTAATTATACAATTCGACCATTGTAAATACCCGACAAATTCTGCAAGGCCGACGACGCCGATGTTTCTCACTGATAAGAAATAAAATGTTTAGGAATCGATGATATTTCCCATATAAATTTACATATAAAATGACGGCAATCTTCATTTCGTAGCCATCGCCGAAGCCGGTTTTTTCAATAATATTGTAGAATACAATGGTAATAACTCATATATACTAAAGGTCGGCATTTCGTCCTATTGCTGCCAAAAGTCACTAACTAACATTTTTCCGAACCTGAAAATTCAATCACTAACTGTATTTTGAAGCGGAGAATCGATTGAAAAAGTCATTAACTACGATTTCTGGCTATTTATGTTGTATTTTAATACCGAATAGTTACTATAACATTTTTATGCAATGCAATTCATCTTTAGACGCGTTTTTCTCGGAAGTAATAAAAAGTAAGTTAGTGACTTTTGGCAGCAATGGGACGATTTCTGGTCTTGGGTGCCGGTTTTCATGTGTACGAAGAGTACGGTCAACACGCTTAGTAAAATAAGATGCTGAATAAAGACAGAAGGCGTGTATTTTCCCAAGCGCATGGAATCTAGCGTCAGATTAAGTAGTTATGTAATAAATACTTCGTATTTTTGCTCACTCCGACTTACTAGGGCCCTGTTCCCAGAAGAATCCCTGACTAGTCAGCGCGTTTCTTATTGGTTGAAATGTGTAGAAACCAGACTAACAATCAGGTTTCTAGGCATTTTAACCAATGAGAAACGTGCTGACTAGTCAGGGATTCTTCTGGGAACAGACCTTAGATCGCCACAACGACTCACTCCTATACATGTAAACGCCGACCTAAAGGTTCTCTTGCCAGCGGGGTATATAACTCATATATAGCGTGATAGCGCTGAAATGACAGTGAATTAATTTTGTTCATTCTTTAATGTCTACACAATCAAAACAAACTTTAATCGTACTTCAGCAATCATTACTATCACAGATTTGTCAATACATATGAGAGAACTCGTTAGTAAATAATACAATTACATATTTGATATGCAATTGTGAGTGAAAATTCTTTTTTTAATTTTATTAAACTATAGACATTTTATTATTTTAGAATGGCTTGAAAAAGAAGGCTAAAACATCATGTCAGCGATGGCGCCTTTATTATATCATGTTAGAAAAATATGAATCCATATTGGTGGAAGAACTGGAACCGCTTACAGAATTATGTATAAAAGAATATAAAAAACTTAAAGACGTTCAAAATCAAATAAACGTTGAAATTATGAGAACACAAAAAGTAATTGGTATGACCACTACAGTAGCAGCTAGGATGTATTCGACTATAAAAGAATTAAAATGTCCAATTGTTATTGTAGAAGAAGCTGCTGAGGTATTAGAGTCTCACATAATTCCTGTTCTAACAGGTAAATTTATAAAAAATGTCTATACCTTTGTGGAGAATTTGTTGGAGACCGCTGCAGCGCATTTTCAGCGCGCTGCATTGAGCTATTTAAAATGTCTAAATAGAACACTTGTTTTTCGGAGATACGTCTATTATAAAACGGTAGATGATCTGTTCAAATGAATTTTGTTCTGCTTAATATTATTTTAACAAATATATTAATATAAATAGGTTATTCCTAAAAAGAGTTTTAAAAGTTATAAATATAAAAATTAGCTATATTTTTCATATTATAATTTTAACGTTTAAAAAGGGCTCGAAGTAACTCGCGATCAGCTGTGCAAAATTTACTTAATTTTCCACTTTTGTGAGACCTCGATCACAAAAAAGTTAAAATAATAATGTTGCTCTGTTTTATTGCACCTACAGCTAAATGTATTTCTTATATTTCTAGAACACTGTCAACATCTCATTCTACTAGGAGATCATCTTCAATTAAAACCTTCTACCACTGACTATACAATAGAAACTGATTATAATCTTGGCGTGAGTCTTTTTGAGAGAATGGTAAACAATAATATTCCATACCACACTTTAAATGTTCAGTATCGAATGAGACCAGAAATTGCCAGTTTAATTTCTCCAAGTATATATCCAGAACTCACTAATCACGAAAGTGTGGAACAGTTTCCATCAGTTAGAGGTTTTGGAAAGAACATGTATTTTATAAGCCACGATAATTTGGAGAATGATGCTAATACAAGCAAAGAAAATACCTATGAAGCAAAGTTTCTTATTCGGTTAGCGGTATACCTTCTTCAAAATCAGTATGAACCCAAGGATATTACCATACTAGCTACTTATCTAGGCCAAGTTGAAGTTTTAAGAAAAGAAAGGAAAAAAATTCATAAGAATGATGATCTTCAGAATATTCAAATTACATCGGTTGACAATTTCCAAGGGGAAGAAAATAAAATTATTTTGTTATCTTTGGTTAGAAATAATACTGAGAATAAGATTGGTTTTCTATCTATTGAGAATAGAGCATGTGTAGCGCTTTCTAGAGCTAAGGAAGGTTTCTATGTTATGGGGAATATGGCGCAACTGTCCAGAAAAAGCAAGGTAGCTATATTATTATAGTATAGTAGAATAAGTTCCAAAAATATATTTTTTATGCTGTTTACACTATTTTGTAACTACATGTTCTACACCAACAAAATACTTTGTATCTCCAAAACAAATTATTTTAGGACATAAATTTAATAGGAACTTTTTTACTTATTTCTATCTACAGAATATGCCACCAATAAAATGATTACAATTTGGACCACCCTATATAAAATGCCTTTATAGGTATCTCATGAATAATTTTAATCATATTTTAGCTATGGAGAAATATTGGAATGACTTTCAAGCGTTTTAAAGCTATTGGCAAGAATTTGCCTTTAAAATGCCATAAGCATTCTGGAGAAATTGAAATAAAGAATGTTGGTGACTTTGATAAACTATTATCTAAAAATATATGTGAGATAGTATGCCAGAAAAAATCACATCAACATAGATGACGAATACGATTACCATTTGTGTGTCCATATTAGCAAAATAAACATTGGTGGATGGTCATAGTATGTAGACTCACCTTAATGCAAGTATATTGATTTAACCAAAGCGCGTTATATAAGTTAATTTCAGTAATGGTCAATCATATTTTGATAAATTTCAGTGTTTAAAAGGATTTCCTACAAAATTCTACAAATGTTATGGAAAAATATATTTTTGAATACCTATCATCTCTATTAATTTCTGTCCAACAAGTGTTAATAATTATTGCACTTTAATCCCACTTAAAAACAAATTAACAATCATCTATCTAAATAAATAGATCGTGGGCGTACAGCGAAAATCCACTAAGTCACATTTTTGGTTGAATTGGATTAAACCCACCACTATGTCCAGTTTTTCACAGTCTTTAACATGAAAACCCCATTTTTCAAAAGTCCAATTTCGGCATCCTTATAATATAAGGATGCCGACTTAATGTGTTTTTCATGTTAAAGACTGTGAAAAACTGGACATAGTGGTGTGTTTAATCCAATTCACCCAAACATGTGACTTAGTGGATTTTCGCTGTACGCCCACGAGATAATATATTTCTGTTTCTAATAATAGGTAGGCACATATTTTTTTAAATAATTCTTAAATTGAAATAAAAAAATCAGTTCTAATTTCTATTTATTTTCATTTTCCAAATTTTTGATTTTCTGACATTGAAATTCATTGTACTGATCTAAAATGTTATTCTCTAAATCAACCAGACATTCATCTCTTATGCTTTGCCTGATTTTTGAAAAAAATCTAAGAATATGGTGAACATTATGGATCATAATCAAAACCGAACCAAGTAACTCTTGTACAGTTAATAAATGATGAATATATCCTCGAGAATATCCATTACATGTAATACATTGGCATCCTAGAAGCAATGGTTTGAAGTCTTCAGCATATTGATTATGACGTAAATTTATTTCATATGCCTCAGACAGATCATTTTCATTTATTGAAAATGTAAGTGCAGCTGATCTTTCTGTTAATATCCTACAATATGAGGTATCGAATACATCTATACCACATTTTACAAGTTTAATAATATTAACAGGACTCCAACATCCACTTATTACCCTCAGTTTGCTTTCTGGCAAGTTATCAATCACTTTTTTCACAACTAATTCTACTTCGTTAAAAGGGATAAATTCTACTTCTGGGCCATTATTATGAAGTCCATCAATTAAATAACCATGAACAAAAGAATCATTCTGTAAAATCAGTTCAATAAATTTTTCCCGAGACTTCAAACAATAACCACCTACTACTGGAGCTATAACAAAACTATCTTGAAGATTGGATGACTTCTTTTGGTAACTAATGCATTGCTTATTAAAGGCAGCAGTATTTTCTACAGATTTTGTTATTCGTTTTTGAGAACTAGCAATATTAGTATCTCCATCAGATAGCAAAGTGTACATATCTGGTTTCAAATTATTAATCATTGCCATATATTTCTGGCTATCATAAAGCACTTTTCCATTTTTTGTAAATATAGGTACCATCTCCTTAACGTGATGGCCTTGCCTAGTTAAATTTGAAGGATCATTAAGGGTAATATATGATATAGTATCTTTACTTCCAACAAATTCTGAAATTCTTCCATCGTAATCCTGTATAGCATCATAATAATTATGAATGCTAACTAATGGTATTTGTAATATCTGGGGCTCTTTGCTAATTAGTTTTAAAACTTCATGTGTTATGTGTGGAATGTGTCCAGCTTGAGTATGAAGTAGTACTAACGGCGTTTCCATTTTAATTCCGAAATCGGCCTTAATATGACTTAATTCGCCTATCCTTGCTGATTGTTTCATAACATGTTTAACAGTAAATTTCATGTTGGATTTTGAGTTTTGAGTTCTTCGAATAACAACTAATTAATTAATATGAGATAAACACCGCAAAACATAAAATTTTAAATTTTAAAAATATGGTTATTATTTATGACAGATGATTTTCGAAATGCATAGTTGAAATGTTTTGAAATGTTCTATTCGAACCATAGATATAGCCGGCCTTGCGGCCGAAATGCGAAATAAGTGCGGTTGACTACCTATCTAGTAAGCACCATGTAAGCACTAGGTTGCTGGCAGGGTTCGGAAGTAGTTAATTAAGACGTAATTTACCTGATTAACTACGTGTAGTTTTTCTTCAAAAACTACGTCTTTTCCTGTTCGTTAACTACATGAAAACTACGTTAATAAACTACCTATTGATATTATGAATAATTTTGCTTTATATGAAGAGTCTAAATAATATGATGTAAATGGTTATATTTAAAGCCATATTTCTTCTGTTTTCTTAAATACATTATGTGTTTTCTAAAGCTTTAACTTATTATAACCTCACCTCATACCTTTGACATTTGAAAGTTACATACATATGTTACATAAACTCATCATAAACTATACACCCTCTACATAAACTACATTAACTACATGTAATGTAGTTTATGTAGTGTTTTTAAAAGTAACATGTAGTTTTCCGAAGCCTGGTTGCTGGTTCGAGCACGGATGACGTGGTTTGGTGGTACTAACGAGAATCATATAATATATAATTTTAAATTACCTCACATCTCAGATTCCAAAACGTATTTGTCAGATTCTACATTTTTTCAGATACACGTTTTGCTCTTATTACTAGTTACAACAAACAGTAAATTGTCTATAATGCCTATAACCCGTAATACCTATTAGCAGAGCTATTAGTGATAAACAACAAATCGCAAACTGCGATTCAATCGCAGCGATTTTAAAATCACAATCGCAACCTACGATTGACTCATGCGACTGTGATTTCTTTTATTTGCTTGTTTCCAATATTACTTTATTGCGAGTTGCGATTTTGCTGCGTTTGTGATTTTGTAAATTAGGACCGTAGTTCTATATATATTCTAATATTACACGATATTTTTAAGATTAACGTGAGATTAACTTAAGATGGCCGTCAAGAAACTTACTTTAACTCTGCTTAACTGACTTTAACTGTACTTTCGACGTCCTCCTATAGACCATTGTGCGAATATGGCGGTCGACATGATTTGAATTTCCGCGCTTCTGATCCTTCTGCCTACCTCTATATCTCTGATTGCAATAATCTGATCATGATTGTTTTCTTTGTGCCATGGATCATGATCATCATATACCCATAATATAAATATATGATGATCATGCTATTATCTATCATTTAAAGATCTATTATATAATTTCCTTTCTGCAAAAAATTAACCTATATAGTTTTGATCAGATTTTGATTTTTGATAACAAAATGGATAATTATACTTTGTGATTATACTCATTTAACTATGAATAAGAATAAGTTCTTAAATCAGATATCATATTATCTTTCTTAGGAAGATAATTTATTTAATTTCTAATTTTATTGTAAGCTTGTATTGAAATAAACCTCTTTTTGTTAAGTTTTTACGTGTGGTAAGTATCATAGTGTTTAATTTATCTCAGATTTGGTAAAAAATGCTCGTATTAAACCTATTACTATTAACAGTATTATACTTCTAGATGTATTCTTGATCTGCGAGCTGATGGCAGTACAATTGGGAAAAAGATTTAAAACAATTATTTTGCCAAAAGTGAGCCATATGTTTAACAAGTTATTTAGCGATAAATATTTACTTTACACAAATGTGGGTATATCGCTTTGTTTGTCAGGTGTAGGAGATATACTTGAACAAAACTATGAAATCTTCACAGAACAAATACCTAATTGGAACAAAGAGAGAACGAGAGATATGACCCTTTCTGGCACAACTGTGGGAGTTGTTTGTCATTATTGGTATAAGTTTCTAGATCGATCATTGCCAGGATATACAATAAGAATAGTATTGAAAAAGATTGTTATAGATCAGTTTGTTGGTTCACCACTTTGTATATCCACATTCTTTGGTACAATAGCATTGTTGGAGGGCTCCACTAAGGAAGAGTTTGTCCAAGAAGTTAAAGATAAAGCTTGGAGACTATACGCTGCAGAATGGATGATTTGGCCTCCATGTCAGTTCTTAAATTTTTATGTTTTGTCAACAAAGTACAGAGTATTGTTTGACAATCTTGTATCATTAGGTTACGATGTGTACACTTCTCATGTGAAACATGTACCAGTATGTACAGAGACTAAAGCCAAAGAATTATAGAACAGTTCATAGATACATTATGTTAAAATTTCAGGATCATACTGTGATACTTAAAACAGTTATATTTGTTTTTATTATATTAAGCATGATCATTGCTTACATTGTATTATAATTGTAAAAACAAATTACCTTTTCACATTAAAACATTTTACACCTGCCTTTTTTTGTTTCATATCATTTCATATATTGTAGTTATAGCTTATAAATTATAAGTACTTCTAAGGAGAAATAACATTATTTTACTTTAAACATAATACATTTTAAATTTGATACATGTTATTACTGTACCATATTCTGCAGCAAAAAAAAGTGCAGCTAATTTCACATTTCAAGAATTTAAGTATTGTCAGGTATTGTATATTTTTTAGAGGTTATTGTGTTTTATTATTATATAATTTAAGGTGAACTTGAAATTTAATATTTTTTTAATAGAGTTAGCACAGTTGTGCTAATATAAGTACATAGAGTTAGTACAGGGTGTGTGACTGTGATGCATTAAGAATTGTGAATCAGAGATATCTGAACCATAAACTGAACGATCGAAAAAAAAACGGCGTCTATAGTTGGCTTGGAATTTAGGATTGATGATATATGGATGATATCCCAGCCAACTCTGCCCCGTTTTTTTTCAGATGGTATATTTTTAAAGAAATTACAATCACGATACAAGGAAAACAATGTTTTTTTTGTATCATGAATTCCAATAACTAGATCAGATATCAGATTGTTCTTCAAAAAATGATCAATAAGATTGACCAAAATCCATCATTGGAAAATATATCTTAAAATAAATTACTATAATATAATAAGTTAACTATTCTGAAAAAAACGAGCAACAAATAATTAAAAAATAGGACGTTTATTTTTATTTGAAAATCATAATGTACATAATTATATTTTCATTATTTTTGTACATTTACCTAATATCCATGTGTTTGATATCCACCTTGATGACTTCCACCTAAAAAGTAATATATAGATTAATTATTTTTTATGTACTAATCAAACAAGTTTACCATATTCTTTATTGAAAAAACTTCAATTTATATACTTAATACAGACAGTTGTTGTCTGTTATTTAAAAAAAAGTAATTTATTTCATAATTTTTTAAATGCCAGTTACCGAAATAATATAATAATTTCTTTAGTTGGACAGACTTTAAATGCCATTTACCAAAATAATATTATTTTTGTTCTAGTTGGACAGACTATACATATGAAATAGTGACTAGTGATTGATAAAGCCATAAAGTAAAAAATAAAATATTTAGCGGTTTCATAAATATTCGCGTTTTAATTACATATTAAAACGCTCATGCATATGGCATTTCTACTCTGTTGAAAAACTCGCATGTAATATAATATTGCCAATATCCACAAAACCATTAAAAATTTTGAATTACTTTAAATACAAAAAATATTCATTTTTAATTTTCCATCTAACAAAGCAATAATATACAGGGTGTTTTATTAAAAAAAGTGAAAAAAAACCTTTTTTATATTAGAAAGCATGTCATATAATTTTGAACACCCTGTATGGTTCAAGATTACGATATTTATAGGAAAGTAAAGTAAAGACCTAGTATCCTTCCTAGTATAGTTTTGATTTCAGGAGGTTTCTTAGGAGTATGTAATTGTAAAGTGATCAGAAAGGAAGCCAAAAGTGCAACAATGTACAGGGTGTTCCATTTAAAAAACTCATCCTGATCCACTCAGAAAGGAGGATTCGTAATTAAATGCGGTTTGGTGTTTACTTATTGATTGCTTTGACGGATCGTTTAAATCGTTTTCCATCAAAATGGATATAAAATTAAATCAGAAGAATATAGTAATTGTTTGTTTCTATTATTTATTTATAATATCGTTGATAGGATTCCTCCGGTCAACGATCTTACCTCCTCCATGTTGTCCTCCTTGGCCACCTCCGAATCCTCCTTGTCCAGCACCGAATCCGCCTTGACCACCTCCTAAGCCACCACCTTGATGTCCTCCAAATCCGCCTTGTCCGCTGCTACCACCGAATCCACCCCGATGTCCTCCCTGGCCACCTCCGAAACCTCCTTGTCCACCTTGACTTCCACCAAATCCACCCTGATGCCCTCCTTGGTCACTACCAAATCCACCTTGGTGTCCTCCTTGACCACCACCATGTCCGCCTTGGTGTCCTCCTTGGCCACCATATCCATCTATTAAAAATTAATATCGATAATTGTTTTTGCTATCATATACAGGGTCCGGCAATAGTGTGTCGGGCTTTACATAGTCCTAAGATATAATCAAAATCTGTTTTGATAGTTTTAGAGATATTAATAAATAAATAAAATCAAAATATTTTTTTCAGCAGTTTTTTATGAAAACAAAACTATACTAGGTATTTACTATAGTTGGTCTGTACTTAACTTTGCTATAGATCTCGTAAGCTTAAAACATATAGGGTGTTAAACATCATATGCCAAACTTTCAAAATATAATATATTTAGTCCTAACCTAACCCTGTAACATCTTTTTTATTTAAAAGTATAAGTATAGATATAATATAGGTATATAAGTATTTCAAAATTTTAGACGGTTTTGGGCATATTCGTGGTATTATATTACAATATAGTTCTTTTAACAGTAATTTTTTACCAAAGTCATGTAATGATATTTCTCTGGTATTTTACCGTTGAAAGATCCATAATATGTAATAAAACCGCGAATATTTGCAAAACCACTAAAAATTTAAAATACTTTAAATACGAAAAATTTACATTTTTTAATTCTCCGTCTAACAAAGAAATAATATAGAGAGTGTTACATTTAAAAAAGCCAAGAAAAATTATTTTATATTTTAGAAAGTTCGGCATAGAACTTTGAACACCCTGTGTGGTTTAAGATTACGATATTTATAGGAAAGTAAGTACAGACCTTTAAGAAGGTACAGACCAACTGTAGTAAATACCTAGCATATACTTTTGATTTCAGGACATTTCTTGTATTTTTAATATTTTTTTTAAAAAGGCTGAAAAAATATATTATTTTATCTATTTATTAAGACCTCCGAAATTATCAAAATATATTTAGTACAATTTTAGGATTATGTAAAGTGATCAGAAAAAAAGCAAAAATGCATTTAAAAAAAATCATTTCGATCCACTCACATTTTTTGAGCCACCCTGTAAAATTTAAAATATTTTCCTGGTGTAATCCTAATACATATACTTTAGCTCTGTACGTAAAAAACTCCTAAGTTATTCATTACAAGAGCTACAGATGCCGAACCCTGGTTAATTATAAAAAAAAACATATCGATGGTTCTCTGCATGTCTGCAACACAGACCTACGAGTACTATCTATCGATGTAAAGATAATATAGTATCGAGTATCGATGCTAAAATTAGTCAAATTACCTTGTCCTCCTATAGATGGACTAGACCATGCTGCAACTACACTGACTGCCAAAATTGCTACCTGTAATAGAAAATACGAAAAAATTACACAACTTTCGACATTAATTAAATTATACGAATACATTTTAAATTATATAAATAATTTATTAAAAATAATTTGGATGAGCAATTGAAATGCAAATTATGCAACTAAGTAATTAAAATTATGTATTTTATAAAATAATTTCCTGGATCTAAAATACAAAAAATCACATTACTCATACAAAAAATACCAATCTTTATTGCCTTGACGGATCATGATCCAAACTTAAGCGATATAAGAACTATGAATGTAGAATGTTTAGGAGGGGAGTTAAAATCACCGCGACCTTGTACAGTACATCTGCAGTGGATTTGATGAGTCACTAGACAAGAGAAGTGTTTACAGAATCGGGCCTCTGCTAGATCTGTGTCTATGAAAGGAATGCGGACAAAAAACATTTAAATAAACAGCAATATATTTTATACGTCGACTTGACGAGACGTCACCGCAAATCGCTCCGCCCACTCATTTTATTGGCTACTGGCAAAATTGTAGAATTTTTATTGATGGAACGCGTTGTCTATTTTTTACGAAAAACATCGAAAGAATATCGTTCCCCTCTCACGGATACCCCGTAGCCACAGAACGGACAGACGTACTGTAGATCTATTGTGCGTTCCCCTTTCTTGAGTTATACCGAGTTATAACTCATCATATATTCTCAGGGCTTTAACAAAAGCCAGTATCTGAGACGGCTCCACAGAGGCCAGCTCTCCATCCTCGACATCAGACGTACCAAAGTTCATGGCACGAATGGTCGTCGTCTCGGCGCACTCAGTGATAAGGTGTTCTGGTGTTTCCCCATTTTCCCCACAAAATCTGCATTCGCCGTTGTTTCTCAGCTTCAGAAACCCCGTTTATCCTGTTAGAAACCCCGTGACAATCCGAAGATTGTTTTTACTTAAATCAAGGAAAACCTTTGATTTTTCTCGGTCGTAAGTTCTGAGGAACTTTTTCGAGTGTCTTAGACCGTTGGAGGACACCCATTCCAAGTTACGGATGGAGTCTTCCAGATTCTTCAGTTCCGCTTTCAGTTGGTTCCCGTTTGGAAAACAGAACTGTTCTGGTCCAGTTAGTGGAGTGTTCGCTCCTTTCCTAGCTAGATCATTTGCTTTTTCATTGCCTTCTATACCTTGGTGAGCAGGCACCTAGAGTAGGAGGACTTTATTTTCTTTGCCTAATTTGTTGAGCTTCTCTAGGCATGCTTTGACCAACTTCGAATTGATGGTTACTGAGTTGATCGCGTTAAGTGCTGCTTGACTATCAGATAGGATGGCAATTTCCTGTTTTCGATAGTTCCTATCTAAGATAAATTGTACGCATCTTTCGATAGCTATAAGGACTATACCTATATAACTATTTGAACAATATTATAAATTAATATAAAATTGTATGATATAAGGTATTGTAATAATATAAGGCTGTTTGCAAGAGTGATGGGTGACACTGGTCTTGGTCTTGCATAAAAAGCAATAATAAAAAAACAATACTAGCCAAAACTACTTTTATAAAAATTAATGTGGGTAATTTGTACTTTTATTTTTGTTCGGTTCTGTTGGAGCGCCGACTTAAAAATGCATCGACGTCAGTTCAATCTAATATCGAAACCTTCCAATTGAAGCTGTAATTAGCTTAAAATAGTATTGACTTTTAACCTACGTATCAGTTAAATACATTTGTGTTTGGTCAGTTAAATTTTAGTATACAGTTAACGTAATTAGAATGTATAGAGTCTCTAGAGGATTTCGATTCCAGAAACACGTCTATGAGTTTTTTCGCCAAAAAAACGAAAATTTGGAATTTTTCGAAAAAAAAATTCGATTTTTAGTTAATTAACATAATTTCTTGGTAATATATAGAAACATAGGTTGTAAAAGAAAAGCCCAGAAAAAAATCCGGTAGTTCCCAAAATTTAAGCAAAAACTACTTTTTTTAATTTTCAAAGTAAAACAAAACGTCGTTGGTAAAACAAAGTAAAACAAAACGTTTATCTTTTTTATTTTGCACGTAGAATCATAGTAGGCGCTTGCCAACATACAGTACAGTACGTCTGTCCGTTCTGTAGCTACGCGGTATCCGTGAGAGGGGAAACGATATTCTCTCGATGTTTTTCGTAAAAAATTAGACAAATTTGCAAGTGGCCAATAAAATGAGTGGGCGGAGCGATTTGCGGTGACGTACTCGCCAAGTCGACGTATAAAATATATTGCTGTTTATTTAAATGTTTTTTGTGCGCATTCCTTTCATAGACACAGATCCAGCAGAGGCCCGATTCTGTAAACACTTTTCTTGTCTAGTGACTCATCAATCGTATACAAATAGCATAAGCTAGACAGGAAATTTCTTGCTACGGAGCTTACAGAATCCCACTGCAGATGATCGCGGTGATTTTAACCAGCAGATGTACTGCACATCTGCTGGATCTGTGTCTATGAAAGGAATACGGACAAAAAACATTTAAATAAACAGCAATATATTTTATACGTCGACTTGACGAGTACGTCACCGCAAATCGCTCCGCCCACTCATTTTATTGGCCACTTGCAAATTTGTCGAATTTTTATTGATGGGACGCGTCGTCTAATTTTTTATGAAAAACATCCAGAGAATATCGTTTCCCCTCTCACGGATACCGCGTAGCTATAGAACGGACAGACGTACTGTATATCAACTTAAAAAAATAACAAAATATTGATATATAAGTAAACTGAATTTTTGAAGTTGACGAGTCGGTAGAAAAATGGAATTAAGCTGAGGCAATCTTCGCGCGATAGTTTTTACAATTTTCAAAGACCGTTGTCTCAACAAGAATGCCGTAACATCAGTCGACAATTTCTCGTTGGTATGGAGAACTTAAATGTGGACGGGTAAGTTTAAGTGACGATCCCCAACAACGGCAGTCACTCGATCAGCAAAACATCGATGATGTTTGTAATCTGATCCAAGAAGATCGGCAGGGCAAAGAACACAATTCAAACAATTTTGCTTGAAGTACTAACTGTAAATAAATTATTTGGACACCGCATCTGTTGACGGAAGAACAGAAAGTAATTTAGAGTCAATTGGTGTCAAAAAAATCTAAACTGTTTAAACGCAGGAAAAAAATATTTAGTATTTTCAGAGGTGATGATCCTGAATTTACTCTTATAAACCCGAAAATAAACGGCAATTGGCTGCTTGGATATTCCAAGATGAACCAATACCCACGATAGTTATACTTCTCGAAGAGTTTCCAAAAGATGGTGACATTGGTCTCAAAAGCGTGTCATGTGCCAACAATTCCTCTGCAAGATGAGAGAACTGTGTTGACCATCCTCCATACAGTCCCGACCTAAGTCCTAACGACTCTTTTACTTTTCCAAAAATTAAAATTGAACTGCCTGGTGAAAACTTCCAGAGTTCCAGTCCCCAAAAGGCATGTTAGTGCCTTCAAAAACGCTATTTTAAAAGTACCAACAAGCGATTTGAATAACTGCTTTCAGAAATGGTTCCAAAGGATGCAAACATGTACTTATCTTCATAAGGAATATTTCGAAAAACAATAGTGTTTAAAAGTTTAAAACAAGTTATTATTGTTTTTTTTCTGCCTCTATATGCAAAATATAAAAGACAACACTCGGATACCTGATGAGCCCAGGAAAAAATATCATTTGTTAGTATGTACGTTGGGCTAAATATCATAAAAGATATGTATGTAAATCATCTAGAAAATCATTGTAGTATTTCCTGGGGCGGGTTTATTGTAGTAGTTGTAATTTTGGATAAATTAAATGAATTGGTGAAATTATATCTACTTACGATTAGATACTTTGCCATGATCACTGCGTTATTCAAACGATTCAAACTACTACTGAAATTTTGTTTTCTTAGAGCAGAGTTATATATTATTTTTCGTACTAAAATTAATAGGATGTTAATATGTTGTCACAACAAAATTGAAATCACTGCAGGGGTCACAGTTTTAATTGGAGATAACCTAAGCATCATCTCTGCTTTCTTATAAATATAATTCATAGAAATGTATACCACGCAGCGGTGTGCATATAATAATTTTATTGCTGGAAATTCTAATATAAATAATAATAATATGTATAATTATTGCGTGCGATTCCCCTAATCGTTTATTATAAACATATTTTATGATAATAAAAAACCGGGGAAAACTTTCCTTGGTCCAAAATTTTCAGATTTTTACAAACATTCATATTTTCAGTAATATAGCAGGGCCTATTTTTCATCTGGTCGGGCCCTAAGGCACAAGCAAAAATTCGGGCCTTCTTTTCCAATAAAATTCAAAAATTCTCTTGTTAGATTGGGTTAAAAAAATAAAACAATTATTTTTATTTTTATTTTTTTAATAATTTTAAAAAATAAATAAACATTATTATATTCAACAAAATAAATAATGAAAAAAAAAATTATATCAATCTAAACATAATCTAAAGCTTATTTTATTTAATTCTATTTTCTTTATCAGAGGTAGGTAACTGTTTTTTTTTCTTTGCTATGTAAATTTACATTTGAAATTATGAACATTTTACAACCTTTAACGGGCCCCCCAGACCACTTATGGTAAAATAGGCCCCGAATAATAGCTCATTTGTCAAGATTTTTTTTTAACAGTTGGTCTTGGTGTCTCTTTAAGCTTCAGTTATTCAAGTACCTACCGTATGATCGAAAAAACGGCGTCAGCGATGGCTATGAAGCGAAGATCGCAGCCTGCGAGGGCCGGTCGGACGTTCAATAGCCCTAAAACTACTCCTATGGAGGGCTCAAAAGCTACACAATCCGCCTAAAAAGTCAAGGTCGACGAATTGCGCCGATACTTGTGTCTTTATTTACTGGACTATCAGCCATGAAGAAATTGTAAAAACTAAGTACATTATTAGTAAATAACTGTAATTAACATACTTGGATAAAATAACTGATACCATTTTGTATTTTCCATTGAAATAGGTCAAGCATTAATTATATTTTTATTTTTGCATTTCTATGTTTTTTTCACATAGTTTTTGAGAAAAAAAAATTATCATTTTTTTTCAAGACGTCAACAAGACCTACAAAATATACAGGGAGTTCCAATGTACCGTGGGTATTTACGTTGATAGAACCAGATAGAACAACTAAAGTACGTCTACTGGATCTGTGTCTGTGAAAGGAATTTCAAGAATTCAGACACAATATTTGAGTATGATTAATTTACTACCAAACACTTTGAATAAACAGCAATGATATTTTATAGATCACTATCTATTTTTATCTTCAATCTTAAGTACTAGATATCAAATTTTACTATTAATTAAATGCATTTAAATAAATGGCTACATTGTTGTGATACGAAGGCTTTGACGAAGGTAAACTCTTATTTTTTTTCAGTAATCATTATCTTCAGGGTTTAGAAATTAAAAAAAGCAATGGCTATCCTACCTAGACCTGTTCGGTGTTGAGATTTGAACACCGTTTTTTTTTTTAGGTGTTGATGACCACCGGTGTTTCAGTCGGTGTACCGATGTCAACACCGACACCGGTGATTATCTCAATACCGGTGTTCATTTCACCACCGGTGTTTATCTCGACACCGGTGTTAGGTTAGGTTGGGTTATCTCAACACCGGTATTTATCTGAACACCGGTATCGCTATGAACACCGGTGTCGACATCAACATTGTGTCGGCAGAGGTGTCGGTGTCGATGGTGCCGTTTGTTTGTTTTTTTTTTAGTTTTTTTAATCTAATATTTTTTAGTTTATTTTACAGCTACGAATTTTTGTTTCTTTATGTTTTGTTTTGTTTTCTGTTTATTTTTGATTAAACAATTTTTTACTTGTTCTTTATCTGACGCTCCCACTTTATTTTAGTGATTAGTCTGGCAAAAAAAATATATTTAAATTTGAAAGATTTAAGTTAAAGTCGGTGCGCTTTAATAAACGATAAAAATAACCACCGATACGACATTATTATCAGGTTTATTTTGAACTTGTTAATTAACATTATTTCTTCTTTAACCCGTTTACCAAACACCGTTGTCGTAGTCAAAACCGGTATCGAGATGAACACCGGTGTCCAAACCAACACCGTTGTCGAGATGAACACCGGTGTCAAGACCAACATACGGTGTCGAGATGAACACCGGTGTTGTAGATGAACACCAGTGTCGGTGTCAGCCCAGCACCGGTGTTAAAAACGGTGTTTGGAACAGGCCTAAATCTACCCCCAATTATCTTTGACAGTTAATACAAAATGGTTAACTACATATATTACATAAATAAGAGGCAAGTAAAAATGTTTTATTTTAAATATTTTTTATTTTTGAAATAAAATATAAACAAGTGAAAATACAGGGTCTCATTAAACTTTTATTTAAAATTATATCACGTTCAAAATTTTATTTTATTTTAAGAGAAAGATATTACACAAGTTAGAACAAGATATCAAATATTTATTTATAATTAAGCTTACTATTGGTATTGTAATTTTGTTATTTTCAAATTATTCTTAAATTTTGTTTTTCTCTTAATAGACATTAATATTTTCAACCAACTATTAGCAGGCCCTCATTAGCATATGTGTGTTCTGGAACTTCTAAATTTAGAGGAGCAGGACCCTTTCGAATTCTTCCAGAAGCATCATAATGCGATCCATGGCATGGGCAATAATATCCACCAAAATCACCAGCATTAGCAATTGGTACACAACCCAAATGGGTGCATACACCAATTACAACTAAAAATTTAGGGTTTTGTACTCTCTCATTATCATGTTGAGGATCCCTGAGAGATGAAACGGCAACAGATTGTTCACTTGCAATTTCTTCTGCAGTTCTGTGACGAATAAATAAAGGTTTACCTGAAAGAAAAAAGTATTATATTAAATAGTAGCATAACATTGTTTTTACCTCTCCATTTAAAGGTAACTGATTTTCCTTCGGGGATATCTGCCAGTTTAACCTCAATTTTTGCCAAAGCAAGTACATCAGCAGATGCACTCATTGAACTAACAAACTGTGTAACTAATCCTTTGGTAGCATAGACACCGCTCGCCCCTAAAGCTCCAGATATAAGATAGGTAAAGTTTTTTCGGCTAACTTCCGAATCTGAGCTTTTAACTTCTGGGTCTTTTACACTGTTTTTACGATAATTGCTCCAATCTGGAACATGAATGTCTGTGTGGGCCCATCTGAAATGGTTGAGAAAACATTAACTTCTAGATCTCATATGAATTGTTTTACTAATGATAATACTGACCTAATTTGAGATGTAACAGCCGGGCCTGAAGAGACAGAAAAGCTTGCATTTGGTAAAGATCTGCTCAAGGATAGAAGGGAGATACTTTGAGGAGCAACATTGACGACTTGTTTTTTTGGTAAAACGACATTGGCAGTCGATACATTTAATTGGTTACTTACAACTTGACTAACGGATCGAAGGTATCCTGATTTTATCATCGTAGGGAAAATTTTTATGGTATTTAATAAATTATGTTATGCAACAAGATCGAAGTTGCTTATTCAACCTACAAGTTGAATGAAAATTACGTCGGCCAATGGGCAAAGCAGCTGTCGAAAATTACAATGTTCTATGGTCAGAAATTAAGAAACTATTATAACCTGATTATAACATAATTTTATGGCTAATGATCTTAGCTTTTTATTATTAAATTTCAAAAAACAAAAGTACCTTTTCTCTGATAAATAGTGTTTGATGTAAATTATCAGTGTCTGATTTATTGAATATTACAAACCAATTGATTTTATTTAAGTTTTCATTAAAATAAACTTATCATATATAATTGATAGAAATGAAAATATGAAATTTGACTGTCCCCAACCCTTCTTCTTCCTCTGACGCATTTCATTGGACGCATTCTGCGTTTTTAGTCACATGATGTCCCAGTTAGGTCAACTGTCAAAGTGAAAGCACAGCAATGTCCGTGATCTGTGGCAATATCAATTCCATATTCCATATGTTTGAAAAGTTTGCAGGAGGTGAAATATGAAACCGGCGTTTTTTCTTTAAATAAATAATTTTGGAAATTATAGAGCTTTTTGAAAATGGAAAAAAGTGAAGATCTTGTTACCGCCTTTATTAATTTAGGACTGAGTGAGCAGAAAGCGAAAGAGACTTTAAAAAATGAAACAGTTACCAAGCATTTACTATTTATTTTAAATGAGGTAAATTATTTGAAACTATATTATTCATTCATATTTTTTATGCAAATAGCAGTAACAAAACATATTTTTTTACTTGAGAGGAATATATATTTATTAAGTTATAAAATTACAAAATATTTAACTGGGAAATTACTTTCATACAAAACATTTACTAACCCATAGACGAAGTAGGTACTAATCTACCATTTATATTAAGCCTACTATATGTAATTATATTAAGCCTACTATATGTAATTATATTAAGCCTCGTCAGTTAAGACGGACTAGACACACTGGAAGTTTTACCTGTGGTTTTAACAGTTGCTTCTTAAAGATGCTGTCATTATCAATACTATTTTTTGTAATTTTCAAAGACAAAACTAAGAAAAATAATAGTTTTGTTATAAAACTGAATAATTCCGTCAGTTTTCTAGACGGTCTTCCGTTTTAAAAAATTCAATTCATATTTACTTTCAATACATTGTGACTAAATAGCTAAGACGTATGGTAAATGTGGAGGTGGGTCTGTAAATAAAATTAATGGAAATAAAACGATGTAATATGAGAGAAATATAAACCAGATCATATATATGTTATAAATGTTCTAATAGTTTAATAATGAGGAATGTTGTTATGGATGACAAAAATGTTAAGCCAAAAAGTAAAAATATTTGTTTAAGCTTTGAGCTATTCTCACCCAACTTTATATTCATGCCTCGGAACAAAGTTGCTAGTAGCCTTGTTTATATATTCTTAAAGTTGTTCAACCGACTAGACAAATTGTGCTGCCAACTGGAGGACAAATCGTGAACCTTTCGGGGCGGAGTCAAAAATATCGATTATTTTCATTATTTTCCTCAGAGTAATGTAATAATATAGCCCGGGTTTCTGCGAACTGTAATAGTGATCAGCTGATTAAAAGAAATTTAAATGAAACTTTTATTTTATTGTAAATTGTGGATTATTTTTGCCTGTTATTTTAAGAATTCTAAAGCGTATTAACAAAGAAATTATTATTTCGATATGTTGGTACATTATTTATAATTTATGATAATATAGTAATATACCTATTTTAATTTGATTTAATGCAGGTTTATAAAAGAATCATTTCATTCTTAGATTATTTTATTCTAAATTGAGTGCTTTACCAATTTTACGATATTTTTTTTTGAAAACATAAAACTTTTTACATTTTTGATGACAACTAATTGGCATGGTATTATTGGTATGGGAATTAGCCAAGAAAGAAAAGAATTGGCTATAACTTGTAATTTTTCGAAAAAAAAACATATTATACCTATATTGCTGAAAAGCTTAAAGAATGGGGCTCTTTATGAAGTCAGGGCCAACTAGGGTTTCCATTTTACCCAGTATGACCAGTATAATAGATCAAGCTGACAAAGAATATAAAATACTTTAAAAATGTGCATTCAGAAAGAAAAAATATCTCGAAAATTATCTAAACAAACAAGTTTTTTTCTTATCAGTGAAAAGCATCGGCCTCGTCGGCCTTGCGGAATTTGTCGGGTATTTACAATGGTCGAATTGAATAATTACCAGCTTTTATAGCATATCTAATAGACAAAAAGTATCTGGTCGATTAGTAATCAATTGGCACAGTCCGAAAATTATCAATTTTTATTTTCTCTGTTTTTATTGGTCGCTTCAAAATTCAGAGTGACAAAAAATATTTTTCTGTGGTAAAAGACTGTGAAATACGCCCCGCCATCTGGTGCTTTACATCCATAAACATCTTAGGTTGAGCTACTTTAAAAATTCATATACAAGGCTAGTAGTTTTTCAGCTGACCACCCATCATTTTTTTTTTCATTACAGGTCGCTTAATTTTGGTTATTAATTGAAAACCAGTGTGTTGGTGTGGCTGATTCATTGTCACTCCATAAAATAAAAATTGTATCCAAAATACTAACAATTAATTACTGTATAATGAAAAAAAAGGCGTTAAGTTGGCTTGGAAATGACGATCGATGACATTCCCCCTATAATTTTACATATCAAATGACAGTGATCTTCATTTCATAGCCACCGCTGACGCCGTTTTTTTTTTCGATCACATTGTATTATCTATATTTGCGACAATAATCGAAGTTACTTAATGTCAACTGTGCCTTTGAAATATTAAATTACTTTATCTACAACCGTTTAGTTATAACGTTTTTACATCACTATTTTTTAGTATTTCAGTTACGTTATGAGATTCATAACACAACTAGTGGTGTTATGAATCTATAACACAACTAGTTGCTATAATAATGAAAAACAACTACGAACATCTAAATATATTAACTTTTCTGGCAATAATGATTCCGTGGCACGTACTGCGGCAAGTTCTACATCTGAAGGGAGACTTTCGGAATCGCTCATCGTAATTTTTAAAATAATTTTTCTGGGCAAAAAGTTCTCGCGTTTACTTGACAGGGCAAACTGACTTTTCGGAATAAATGTGACAAATGTCATAGTTAAAGATAGGCGACTAATAAACGAAAATTAAAACAGCATTTTCTTATTTTTCGGTTGTAGATAAAACGTTGTACATGACACGCGCGTTTAAACATGATTACAACACTCGTGTGATTAGAACGACTCGGTCTACGACCTCGTCGTTCTAATCGTTCACACTCGTTGTTGTAATCATGTTCATAAACACACTTGTACTGTAAATAACTATTATACAATATCTAAAATTTTATATAAGATTAAAAATTTTGGTGTAGAGGGTGTCCCATTTTCGCGTGTTTTACAGGATTTCTCGTTTATGAGTCGAGAGACAAAGGTGCGGCTTTCACATCACTCTGCTACTTTTTTATGAAACTAAAGTTGCTACACACAGATTTGTCCTAGATCTGTTACTTCCTGAATTACAGGGGGTCCAACGCTTTTTGATTTTTTTGATGAAGAATAATAATATTAAAAAATAAACACATTTTTTTGATAAAACGTTTACATGAATTTATCTTAATACATTTGATAAACTTGATTATCTCGCGTTCCCGTGGGTTACTTAAATACCTACAAATTTTGTAAGAAAAATAAAAACTAACACACATTTTTTGAACAAAACGAAATAATATTAACTAAACAAAACTAGAAAATGTCTTTTTACTACAACAAGCAAATAAAAATATTTAGCCAAGAGTCATAATTCTGTCAAAACTCAAGATTTCTCTGGGGGATGCCCAACAGTACCTGGGGTGGGCCCGGCCCCCCTGTAATTATGCCCATAAAATAATAATATACAGGGGGTTTAATTAAAAAAAAAGTTTGATGTGACACAAATCGACCGTTTCCATACATAAAAGCGACCCTGTATAATTAAATACCTTCTTTTATATTTTATTAGATTCGTGGTGTCGCATTATCAAATGGAACTGGAATTCTACTCTACCATTTGGCAACAAAAATTAAGCCGCAAATTATTCATCACTTTCCATTATTGATAAAATATGTAGTATGCAAGAAACTTGATAATACTTTGCGCATTGATAAAGCTATTGAGTTTGCTTTATCTCATTTAAATGACATCGACACGACTGGTTTAGAGAATTACTGTGGTGTAGGTGTAGTAGTTACACCTGAGGAGATAGAAAAGTGTGTTGAGAATCACATTCAGTCATTTAAGAAAGAGTTAATTGAAAAAAGGTATAGATTTAATGCTGGACCTTTAATGCAGAAAGTTAGGGAAGATTTAAATTGGGCAGGTAATAATACTTTTTATACTCATATGAAAACGATACTAAACCCTTTTTTTAAGATGGAAAAGCCATTAAAAATGAGATAGATGTGCAAATATTTGATATTTTGGGACCTAAAACGGAAGCGGATCTTGCTCCTGCTTCTAAAACTGAGAAAAAGGCACCTAAATTAAATAAGAAAGAAAATAAAGGACCAAATAAAGAAACTGTTAATAAAGGTAAGTATATAGTTACCACTTAGGAAGCAGAACGGTTCGGGCGCAGTTGGTGTAGTGTTCGCTCCTTTTTTAGCTAGATCGCTTGATTTTTCATTACCTTCTATCCCTTGATGGACGAGCATCCAGAGTAGGAGGATGCCCGCTTTATTGCCTTTGCCTAATTTGTTCAGCTTTTATAGGCATTCTTTGACCAACTTCGAATTGATGCTTACTGAGTTGATCGCTTTTAATGTTGCTTGAATATCTGATAAAATGGCTATTTGTTATTTCTGAAACTTTCTATCTAAGATAAGTTGTAAAGACTGTTCAGCCATCGTTCAACGTTACGTCATCGTTATTTGTCAAATATGAGTTTTAGGGTATGTCTGAAATCAGTTCATATTGTTTAAAAAATTTTAAGTACATTGCTATATTATCGATTGAGCGAGTTCCGTTTTTTTTTCAACATTTAATAATTTTTTCTTGAACTCTTCATCAGTTAGAATCCCTTTAGTTCCAATCCTTTGGACTATTGAAATTCCTATTTTCTAAAGCATCAGAAACTCGCTATATTATTTAAAAGCGTTTTCAATTTGTATTGTATCGGTGTAATATTCCTATGTAATACATCATTATTACATAGGAATATTATACCGTTGCATTTTACTTTTTACTTACTATAATTTATAAGCTTAGCAATGAGCTTTTGTTTGAGCTTTGTATATTAATTAGCGAAATTACCCCAAATTAAATGACAATGACAATTATTAAAGGAAAATTTTGCATTGATCGATGTCCGTCAATAAAATCATAACCCCAAATCAAATTATTAACTAAAAAGAATATGCAGTAATTTACGAAATGCCGTAATGACGCCACCAATCTCTTTTATCTGGTTGTCAAGTGATCGAGAGAGTTTGAGAGTTGAGAGTATCTTTCAATAGCGTAGATTTCTGCCTGAAGGATGCTGGAGTAGGTGCCCATTGGTTCGGTTTGGTTTGGTTTGGTTGTGTTGGAAGCATTAGTATACCACATTATGGTATGGTCTTTTACCTGCTGAGCAAAGCTTTCTCACTTTCAATTCTTTTTATTGTTCAATACTACAGTGAGGTGTTTTTCAAAGTTGTACATTATTTGTATGTCATCGACTGGGTGTTGGAGGAGTGGAATTTTCCATTTGAGGGCATTCCAAGCTCCTGAGCTGACAACTCTCCCAGCACTGTTCCGCCAATGACCATTTTAATCACTGTCGCATTGGCGTATCTACCGGTGAGAATGTACAGTGGTGTTAGGTCTAGAATTACCTCAATTGCTTCTGTTGGGCACGTTCTCACGGCTCGTGTCTTGCAGGTGCGTACCGGTATCCGCATTTTGCACAGGTTTTATCTTACTGTTCAGGCCACATACTTCAAATACATTCTTTTTAATAACATCGCCGTAAACGTGACAACAGTGTTCTCACCCTACGCGACGCGATAGTGCGTAAGTTAAGTTTGTAACCAATGGGAAAAGCGGGACACGGGGGCAGAAACATATGTGTGATTTTTACCTCTCGCGGTCTAAAACCAGGATTACGGGGGTGTTCTCTGGCAAGTTTTAGAGAGAGCACACACTGCGGGCTACGAACCTATTATTATTATCGTGCGCCACCAGTTGCAGCCAAGTTATAATCAAAGACAATTTAGAAGAGTTAAAGTTTGTTTGTTTATTTGTTTAGTAAATAAATATTTTAAATAACGAGTTCGAGTTACATACAGTCCACCCAGCCAATACACTTACTGTGTTTTGCCTTGCTTGTGCCAAAACGTAACTTACATAACAATTAAGCTAAGTTTCTTGTGCCTACTACAAAATTTTTAAAATTACACTTGGACCTTTTTACATATGTATTTCATTCTTTAATTATGGTAATGGAAATTAAAAACTCTCAATTTATTAACGATCAAATACCATTGAAACGCTTATCATTTATTTTATTAGAAAGTTCGCCAGTACAACCTTTGACAATATTAGATGTCATGAAAAAAGTAAATTTTCATGCACCTGGAGAGAACTACAAAACTGATGGTTACATAGTAACAGAAAATACAGAAAGACTTCTTAAAGAACACTTGAGTATTACTGGAGGACAGGTAATATACAAACATAGTATAATTAGTTTCAGCATTATATCTTTTTACATTAATTACTTTCTTTGTTTGAAGTAAAAATCTGTTAAAAAAATGGCTGACTAATATTTATAGATATTTCTTTTAGGTAAGAACAAGATTTCCACCCGAACCTAATGGAATTTTGCATATTGGTCATGCTAAAGCCATTAATATTAACTTTGGATATGCAGCTGCGAATAATGGTATTTGTTTTCTAAGATATGATGACACTAATCCTGAAAAGGAGGAGGAGAAGTTTTTTACTGGGATCCATGATATTGTTAACTGGTTAGGTAATAATACACATATATAATAGATTGTATGGGGGGGGGGGTAATCACCGCGACCTTATAGATCTGTTGTGTCCCCCTTTCTTGAGTTATAACTCATCATACAGTCTCAGGGCTTTGACAAAAGCCACTATCGGAGATGGTTCTGCAGAAGTTATTTCTGCATCTCCGATATCAGTTATGCCAAAGTTTATGACACGAATGGTTGCCTCGGCGCACTCTGTGATGAGATGTTCTGTTGTTTCCCCATTTTCCCCACAGAATCTGCATTCGCCGTTGTTCCTTACCTTCAATCTATTGTGGTTCATTGATGAGCTAGGGTCTTGTTAAAAACCCCATGACAATCCGAAGATTGTTCTTATTTAAATATAAGAAAATCTTTGATTTTTCTTGGTTCTTAGGCCGTTGGAGGGATTTCCATTCCAGATGGAATCTTCCAGGTTCTTGAGTTCCGCTAAACAGAACGGTTCTGGTCCAGTTACTGAAGTGTTTGCTCCTTTTCTAGTTAGGTCGTACTTTTTCATTACCTTCTATCCCTTGGGGGGTTGGCACCCAGAGTAGGAGGACTTATTTTCTTTCTCTTATTTGTTCAGCTTCACTAGGCATTCTTTGATCAACTTCGAATTGATGGTTACTGAGTTGATCTATTCCTATTTTTAATGCTGCTTGGCTATCAGAAAAAATGGCAATTTCTTTTTTCCGATAATTCCTATCTAAGATGAGTTGTACGCATCTTTCGATAGCGTAGATTTTGCCTGGAGGATGCTGGGGTAGTTGCCCATTGGTTTGGAAGATTTAGTTTTCACACTAACTTTCTTAGAAAAACGAGAATTGTATCAGAATGTTGGAGAATATTATATAGGCTTTTGGATTTGTATATTTAAATTGTAGGTTAAAAATGAGGTCTACTCAGCCAAATGAGTACTTGGGATTCACAGTCCTGAGGTAATAATAGGCGGTTGAAACGTAGTGCTAGCCACATTACCTTCCTTGTATACCGAACGGTTCTAGTATGGCAAGCTGTACCTTGCTACTCCCAAGGCGTTAAACGCTATACACGGGAGCTATTATTATATATTTAAATTGAATACTTTATATATTAATAGATTTTTGGATTCTACATAGAAATATTCTATAGGTTTTATTAAGAACCTTATGTCGATAAATTATACGGTTTTTGACATATTTTAATATTTTCAAAAAATGGACAATACATATTAAATTTGATTTATAAAACCTCTGTATGATAAATCAAATTTAAATTTGACATTAAAATTTATACAGGTCGGGACAACATTAACATTGAACATTCATAACTCTTAAAGGCCTTTCTAATTTTAAATATGATGCCCAGTATGTTATTTCGCTACTTGATCCAGAAATCATGTCTGTTAATAATACTATTAACCTCAAACGAACACTTTTTTATTTATAAAGTTTTACGTTACAGTACTATCACCTATATTATGTACTGAAATATTGTTATAGGTTATAAGCCTTATAAAGTGACCCATTCTTCAGACTATTTTGATCAGTTGTATGAGTGGGCTGTAAAATTAATCGGGAAAGGTTTGGCTTATGTGTGTCATCAAACTGCGGATGAAATGAAAGGTTTCAATCCTGAACCTTCACCTTGGAGAGATAGACCAATTGAAGAAAGTTTACAACTCTTTCAGGTATGTGTAAATTAATATATCTTCAAAAATGTCTTCTGGGTAATATGCCACTGTAGGAAAGTGTACAAAATAAAATAGGTTATTTTTTGTAAAAACCGATGCGTTAATTCAACGGACACCAACTTATCAGCAGTATTTTACTAATGAAACAAATCTGCCTAACAGACAAAAATTTATTCAAATTTTAATTGTTTAAGCTTTGCATAAAACCAGTTATAAAATAGACAAGAAATAGTATTAAATAATCACAAAAATGACAAAAATTGTTCCCGTCCTAAGTTTATGCATATAAAAACAGTATTTTCTTCTTAATCGTCGAATTATCCGAGTTGAGTTACACCGCCGTTGAAATCGGGTAATTAGGAGGAATTACGGAGAATCCCATAATTGCCGAAGCAACACAAACTGACTTTAGGTGTTTTTTTGTTTGCCAAAATTATTAATAAAATATTTTAACGTTACTACTGGCATTTATTATTAAATAATACATATTAAAAAATACATAAAAAAAACAAAATTTAAAAATCCGAATAATCCGAGGCGCCAATTATCCAACCTAGGGTACAGGGTACAGCCCACATTAGCTCGGATAATGGAGAGTCTACTGTATATGCTTTTTTCTTAGGAGTTTTAACCCGGAACTATATGGGCACGCCACTGAGTTATACATATTTTATACAGTGTGTGCTTAAAAGTTTGCAAACATTTTTATCGAGTATATTAAATAAGATTTTTATGTAGAATCAAATCACCATTTTTGGGCATAATAAAAACATACATATTTAGTCACCGTAGAAGCGTGGTCTGAATGTTAACGTTTAAGACGAAGACAGGTTCATGAAAAATCAGATGTATTGAAAAGAGAAAAAAAGTTGGGTTGATACATTTCTTTTATGCAGTATTGCCGGATTGTGCCAGAAGTAAGCGTTTTCAAAAAATGTTGCATCTAGGGTTGGCTCTTTAATCTCCACAATTAGTCTGATTTTACTATAGCTGGAATAAATTCTTATTAAGCTTCGGTTTCACGACTGCGTTGTTTCGCTGGCAAAACTACAAAAACAAACAATCATCGTTATTAGTAAGTAAAGTCAAAATTGAGAGCTGTTTGAATTTAGTACGAATTTTATTAGTTCTATGGCGTGTAGCCCGTGATACCGCGGGATTTTATAACGAAACTTTACACCTTAAAATACGATTGCTATTTCTGAACAAATCAATGAATTGAAAGTGTCTGGAGATATTTTATTCAGTGTTTTGAAGCAACAGAATTGAACATTAGCTTAGAAATAGTATCTTCGTTCATTATGTTATTTCGCGTACGAAACGGCAACACTGTTTGCCGCCTTTTATTTTGCCTCTGTCTCTCAACTAGTCGTATATATTTATCTCTGTTGTATGTATTAAAATACAGACCACGGAAATAAAGTGACCAGGGTCGTATAATCTAAAATATGGCTAAAAGTTGTATATGTACTTAAAACTCTGGTCGTAGGACATGAAAAATGGAAAAATTGACGAAGGTGCTGCGACATTACGCATGAAAATAACTTTGGAAGAAGGAAAAATGGACCCTGTGGCCTATCGTGTGCGTTTCATACCTCACCATCGAACAAAGGATAAATGGTGTATTTATCCTACGTATGACTATACACACTGTCTTTGTGATAGCATTGAAAATATCACCCATTCTCTTTGTACCAAGGAGTTTCAATCTCGGTAAGTTTGCTCTCGGTAATATTTGGAAATTCAAATATGGACGTTAGTTCAGAAATTATTTGGAAAAATTCTAAACTTTTACACCCTGTATTTCCGAAACGAAGCATTTTAGGACATGATTTTATATAAACTTTTTACGAATTTTTATTAAGGAGACTGAAATCGACAATATATGAAGCGTCAAGTTGCAAAACCCGCCTTATCCATTTAAAAAAAATGGCCTAATGACATATGTTAATAGTGGACCCTGGAATCTACATAAACATAATCTCAAACTGCAGTAAAAGTCGCCTATTCCTATATAAAATTCAGTACAAATTACGTTACTGCAGTAAAATCCGTCCAATCCACTTATATTTGCTTTTTATTCTCATTATTGTTACAAATCTTGCATTTTTTCATAAGCTTTTTACAAAAGTACCGTATGATCGAAAAAAAAAATGGCGTCCAGTTGGCTTGGAAATGACGATCGATGACATTTCCCATATAATATTACATATAAAATGACAACGATCTTCATTTCATAGCTATCGCTGACGCCGTTTTTATTCGATCATACGGTATAATATTACTACTGACATCTTTTCAAATCCTTACTTAATTTTAATAAAATAGTGTATTTAATAAATCATGTTAGGATGCAAATACCGTCTTGATCATACAAAAAAAAAACGGCGTCCAGTTGACTAGGAAATGACGATCGATGACATTTTCCATATAAATTTACATATAAAATCACAGCGTTCTTCATGTCATAGCCATAGCTGCCGCCATTTTTTATTGATCATATTGTATCAAACCCGCAATATGCATCATACTGCAACAAACCCCGCCTTATCCGAATTATTTTTGTGTTTTTTCTGTTTAAAAATTAAATATTAGTATTTATTTCTAGAAAAACGAGATACAAAACAATGATTCCACTCAATGGACACGTTTTTAGTAAATTAACGCGCTTCAAACATTTGCTAAAACAGTTTTTGCTTATTATCTCGAAACAATGTTTGTGGGATAAGGCGAGTTTTGCAACTCGACGCCTCATATTAAGAGACCTTTTAATCGGCATTAAACGGTCTACATGATTTTGCTAACAAGAGAAAATGTCAGTGGCGCACGGTTTTTTTTAGAAAAATATTCCAGTGATAACCTATATACTTTCTTAGTACTAATATATGTAACACTACTTATAGTAAATTTTGCTCTCAAAATTTCATTCGAATCACTAAAAGCACAGACGAAAATAATTATAATAAATCGAAAGAAATTAACCCTCTGTAGCTACAAAACAAAGAATCGGACCTATGTTGATATAAAAAATAAATTTTATTTTTACGTGAGGTATCTCCCCACGAGAGATAGCAAATGTTTTTTGAAACACCGTGTATAGTTGTTATTAACAAATTGTTTTTAGGCGATCAAGTTATTACTGGTTATGTAACGCATTGGATATTTATTGTCCTGTACAATGGGAGTACGGAAGATTAAACGTAAATTATACCGTAGTTTCTAAGAGAAAAATCGCAAAACTTATTTCTGAAGGAATTGTAAAGGGTAAATATAAAAAATGCACTTTTGTTAATATTACCGGTATAATAATTCTAGATTGGGATGATCCGAGATTGTTTACATTGACCGCATTGAGACGCCGAGGTTTTCCACCAGAGGCAGTAAACAATTTTTGCGCCCAACTTGGCGTGACCGGAGCTCAGAGTACTGTAGATCCTTCTATGTTAGAATCTTTTGTTAGAGACCATTTAAATAACATTGCTCCTAGGTATTCTTAATATGTTTTACATACCGGATATATTGCCTTAATTAATTTATATTTTTAGGAAAATGGTAGTTTTGGATCCTCTTAAGGTTAGCATTGAAAATTATCCACACAATGGGCCAACTAATGTTTCTGTGCCAAATTTTCCTAACAAACCCGAACTTGGAAATCATTCTGTAACTTTTGATAAAGTTATTTATATCGAGAGGAGCGATTTTATGGAGGTTAGATTTAACTTAATGCTTATATTTGCTAAACTGAATAATTGAATGCAGGTTGGGGACAAAAACTACAGACGACTTACGAAGACACAAATAGTTGGTTTAAGACATGCAGGATATGTTTTGGAGATAACAGATATCAAGAAGAATAAAAATTCTCAGGTAGAAGAAGTTGTCTGTAAGTGTACGGAAGTAGATAAGTCGGCGTCAAAACCAAAAGCTTTTATTCATTGGGTATCTGATCCTATTAGCATCGAAATAAGATTATATTCACCGTTGTAAGTATTTCGTGTTTAGAATGAATACGCTGTTTTAACTTACCATCAATTACAATTACAATTAATTATTGAAAAAACTGGAAATTTATACGCCCTATTTTGAGGGCGTAGATTACGAATCTAAACTTTTTTTGACGATCTCTTACCGTTTTTTCAGAAAAACCATAATTTATTTAAATATCGAATTTTTCTTAATTTAAGCCGTATAAAATAACAATTTCATAGTTTCTCTAAAGGCCACACTTGATCGGGGATAGAAAAATATCCAAAATTTTACTGAAAAACGCTTTTCTTAACGAAATAAACAAAGAAAATTGCATCTTCTGCTTTCAATGGGAGAAAAATATTCTATTAATCTAAAAATTTGAAACGTTGCCATGTCTTGTACTTTTTCGACCAAAAAAAGATTCAGATTCGTGGTCTACATCAAAACAGGGTGTATACAAATTTTATGAAAACAAAGATTATATCCAGTCCAGTGGCGCATCTAGAGATTGAGTCTGGTTGTGAATATTCAAAAAAGTACTAAATTTGAATTAAATTTTTGTTGGAAGGTATTGTAACTGTGGAAAAAAAATTTACTTGGATTGGTTTGGATGTTCTGTTTTAATTTGTATTATTAACTTTTTGTAACAATTTTATTTTATACCAAATTTTATCTTATTAATTAATTTCTTTCTGGGAGGGGTAATTACACCCATTACCCCTCCCGTATATACGCCCCTGTATAGGGCTTGTTTCTCTCTACAATTTCCTGTTTCACAATGTACCGTTTGTGTCCGGGAAAGGTTCATAGTTTCATAGTTGTCGATTTTCGAAAGAAATCAGTACATGTATATTATTTCGTATATTTTTCATTTTATTGATTTTATGGAAAGCATTGTTCATTAAAATATTGTATCCTATGTTATAAGGCTTGTTTCTCTCTTCAATTTCCTGTCTCACAATGTACCGTTTGTATCCGGGAAGGATTCATAGTTTCATAGTTGTCGATTTTCGAAAGAAATCAGTACATGTATATTATTTCGTATATTTTTCATTTTATTGATTTTATGGAAAGCACTGTTCATTAAAATTTTGTATCCTATGTTATAGGGCTTGTTTCTCTCTACAATTTCCTGTTTTACCATGTACCGTTTGTGTCCGGGAAGGGTTCATAGTTTCATAGTTGTCGGTTTTCGAAAGAAATCAGTACATGTATATTATTTCGTATATTTTTATTATATTGATTTTATGGAAAGCACTGTTCATTAAAATGTTGTATCCTATGTTATAGGGCTTGTTTCTCTCTTCAATTTCCTGTCTCACAATGTACCGTTTGTATCCGGGAAGGATTCATAGTTTCATAGTTGTCGATTTTCGAAAGAAATCAGTACATGTATATTATTTCGTATATTTTCATTTTATTGATTTTATGGAAAGCACTGTTCATTAAAATGTTCTATCCGATGTTATAGGGCTTGTTTCTCTCTACAATTTCCTCTCTCACAATGTACCGTTTGTGTCCGGGAAGGGTTCATAGTTTCATAGTTGTCGGTTTTCGAAAGAAATCAGTACATGTATATTATTTCGTATATTTTTCATTTTATTGATTTTATGGAAAGTACTGTTCATTAAAATGTTCTATCCTATGTTATAGGGCTTGTTTCTCTCTACAATTTCCTGTCTCACAATGTACCGTTTGTGTCCGGGAAGGGCTCATAGTTTCATAGTTGTCGATTTTCCAAAGAAATAATTAAAATAAATTAATTTCTTTCTGGGAGGGGTAATTACTCCAATTACCTCTCCCAATAATTACCGAATAATGAATGATTTTGTTTTTGTATGTTTCTGTATCGTTATAGATTTAATCATAAAAATCCCGAGGATCCCAATGAAGTGCCTGGAGGATTTTTGACAGATTGTAACGTAAATTCACTAGAAGTTCTTGAAAGTTATGCTGATAAGTCAATTACTAAGGCCAGTGTTTATGATAGGTTTCAGTTTGAAAGAATAGGATTCTTTTCGATTGATCCAGATACAACGCAATCAAATGTAAAAATATTAATTATTTTCATTTTGTTTTTATTCATGATTTTTTTTTCAGATTATTGTCAACAGAACTGTTGGCCTTAAAGAAGATGCAGGAAAATAGGTATATTTTTTCTACTGAGGTCCTAAAGCAATTTTTTATAAATATTTTATTAAAAGTTGTGTTGAAATTTAAAGTATGTTTAATTTACTTACAATTTTTGTAAATTCGTCGAATTTTCAGAAACCCTGTTTTCAAAAACTACATATCATTCCGTACTATATTTCTGTAAATTTATACTTGTAATTCATGTTATTATTGATAATTATGAGATATTTACATAATTAATAGTAGAACCTGACTCATTGGCTATTAAGTATGCGGGAAATTATTTTCTATAAAAATATAGTACCTCTATAATAGCTGTATTTTACGATCATGAACATCAAAATATTTCTTAATTTTTGCTTTATCGTGACTCTATCTCTTCTTCTATCCCAAAAATGCTGTGAATAAGCCGTGTTATTAAAATTAAAGACATGTTTTCAATATTTCTATTATTCATAATTTATCTGAGTATATATTATTATATTACATATTCTACTTTGAACAAAAATTACAAGACTTGAAGATTGTAACACAATAGTAAGTATAGAAAGTTAAAATGTATGAATTCTTATTTTATGTCCAATTGATTTTTTTTAATATTCAGGAAGTATTTGGGAAAAATTACAATCAATTAATACGATCCTCGTTTAGAATGTATCAAATGGTGGTACAGCGTAATCAGTATAAAGCTGATCCCAAAAGATGTATTTCTCTGATTTTGGGTAACCTTTCTTCATTAAAAGTTGTTCGCCGATTTCTAGGTATTTAAATTCCTCAGGATCTACCGGATCCCATTGAAAGGCTTCAGATTTGTTTACATTAGTCGTAGGAACTCTGAAACAATTTTTTTAATTGTTATTCCTACTCAAATGCCAGGAAGAGGGTGTGATACTTCGTTCTAAAGTCTTGTGATTTATAAAATGTGATTTAGTATAATTTGGTTTACATTTGGTAGTCAATTTGCTATTAAATTACTTAGTATATTAGTGTTAATTAGTTTCGTCCAGGTAAAGAAAGAATCGAGATTTTTTGATATCGGATGACACTGGCACTAAAATATATTATTTTTGTTTTATTTTATATATTTCTGCAGGTCTTATATATTAGTAAAGATGATCTGGTTTTTATCTCGAATGGGAATTTTTTTATAAATATATATTCCTTGACTTTTCTCTCGAAAGAGATTTATTTATTTATTAATTATTTTATAGCTCTGTTGCTTACAGAATTTTTAATTCTGCTTAATTAGAAATATTTTTAAAACACTTAGTTTTAAAAATAAAACACTTAGTGACATTGGCTTAAAATCTTGGACGGAATTTGTCTCATTATCATATAAAGAATCGGTAAGACTTTTCAATGACATGCAGGGGATTCTTAAATAAGTGCAAATATTTTAGTTGGTAGTATTTTTGATCCCAGAAATCCCCTTATGAATGAGTTTTTTCCATTCAATAATACTTAGTATTACTGTAGGTACATCTATGTAGACTATTTAGAATAAATGTGATTTTTTTATATTTAAAGTTAAATAACTTGGCCATTTTTACTACCCCCTTCAGAAGAATTGCTTATTAAAGAAACACCCTATATAAGACACAATTACAAATCAATTTATATAAGTGCTTACAGGTTTTTAGCAAAGTTTGTCCATAAAGCCATTAAATTATCATGAACAACTTTATCAGACTTGGGAAAGTATGACAAGTCAGTATTGTCTGGAATTTCGTTACTGTACCATTTGCTGAAAATATAGTTGAGTTCTTCGGAGTGTGTAACATTACCAGTGCCTAAAAATAGTTAATCAAAATAATGTCTGTATCTTTGTGGCGGATTTATTTCTGGAAAAAGTTCGAGTATTTTGCAACTGAAAAAAATTAAGGATGTACTTAAACTGCCGTTAAAGGTAGCTTACTAAAATGCCGTTAATAGGTATGATTTCGTTGATGTGACGCACTTCACGGCTTTATGAAATATAGGAATTTTTTAAGGACTAACCAACGCTATCCGCCCCTCCAAATAACCAACGCAACTAACCTCGACACTGATAAAAAATATAAAAAACAAATATAAATTAGTAAAAATCAACCAACCCCACCAAATAACCAACTAACCAATGAATTAACACCCTCCAAATAACCACGCTAACCAACCCGCCAAATAACTAAACCAATCCAACCAAAAAGAGTGAAACCAATGCAATAAGATCACGCTATAAGCAAAAAAAAATGTCTTGGTCGGCGTGAGATTTGAACCATGGACCATTCGCTTACGAAGCGATAGCCTCAGACACTGACCCACAGGTGCTCTTGCAAAATGCTTAAGGTCAGGCATTACCTCTGGCATTACTTTCCGCCGACATGAACGACGTCACAATATCTATTAACGGCATTTTAGTAGGCTACCGTTTAACGGCTGTACATCGAAAAATTAAAAAATAAAATGTAATATTTTTTACGATGTACTTAAACAGCCGTTAAACGGTAGCCTAACAAATCAGCGACATCATTTCAACATAAGCATTTTGCAAGAGCACCTGTGGCTGAGTGAGGCTATCGCTCGTGTGGTCCGTGTCTCACGCCGACAAACATTTTTTGCTTATGGCGTAATCTTCTGCGTTTAGTTATTTGGCGGGTTGGTTAGCGTGGTTATTTGGAGGGTGTTAATTCATTGGTTAGTTGGTTATTTGGTGGGGTTGGTTGGTTTTTACTAATTTATATTTGTTTTTTACATTTTTTTATCAGTGTCGAGGTTAGTTGCGTTGGTTAAGTTGGTTATTTGGTGGGGTGGATAGCGTAGGGTAGTCCTTATAAAATTCCTATATTTTATAAAGCCTTCAAGTGCGTCACATCAACGACGTCATACCTATTAACGGCATTTTAGTAAGCTACCGTTTAACGGCAGTTTAAGTACAGCCTATTTTTTAATATGTCACTAGATTAAAATCCCATAGGAACCCCGTTTCCCAGTGAGCTCTTCCTGGTAAACGAATTTCCCAATGAGATCTAAATAATTTTTTTAGATGTCATTAGAATTTTCCTAATCAACAAAGGCACGTCGGCGTCGTTTATCACCCATCATCGTCAGAAGCAAAAAATAAAAAGGGTAGGTAAATAAAAATCTAAATGTACAGTGTCAACCATTTTCGTGTGTTTTATGGGATTTCTCGTTTGAGTAGACAAAGAAAGATGCGGTTTTCACATCATTGTGCTGTTTTATGAAACTAAAGATGCTACACAGAGATTTGTCCTAGCCCTCGAAATTTCTAAAATATAGGAAGAATTTGAAAAAGCATTTTTTGATTCCCTTCGTATCTTGGTTACCTTCAAACCACAGCTTCAAACTCATGGAAACGATGGAAACTCTGTCCGGTATTTCACGTAGAATCCAGTGGCGGATTATTATCGTCAGTATAGTAAAAAATGCTTTTTACTTTACTGAAGATAATAAATTTACAGTATATTATATTTATAGAAAGAGCAAAACAAGCCGAATAAAATAAAATAAAAATAATATTCGGTGTGTCAAAATGACAATTCCCAGTAAAACATTAGTTGCGCCACTGGATTCTACCTGAAATACTCTACCGGACACAGTTTCCATCGTTTCCATGAGTTTGAAGGTAACCAAGATACGAAGGGAGTCAAAAAATGCTTTTTACTATACTTACATTATTTAACTTTTTAACATAAATCAACCTAGTTTAAACCTAATTTATTCAGATAATTTTGCTTTTCATCGTGTTATCTTAATAAACTGAACTGAAAATGAACTTGTGCAGCTTTTAGATAACATGCGGTCAGTCAGAGTTATTGATAAACGTCGATCGACCCAGTTGAGTTCATATTAATGAATATCCTCTAATGAAACAAGATTTATATTCATTAGAGTTATTGATATTTTTTTATAGTTATTCTTTTTATTACCTAATTTAAACCGTCCGCCTACGTTAAAAATTTAAATAATGCATTTTATACCTTGTTTATGAAAAAAATTAAAAATATTGTTTATAAAAAAATCATCTCGAAATAGTTATTTAGCCATTTCAAATAATTTTTTTTCTTTGCTTCTGGCGACGGGTAGAAGGAGATATATCTCTCTAACTGTTAAATGTTTTTTGTTGGTTAGGCAAATTTGTTCACAAGTAAAAACACACTGAGTGGCTGGTTTCGGTTTGAATTTCAACCTCGTGGCATTTTGCAAAATATTACTTTTTCTTATATTTATGTATCAGTGACTAAAAACTCTGGTTTTTTTTCACAAATTTCGTTGATTGAAGAAATATGAAGATGCTCAACCTTATGGGCGGTTTCGTGGCACAAAACCTATCCGAGACGTATCTGGCGTTACCGTGTAGTCTATCCGAGATTCGAGATTTAGTTTAGCTTTGCGCCGCTGCGCTCTGTTTGAGAATAATAATAGCGGATAAAGAATACTGCACGGTAGTTCTACAGGACAGAGTGAGTGGTTGCCTGAGACAATGTTGCCAGAACTACTGCTAATCCGTAGATTTACGGATTTTGGGTTCAATACGTTAATATTACAGATTTTCTATCATTAAACAATTTAATATAATATTATATGATTATACAAAGAACGGCGTCAGAGTTGGCTTGGTAATGAAAATTGCTGTTATTTCATATGTAAAATATTATGATAAATGTCAATAATCGTCATTTCCAAACCAACTAAACCACTTTTTTCGATCATATGGCATATTCAGTACCTACAAAAGAATTTTTATTTTTGTTGTTTATTCTATGTTTAACAAGAATAAATTTTCAATACCTAAACGCGTATTTTTCATCCAAAGATATTTTCGTTAAACGTATTACAGATATTATACATTTTAATATGGCAACACTGTCCCTTTCAGACCCACACCGTCTTCTATATGTTTTCGTTAGCCGAATTAGAGAAAATAAGTGTTTTATGCGTTGACCGCAGAAGGATTGGTGCCTCCGTCGTACGGCGCGGCACTTGAGAGGTAAGGGAAAATCAAACCAGCCTTGTAACGAATTCGCCCATTAGGTTTAATTCCCGTTCTTTTAACGATTTTACCTACTTAATTTTAACATTGCTATCGGTTTTATAATAACTAGTTACCATTTAATTTGTTATTAATATTGTTTCCCATTACTCCACTATAAACGAAGTTGTAGAAATATACAGAAGTGTATGCAGATATTAGTTGCGCCTGCTTTATCCCAGCTTTGTCAAAGTCATGGACACTGTGATACTAAAAAGGGTGGATATGCTAAGTATTAACATAAATTCAAATATTTTTAATAAAAAGGTATGTGAAAAACCCTTACAACATTAATCTACATAAAATTATTACCTGAGTAACGTTCTCACCTTAATACTATTTGCTAGACTATTTTCAAAACCCTCGGCTGCAAAGAAGTCTTTTATTTTTGATCCAATACTCTTTTTCAGCTCTTCGTTCTCGATGTGCATATCAAATGGCACGAGTACTTCGGGCTGACTGTCATAAATTTTCCACAAATAACTGGGATCTAAAAATTGAAAAGTTTTTTTTTGAGAAGTGGAATATAAAATGTTGTAAAAAAGTCATCACCAAATCCTAACCAAACGAAAGAGGAGAGGAGAGGTCTTACTAGGTAAATATACTCAAGATGGTTTACTTTAATTTAACTTGAAATGGCAGTGCAAAGTGTTTTGACAACAAAAGCTGATTTGATTTGACTGCAAACATAATGAAAAATAAAGTCTCTACAACGAGACGACATTCAAAAAATAATAGAAAATCCAATTAACCTGTGAACTAAGATGACAGACAGCAACTGCCCAGAGTTGTAATTTTGTTGTTGTCGTTGGCTATGTGCTTGTAATTTTAGAAGATTTCATGTATATTTGTTTTTATAAATCTTTACCTCCACTAAGAAGTGCTAGAGATTCTTCTGCGTTCATGCCCATAATTATAGGAACTTTATTGAAGGTGCCATTTTCAAATAGTCCATATTGCGGTTTAGTTAGGAATGCGTCATTATGAGATACTTCAATTACGGGAGCGTAAAAGAATCCTTTAGAGATTTGATAATTTGAAGCATTTTCCTGAAAATGCGTGAAAGGGTTTTAAAATTAAAATTTAATTGAAATTAAAAGAAACTTGAATAATACCTATTATTGGAGCATTGAGCAAATGAGCAATATGAGCAAAATAACAGTTTACGATACATGTTCGGTAGGTGCTTTAAAAAGCTGGGTATCCATTTGTGCCAGTGCTCCGTACTGTAACGCCGAACATGTTATGGCAGGTTACAAGATGACAGAGTTCGCTACAAAGGAATTTCAGTGGTCGGTCGTGTCATTTACCCGGTGTTGTAACCAGAATGGGATTACACAATACAGCACCGCAATTTTTCCATCAGATTGAATTTACTTGGTGTATGATTACAAAATTGTATCAAAGTAGAAGAATGTTTAATGGATAAGCCTATTGGTGGATCTAAAGTTGCAGCATATTATTTCACTAGATGTTGCGTGAAATATTCGGATATACTTAGGATATGGATGATTGATCCAAATAGATACCCGGCTTGGTGACTTTGACGCTTTTTTCGATCATACGGTATTTGTTTTATAAAATAACTTACGTAATGCGAATTTAATTCAGCAGATGCCTTATCGATTGAATCAGCTGAAGCAGTGTTCAAGAAATCTAATAGATCGTCTGATGTTGTACCATTAAAATCGGGGTCAATATACTTCGCTGTTAAAAATGAAATATCTCTCTCGTATCTTTGATATGCCCAAGGGGATAGAGCAGTACCGCTTTCTAATATTGCTGCTCTATACAGACCTACAAAGATATATTTATACAGGGTTTTTCAAAAAACATGTACCATCCCTCTTGGGGAGATTCCTCACGTAAAAATCAGATTTTTTTTTTGCTTTCTTTCAAAATGTTAAAGTCTACATTTTTTTGGATTTATTATAATTTTCTTCCAAGTTCTTTTAGCGATTCGAATGAAATTTTGAGGAAACTGTGCACCACTGCCTTTTTATTCAATTTTTAACACAGTTGTGTAAGCCGTTTAATGCCGATTAAAAGTTGTGTCTTGATCTTTGTCGATTTTGGTTCCCTTGATGAGATAAACGTAATTTTATTACTTTTCTTTAATCCAAATCTAATAGTAGCCTTTAAAAAATGTTAATGTCATTCACTGGTCCCTATAAACACGGCTGCAGAAATGCAGAGATTTATAGTTACAGGATGTTAAAACTTTAAAAAATATTTCTTTTGTAATTCGTTTAAATACCATTATTTTTTTGGAATTTGCTATAGGTGTTTATATTTGCTGAAAATCAGTGTTATCAATCTTAATAATAAATTATAATAAATAAATAATGTATTAATTTTATTTTTATTTTAATTTTATTAATTGTGATTAATAACATTGCGTTTATTTCATCAAGGATCAAAATCGACAAAATATCAAGATTCAACTTTTAATAGGCATTAAACGGCTAACAAGAGAAAAAAAGCATGTATTTTTTTAGAAAAATATTCTAGTAATAACCCATATGCACGTCCCTGGTGAATGTGTTGACACTTTTTAGAAACATAAATTTACAAAAATTGAAAAAAAATGAAGACTTTTAGCTACGAAACAGCGGAATCGGACCTACGTTGATATAAAAATAAATCTTATTTTTACTAAGAGAATTTGATTTAAAACTAAAAAATATACCTTCAGATTGCGAACTTAACAGCTGGTATGAAACAGATGAAGAACCCGCACTTTGTCCAAATATAGTTACTTTGTTCGGATCACCACCAAAATATTTTATATTTTGCTGGACCCATTTTAAAGCAAAAACTTGATCTTTCAAACCTAAATTTCCTGGAATTCGTTTATCCCCTGTTGAAAGGAAACCTAAAAAGTACCTAATACGATTACATCCCATATACACACCCCGCGACACGAAAACCGGGCACGTTAGAATTTTAATGTCTTTTGAAGTTTTACACATATATTGTGTATTTATAGCTAATTTATTTGTCTTTTTAGTATATCTTTCTAAATTAAAAATAAAAGTTTTCATCTGTCCATTATACGATGGAATAAAAATTGTGGTTATTTTGGTGAAAGTTTGTGAACACCCTGTGAATATGTTAAACCATCTTAGAATATGTTAAAAGAGCAAGGAAGTTGAAAATTGGTTTTCCTCTTTTCTTCATAATTTTCCCCATTTTTGGGGGGGATATTCGGTTTTGAAGGTGACACTAACATTTTTTCGTATTTTTTAAATTAACCATGAATTTTCCTTTGATCCCAGTCATTGAAAAATCATATTATTATTGTCTATTGGCTGTTGGACAGTTACTGTAGCAGAAATTATTTTAAGTTTAGAAGTTGTATCCACTATAGTTGCTTTATTTGAAAATGATAGAAATCAAAATTATGTCGCAGATTTAGGTGTGCACGAAGTACAGCGCCAGTCGCTTCCTCGAGACAAACTCATATTGCTAGACGTCCAGGAACCTACGTATGAGAACTTCGAATCGAGATGATCTGTTTATTGTACGTTTGTCGCTAAGAAACCGCCGTTTTCCAGTATTACAAATTTATAATGAATTGCACCTAAGGAACGTACATATGTAAGTAAACGGACTGTAAAAAAACATTGAACGAAGCAAATCTAATGTCTAGAAGGTCTGCTTCCGGACCACAACTTACTAGGTCTGTTGAGTAGAACCAAAAGTAAAGGCATGGTTTTAATGTAAAAATTACGAAAAAAATAGTGTCGCTTCTTCAAAGGCATGCGGCTGTGTAGTTCAAAAACAAATTACGTTTAGGGTACACAGTACACAGGCTCCCGCAGTAGTGCGTCGGGCATCTGTAGCTCCTAGAATAAAAAATTTGGGAATTTTGTTTAAAAGTAAACCTAAAGTATGTATGAAGATGTATTTCAGGAAAATATTTTAACCTCTATTGGGTGGCTCAAAAAAGTGTGAGTGGATCGGTATGATTTTTTTTTAAATGGAACACCTGTATATTATTGCATGTTTGGTTTCCTTTCAGATCACTTTACATAATCCTAAGCTATGAGTAAATTACAGTTGAGGATTGGAACCTTTGGTGTTACACAGCAAAATAAAAACACTAAATCACCACAATACACCAAAACACTTTTACTTTTACACTGGACGCGCGTTTCGCTAACCAAAGTAAAAGTGTTTTGGTGTATTGTGGTGATTTAGTGTTTTTATTTTGCTATGAGTAAATACATTTTGGTAGTTTCAGAGATATTCATAAATAAATAAAAAATATAACTTTTTCAACCTTCACTAAAAAAATTATTGTAAATTCTAGAACTGTCCTGAAATCAAAACTATTTTAGATATTTACTTTAAGTGGTCTATAATTACTTTGCTATAAATCTTATATCAAACAGGTTTTGCAGATATACGCAGTATTATTTCATATGGTTCTCTCAACGCAACGGTAAAATACGAGAGAAAAATTATTAGGAGGCTTTGATAAAAATTTGCTGTGAAAAATGCCATATGAAATATAAAACCGCGAATATCTGCGGAACCGTTAAAAATTTTGAAATACTTTAAATACAAAAAATGATTATTTTTTAATTTTCCATCTGTTAAAAAAATAATATACAGGGTGTTCCATTTGAAAAAACGAAAAAATTTATTTTATACTTTAGAAAGTTTGGCGTAGAATTTTGAGCATCCTGTATGATTTACGATTACCATATTTATTGAAAAGTTATATGTAGACTATCTAAAGTAAATACCTAATATAGTTTTGATTTCAGAACAGTTCTCGTATTTTTAATATTTTTTTTTAAGGAAAGGTGAAAAATATATATTTTTTATTTATTTATTAATATCTCTGAAACTATCGAAATACATTTACTCATATCTTAGGATTATGTAAAGGGACCTGATCTGAAAGGAAGCCAAAAATGCAATAATATATAGGGTGTTCCATTTAAAAAAAATCATCCCGATTCACTCACACTTTTTTGAGCCACCGCACAGTGCTTCGTCCCATGGACAAAAATCAAAAAATAAGTTAAAATTTACTAATATCTGAATATATAATTTTATACTTATAGCAATGTTCAACCATCCTGTATATTATTTTTCATAAACAGCGTTTTTGTTAGCAAATATTTTCACTAAAAATAAATTTTGCGATCATTATCTCATCAGTGAAAAGAATAACATTCTTAGTAGTTCTGTATATTATGGAGTTAAACGGGTACGTACTTAATTGAAAGCCACTATGGATATTGTTAAACAAGGTATGTACTTTAAATTTATTTCTAAACAAGTTCGTGATTGTTTATTTTTTATTTATTTTGTAAGATGATTCTTAAATGGGTATAAAAATTTTACGTTTTCAAACTTCTAAAAGGCATTTAAAAAAAACATATCAAAACATATCGTATTTATTGAATATTTTTGTTGCCATATTCATACACTTTTAATTTTTGTATAGTTCACCTGCGTCTGCTTGCGACGAACTTTATTTTATAATACTTTTCAGATGGAGTAAAATTGATAAGCAATGCCGATCTGGCTAATACTTGGCTTGATCATAAGGACAAGAACTCAAAATTATTAGTATTTCAAAAAATATGTTCTTATTAGATATTGATGAACCTTCCAGTCAAATGAGACACCACTTGTGCCTGAAAAAGTCCACTATGTTGGAGCGAAACGTCGAATAAAAAAAGTGTCCATCTTTCAGTTTATTATAAAATCTCATACCCAAGAAAAGGAAAAAATAATATATGCATATGGTCTATTAAAGAGGTAACTATTAACATCCGAACCCCTCATACCGACAAAATGAACAGTAACAACGCGAAAAAGTAACATATTAGAAAATGATGTACAGAAATATCTTATATGTGAGGATACTTCATCTACCTGTGATTTAGATACTATAAATTTAGAAGATTCTGTCAGCAGTGATTCTCCTGAATCAGAGTAGTTACGATCTATGCATTTTGTTGTCCTAAAGTAAATTTATAGCATCTTAATTTTTTTTTTAATTAAATATAACATTAATGTTTCTTTTTCATTAAAGAAAAACATTTTTATCTTATATTAGGCTTATATTGTAGGAATCATGTTCTAATGTTATTTCAATTCTTTTTTATCACAGGAATTTATTTAATACTTACACCGTTTTCATACTATAACTTATTATTTGCTTAGATGGAACACAGCTCCAACATTATTATTATTTATAAGATTTTTTTTCATAAACGTGGGACTAAGAACATCATCATTTAGTACAATGAGAGTACTCATCATTTGTGTCAAATAAACCTAGTTTGAATAAATTGCTTACAACAAAAGAGAAGTTTTGGATTTTTGTCCTCTAGAGCCATATGTTCGAAGCACTGTGCACCGTATAGAAGTTAAAATATTTTCCTGAAATACATCCTAGTACATACTTTAGGTTTGCAATTAAACAAAATTCTCAAGTTTATTAATCTAGGAGCTACAGATGTCCGACGCACTATTGCCGGTCCCTGTATAACTTTTCTTTGACAGACAGATTTTATCACTAAATATTTTAAATATTTTTTTTCTGAAAAACAGTTTTTTAGATTAGCTATAAAGTTTTGGATATCAAAAAATTCATCGAATATTAGAGATTCTAGAAAAGAAGAGACAGTAAAAAATTACATATCTAGGAAAATATATAAGAAAAAATGGGGGAATACATTTAAAATAAGAACGATGTTGTCTTCTTCCGGCACTTTTTTACACACAATTTAATTTAATTTTGTTTTTGACAATTATTAAATTAATTTACCGAAAGGTCCTAATCTATAGTTAAAGGCAACCAAAACAACATCTTCATCCATAAAAAATTTGGGACCTACACCACCCTCGTTCATATATCCAGCACCTTGTATAAACCCACCACCATGGATCCATACCATAACCGTTAAATCACTTTCGATTGGGGTTGATGTAAGATTCTAAAAAAAGAGATTTATCAAATCAATAAATATTTTCCTTAAGATTGATGATGATTATAGTCTGATGATTTGTTTAATTCATTGTTTTATTTTTGGTTATTTTGTCTTGCAGTACCCCCTCTATTTTTAAGGAAATCTTTCTAAAATTACTGCTTTGCAAATTGTTATTGTTCAGTATAGTTTTATTTTTGATAAAATGAGTATAATGAAAATGAGAATTGCGTAAATCTATAAATTTTATAAAATGAGTTTCATAACAATCAGAATTGTGTAAAACTATATCTGGATGAAAAAAGTTCGAATAAATTTATGTCCTGCAGTGCTTCGTTTCGGAGATACAGGGTGTAGAAGTTTCATTTTTATTTCGATTTTTTTCAATTAATTTCTGAACTAACGTCGATATTTGAATAAAAATTGGTGTCTGGGTGTTTTTTGACATGAAAAATTTGGAATTCGATGTTAATATGACTCCTAATTGTACAGGGCGCCACCTGCATATTTTTACTGTTTTGAAGAGTAATAATTTTTCGTCCGGGCATGTATTAACCCCCACTGAGTAAAAAATTCTACATTTCCGCTGTATTTTATGTAAGAAAGGTCTCTTGGCAAAACTATCGCTACGGGTTCTCTAGATATTTGGATCCGAAATAGTCAATACATGTCATCATATTGACAAAAATTAAACATATTGACCTTCAAATTCTGATAGTATTTCAGACGTTTGAAAAATATCTACATAAAATTAAACCTCAAATTCGGTCTCTATAAATCCACTATATAATATATATACTATATAATGCCAAAGAATTACTAAAATTATATAGAAATGTTTTTAAAAAATACCTTTGGTGAAAATACGTTTACAAATAAACAATCTTCGCTCTCTTTAATACTGTCCTCATTTACTTGGTAACATATGTTCTTCTCCGATGTAGCATCGTAAGTATCGTTCCAAGGGGAAACAGCTTGAGCTGGCTACAATTTGATATAAGTCAATATTAAATAATTATATACTCCGCATCACAAAATTCCGCCTCCAAGTGAAAAAATGCGTAAACATCTAGAAATAATAAGAAAAAACAGCAAATTGGTCGAAGGAATTTATCCTTATCATTTACTCTGATAAATGTTTAAATAAACTTTTCAAATTTCAATCCTTCATATTTTCTCAATGACTCGACCGATTTTCAAAAACGAAGCGGGAAAGTATAGAGAATAAAAAGCCCTTTACATTGCGGTACCACTTGACCCCCCTTCCCATTTGAAAAAAGTTGGGGGATGACACCCCCGCTTAGAGGGTTGAAGATTTTGCAATCATTTTTGGGGTAAAAGATGTCCTCCTCACAAGCAAAATTGACGTGTTTTTGGATTTTTTGAAAAAAAAATATCCTGGCCGTTATGCCTTGCGGAACGTTTTCGATGGGCCACCCTGTATAAAATTCCATATTTTCTCCAACCAGATTATTAGCACATACTAGATTTCATGCGCCTATATAGCTTGATGTGACAGGAAACATTTTTTGTGAGACAAAAATATTTCTTGGTAAAGCATTTTCCTTCCTCAAAAAATATGCACAGTGGCGTTTTTTACAAGCGATAAAAAAATAGTAAATAGTAGTAAATACTAGAAGGACCATTTAACAAAAAAATCGGTCGTCGGTGGACTTGGAAAATATTTCTACAAACATTTATGTAAGGGTGGGGGTAGTTTTCACCATTCCCGTACATTTTCTTGATTTTTTGTACTTCAAATGTTGAATCTGTTAGCAAATCATATAGGCACCCCGAATATCATTCATATCGGAATAACGTTTCTTTAAATCTCTTAAAAAATGTGTTTATTTTTTTAAAGTTTGATGCCTTACACAATCAAAATCAAAAGGATGTGATTATTTACATTTATCTGAAAACTTTTGGTCAAAAATAGATTATAAGGGAACATTTTTAAAAGAACCGAAATTTATTTTTTTTGAAATATCTAGTAAGCCATAAACTTTATCAAAAATCCGAAAGGCACATATGTTTTTCCTCACAGAACTACAATTCTTTCCCTATTTAACCGACTCTCTAGCTCCAGTAGTTGCCAATATACCTATTGAGAACATCTTAGAAAACTCTGTATATTGATTTTGTAATGGTACCTAGTTGATCAAAATTGTTTTTCACACTCAAAAAAACATATAAAGATAAAAAACTACAACATTGTACTTAGATTTTTATAAATATATGACACACAACCGTTAGTAGCTAAGTTATTATTAATATTTTCCAACTCAGTTTACTAGTACTCTAGCACCGAATATTAACTAACTATAGTGCCTAGTAACAGGAAATTGTGTCAAAAATATAGTTAGTAGTGCTACAGTTTGAAATAATGATTTTCATTTAAGTTTCAACGAGTACAATCTGAATATTCTCTGACACAAATTGTAAGAATTACCACCACGGTTATTCGCTATTTTCGTTTAAAATCAAGCATATTTAACTATGCTGAAGATCTACAAATTGATAAAAATAAAAACTACAACGAGATGCCTAGTACCATTTTAAACGCAAAATGTAGCAGACATTTTTTTACCTGAAATCTAAGTTGTCCTATGGGTGGTTCTGCATATCTCATTGCAAGAAATGAGTGGTAGGTTGTACCAGCTCTTGTTGTATCAGTAGTACCTTCAACTCTTCCATCTGGTAATTGAATTAGTAATCCACTTACAAGCTGAAAATTTGCAGGGATTAATAATTTTATCACACCTATGCATGATTTTTTTTTAATATTTATTGTTAAACATATTAATCTAAATATAGAGTGTGTTGTATAATTTGATGATTCTCGATTTTTATGATTTTTTTCCCTGATCCAAAACTCTGGATCAGGGAAAAGCAGAATGTCCACTGGAGAAACAGACAGGGGCATAGGCACAGCAAGGCTTTTATCCAAGGACCTAGCTCCAAAACCGCAAAAGAACTGCTAGTGCTTAGCAGGAATAAAGTGCGGATTACAACAGGCCTCTTAACAAGACACATGGCTGTCAAGTGTTACCTGAACAAGCTCAACCTGTATCAAGGAAGTCTTTGCTGCAGACTCTGCGATAAAGATCCTGAAACAGCGGAGCACATAATATGTCATTGCGAGGCTCTGAATCGCAAGCGACACTTTTTATTTGGGAAAGCTAGGCTAGAACCGGAGGAACTATGCTCCCATCCTATCAAGGACCTGCCTAAGCTAGTGCAGGGCACAGGGATAGGAGAATGGGTGCAGATATAGAAAGGGGGCAAACACAATAGGCCTCACAGGTCGCAGTGTTTCCGGCAAAGTACGGCCCCTTGTTATGAAGAAAAAAAATAATTTAATGATATAATCTGAATGTTCATATTGTCTAATTAAAATAGAATATTCATAGTTATCAAATTATAATATGATGATGTTATATCTAAGTTAAGCCTGCTTTTGATGTTTAATGATCAAGCAGGCTTTAAGTTGACAGTTGGCAGAAAAAAAAAGCATATTCCGAGTTACACATTTCATTTCAAAAAGTTTCTGCTAGTTGATTTTAAATGGTAACAGTGCGTAAGGTCTTACTTCTAATTGCCAACATTTTGGCACTAGAATTAATACAAAGCTTATCGTGTAAAAAACTAGACGTAACAGAAGAGTATGGGTTAGAAAATGGATTAACTATATAGAGCAGTGCGATTCTGTTGACATATTTCTTGTCTAGTGACTCATCATGTAAGGCACACTAATGCGTAACGCTATTTTGTACTCAAAAGCTAGAAATTATTCTTTAACTACCTAATTTTATGTTTCTGATTTTGTGTGTTCTATATACACTCATATTTTTTCATAAATATTAATAAACTTCACAGAATTTTCTTCTGACTAACTACTTGTCGCCATTTTTAAAACATCACTTGAATGCTAAAAGTTAAACCGTAGTGAATTGAGAAATGAATCAACTCCTTTGGGCAATTGACTGATTTGTCGAGAACAATCATACCTACTTACATTCATAACGATATTAAAATGGAGAAACGTATGTGGTCGAAAGAAGATACCATCATTTTGATTAATTTATTCGAAGGATTTCCGGAATTGTGGCAAAAAAAATCGAAAATTTACAGAGATAGAGCTAAAAAGCAAAGAGCAATCAAATTTATATCTGACAAATTCAACACAACTGAGGCTGAGATTCAGCGGAACCTACATAATATTAGTACCCAAGCAAACCAGGAGTGAAACAAAATTATAAAAAGAAAAAGTAAAATCGACTTCTGACATTCGCAGAAAATTGTTTAAATGCTTTGGGTCTTCATTTCTTATTTTTTTTAATAACATCGCGTAAGCTCCAATACTAGGCCTTCTGGCAATCCGTTCTTTAGCCCATATTCTTTTTCTAGATTTTCTTGACTGTTTGCGTAAAATTGCAACAAGAGCAGTGGCTGCAGCTCTCTTTTTGTGGCGCGGCATTTTTCTACTAAACAATATACTTGTGCAATATACACCATACCGTGTATACGTGCATGCAATTTCTTGCTCAAAGCATATGCCTAGAAAGTACTTGTTGCAAGAAATTGCTTTAAAATTTGCTTAAATGTAAACACTATCGCAAGTTACTCTAGCAAGTTCTATCGCAATTTTCTATCCCGTGTAAACTACGCTTAAGAAATGAATTCAAGTGACTTGACTTACCAATTGACAGTCGACATAAAAACATGCATATTCATAAGTCTTTTTGATGACAATGTAAATATAAAATAATATTAATATATTATTATTTACCTGTAAAAATATAAAACTCACTGCTAGCGAAATCATAATTTACTTTATTTTTTGTCATATGGTTTAATATATGTACGTAGTGTTATTTCATGTCTACTTGAAACATAATTTCATAAAACTACTTCAGTGCAATTTTTATTATTTAATAATTACTTAGATTAGATTGCCCTCCAGTTCAAGTATTTTATTTTGTTATATTATATTCTTCCCATTGTTTACAAATTATGAATTAAGGAATCCAAGATCGATTGATCGATTTTCAGAGGACAAAAACAATCTTTGAAGTGGTTTTTATAGTATGATCATTTTTAGACTAAATTTCCTGGACATTTAGTACTTTCCAAAATTATAAAACAGCACATTTTTTATATTATATATCTGGAAATATTTTATAATTAAAACTATATTATACTTAAATAAATTATATTGCATGGTATATAGGGTGAGCCAAAACAAGATGTATTTTTCTTTAACGGTTTAAATAACTCTTATTTTACATTTCGATATAAATAAAAGTGGTTTTGACAGATAAAATTATTATATAAAAAATCATTGTTTATATATTATTTTTCTACTTCTCAAGGTTATTTTTATCTGCATTGATCAAAATCTTTGAAATATATATAAGATCTTGAAATATGACCATTTTTAAATGACATTTTCTAGACATCAAAAATTCACTCAGTATTGATAACTTGCAAAAATTATTGATGCTTTCGTATATTGAACATGTATAATTTCTGTCAATTATGACATGTATTGGCTATTTTAATTCCAAATATCTTGAGAAGCATTACTCGTACCGATTTTTTTCAAGAGAACTTTTTTGCGTAAAAAATTACGGAGATGTATATTTTTTCACTCAGTAGTGTAATACAGGTACGTACGAAACGTTATTACTCTTCAAAACAGCTAAAAAATATGTAGGTGGCGCCCCCTATAGTAGGAGTCATACTGACACCGAAATCGAATTTCTCATGTCAAAATACCCAGACACTAATTTTCATCTAAATATCGACGTTAGTTCAGAAATTATTTGGAAAAACTCGAAATAAAAATGAAACTTCTACACCCTGTATCTCCGAAACGAAGCATTTTAAAATAATTTTATTTGCAGATCATACTGCCCCATATACAATGACTAAAGAATCCAAGGACAAATAACACCCGAGAGCAAATTGTGCCGATGTCACCAAACAGTGCCGTGGCACATATTTTTCTTAACCTAGCTGTTTAAAGCAATATTTATATTTTTTGATAATTGTTTTGATTACGCCTATGGTGTATCATCCTAATTAATTACGAAAAAAACGTATTAAAATGTTAACAAAAGGTACAAAACTAGTACCGACATATAGCACATATCAAGTACATATAGATGTTAATTGAAATTGAAGAATAATTATCGAATTCAATAAGAAAACGGTAAAAAGTTGGAGTGGATTGTTTATTTACCTATGAAACGCAACTCCTGGCTTTTTCTTACCGCTGCTGCTTTTACACTTGAAAGCTGAACAATTAATCACCATTGTAATAAAGTTTATACAAAGTTTACTGCACATAAACTATTAAAAATCGCTAAAATTGTCGCTGGTGACTAAATGATGACTCATTGTTTGCCACCAAAAGAAAGGTCTCTAAAGTCACAAATTCTGCTGCAGCCCGTATAGGGCGTTACATATCCTTATATTTTTTAGTCATTGCCCGTATAAGTTTCTCGAATTCGGACCACCCTGTAAACAAGTTTTAGCATGACAAGCAATATTTCAGTCGATAGTGTTATCGGTTTCAAATTATATAAATATTGTTGTTAATACTTCAGTTTATCAATAACATATGAATTAATTGAAAAAAATAAATTGGTATTTTAAAGGTGTGTCTTTTTCAGGGTATAATGTCACATTTTGGATTATTGACTCTTATTTTCTTTTTGGTAATTATTGAATAATTTTACCCTAGAATTTATACCTCTTATTTTTTCTTTTTTATTTTTTAGTTTGGATCGTCCCAATGTGATACTGTAGTAGAAACAGCGGATGGAAAAATAAGGGGAATTTTACAAACAACTAGAAATGGCGTAAATTATAGCTCGTTTCTTGGTGTTAGATATGGTCAAAATCCGATTAACGAGTTAAGATTCCAGGTAAATAAGCGAAATAAGAAAAAACATAGATAGGTATTAGAAAGTAACCGTTATTTCTTACATAGCAAACTATTCATAAAAAAGCATTTATGAATGCGATATTAGGTCCTCTGGTTACTTGATTATTATTTCTAAAACGAAGTTAATATATTTTTATTCAGTAAGAGAGAAATAATTTAGCATAGCCTATATTAATTAATTATTATTTTATTTTTTAATTTTTAAGCGTATCGTATATCTTTTCAAATATATTGACTGGGACTTACTATAGTGAATGATTTTCTTTCAAAACCTAACGAACTAACCGTTTTCAGCCACCTAAAGCTGTGGAACCATGGGACGATATATTCGACGCTACCGAAGAAAAGGGTTACTGTTACCAAGTGCCATTTGATAGCGATTTAGAAACTGAGGATTGCTTGCTTCTCAATCTATATACGCCAGTGGTAAATAGATTTATTTGTTATGTTTTAGACCTTGGTTTTAGAAAAGTTTTCATATCCTCTTATACTACCATGATAGAAATACCAGTGTGTTTACTGTTTATTTTATATTGGTTAAACTTCTTGATTCTTGTATTTTATGTATTTTATGGTGTCCCATTTTTGTGCGTTTTATGGGATTTATCGTTTATGAATAGGAATACACAAATGCGGTTTTCACATCACTATGTTACTTTTTTATGAAATTAAAAAGGGTAGAGATAGAGAGATAGCACAGATTTGTCCTAACCTTCTCAATTCCTGAAATACAGGGTGAATTTGAAAATGTTGCATTTTTTGACCCCCCTCCCCAGTGAGTATTAAATAGTAATTAAAAGACGTAAATTAAATAGTAATTAATTTCTCTCAGCATAACAATTAATTTTAGAATTTTAAAGTATATTTACACAATAATTAACAGAACATACATAACTGCTTGTAATAAATCATTGCATTTTTGATAACTAAGGATTTAGCATCAAATGCCTCTGCTGGTCTACCCGTCATGTTCTTCATTCACGGTGGAGGGTTTGTGGAAGGAGCTGGAATATTAGAAGTCGGAGTTGGTCCACAGTTCTTCATGGAATATGGCGTCATAATGATTGCAATCAATTATAGACTTGGGCCATTTGGTAAGAGTTTCGCAAATTTCGTTTAATGTTTATTAGCATAGCTGAACACTATTCGATTTTGTATTTCTAGATTTCGTTTAAATTTTAACAGACCAGTTTATAATTTTTTTTCTCGAACTTTATTCCTCTGCCTACATCAAAATGATTGTTTTGATTAACTATTTTAAACCGGCCACCTATATTAAAATGTTAAATAATGCATTTTTTACCTTGTATTCCTTGTATATGAAAGTAAGTACTGAGTTTTAGAAAGTATATTCTTAGAAAGCTCTTAACAAGGCAAATATAATAAAAATTTAATATACAGGGTATCCCATTAAAAAAAAACAAAAGGTTGGGTCATATTTCAAGAATGACAGCTCGTAGCAAAAATCTAGTCTGAATGAAACGCCACTAATTCTACGTGAAAAAATCTATGGGACTCACTTTTCACCTTTATAATAAGATAACCGAGATACGAAGTGAGTCGAAAAATGTAACATTTTCAAATTCGTCCTGTATTTCAGTGTAAATTGTGCAATTGTAATTGCCCTCTAAATTTGTGAAGCAACTTTAATTTCATTAAAAGGTAGCACAGTGATGTGAAAACCGCATCTTTGTAGCTCTACTCATAAACGAACACACGAAAATGGGACACCCTGTATACTATGTAGTAAACCCATCATTTATGAAATTCATTTAGAATTAAATAATTATATCTTTTTCTTGCATTTTTGCTTCGATTTACTAGATACTTGTCAAAAATAATTTACATACATCAATTTGCGATAATATTTATGTGCTTCAGTAGCGTATCTGATGTTTGTGTTATTAAATAATATTTATAACTTATCTATTTTTATTAGAAACATATACTTTTTAACAATTTTAATTTTAACTACTAACATTTATTGGCAACGTAAAACAAAATCTACGAATTATTGCGTCTACCCTATATTATATTTTTACAAGTTTTGAATAAAATTAGAACGGCACTGATAAACTGGAATTTAAGTCTCAGTCAAAGATATGAAAAAGAAAGATATACACTTTTTTTGTGGAACAAAATCAAAAGTTGCATTTAGGCACAGATACCGTACGTCTGTCCGTTCTGTAGCTACGGGGTATCCGTGAGAGGGGAAACGATATTCTCTCGATGTTTTTCGTAAAAAATTAGACGACGCGTCCCATCAATAAAAATTCGACAAATTTGCAAGTGGCCAATAAAATGAGTGGGCGGAGCGATTTGCGGTGACGTACTCGTCAAGTCGACGTATAAAATATATTGCTGTTTATTTAAACGTTTTTTGTCCGCATTCCTTTCATAGACACAGATCCAGCAGACGTGCTGTATATATCTGTGATTTAGGGTATTTCAGATGATACGTCAACTTAAATTAAAACTATTAGCGGTTATTCCGGCGTTTGATTAGTATTAAACATTAACTGATATTTTTTTCCATAGGATTTTTGTCTACTGGTGATAGTATAATTCCCGGTAATGCTGGTATGAAGGATCAATTGTTAGCTTTACAGTGGGTGCAGCGAAATATTAAATATTTCGGTGGCGATCCGGAAAAGGTTACCATTTTCGGGCAAAGCGCTGGTGCTGCCTCAGTTTCCTATTTGTTGCTGAGTCCATTATCAGAAGGTAATATATTACTTTAATATCTTCATATGTTACAAGGACCTGAATATAGTAAAAATTAGACGAAAATTTAAAATAATCCGGTCCTGGTGAAACAAACATAATAATCACATGTTATGGTCAATATGCCAAATCTATAAATGATTTTTTTTCTGCAGAGATCTGTCAAAAATATCCTAAGTTATATTGGCTATGAAAAGTTACAAAAAGTGCAATGTAAACACAATAGAATCTTTAAAAAATCAAATATATTTTGTAGATAAGAAAATTTAGTTATTAAACATTAAACACTACACTTCTTAATTATAAAATAGAGATTATTTGTCCTAACGTTCTTCACCCCGTTCATAATACTTGGTCGGAATATTTAGCTGACTTATGCTTCTTCAAAATTCACCAAGTAACGGTAGGATTTTACTGTTTTTCTACTATTTCTCTAAGCATTCTGATGGTACTTACTTCTTTTTCATCTTCCACTTGGTAACTGAATACTTAATTAATTTTCATTTATTATTTTTCGATGATCTTTGTTAATATTAGTCTTCTTTACTATATACAGGGTGGCGCACCTCATTCGCCTCGGTTGATTATACGAAAACGGAAAGATGTAGAAACAAATTTTCTGGATGTATGTAGTGAGTCAATAATAAGTGCATAATTTAAAATTATTTTCAAATGTACAGGGTGTGTCAGAACTAAGATCCATACCAAAGTTATATTTTTTCTTATGGTATTATTTTATTAACACCCGGTATTTTATTTCATTTTTGGATTCTTGGGCATAAAATAAGGCATTTATTATAAGGGTTTAATATGTTTAAATGCTTTGGGTTTTGAGATATTTAAAGATATTTAAATATGTATGCTATAATAAAAAAGTTTATCAACACCCTGTACATTACTTTTCAGAGTTAATTCTTGTGCTGACCTTGAAGCCAGAGAAATAAACTTTACTAAAAAATTGTATTGCTTCCTTAAATGTATACAGCGGTATCAAAAATTGCTGGTCTATTTTAAATATTTATTTTACATAAAAACTTCGTTATTTCAAATGCAGCACATTTATTTTTTTAAAGTCGAAGCGGATTTAACTGCTCTTTTAAGCTATATTAGGATTCTCTAAGCCTATAATACCTATCTGGCTCAGATTTTGAATAAAAAGCGATTTTTCAATAAAATTGTAATCAATATGGCTGGGGTCGCCATGACAATTTGCTAATGACAGTTAGTAGCTATTTTTAAAATCGACATTAGTTTATGTACTTTATTTAAATTTATAACAGTTTTCTTTTATTTCATTTACCTACAATAGTTTAATAAGTAAGTTATTTATTATTTTATCAAGAAAAATAAAGTACTTCTTGATTTATATTACGATGACTTCTGGATATATTGGATTTTTTTATAAAAGAACCAATTAAGGCAAATTCATTTTCTTCACTTCCAACGACAGGTTTCTGCCTAATAGGTTTTCATATACCACACTATCAGCTCTGCGAAATAGGACAAGTAGTTTTTCAAAGAAACGCTTGTTACGAAAATTCCTATTTGGATATCTTTGAGCATAAACCCTTCAGAAAATAAAAAGAAAATAAAATCACTAGTAACATATCCATTCCTTCCGCTAGCAGATACTGCTTCGATTTTCTTAATAAAATAATAATATTTACTTGTTAATCTTATTGTAGGTAAATTAAATAAAAATAACCTGTTATAAATTTAAATAAAGACCATAAACTTATGTCGACTTTGAAAATCTAACTCGATCTCACTAGCAAATTGCCATGGCGGATGGCGACCCCAGCCATCTTGATTACAGTTTTATTGAAAAATCGCTTTTTATTCAAAATCTGAGCCAGATAGTTATAGGAAGCCCTAATATAGTTTGAAGGAGCATTTAAATCTACTTCGACTTATTTAAAAATATACATAGTGTTGCATTTGAAATAACGAAGTTTTTATGTAAAAAAAATATTTAAAATAGACCAGCAATTTTTGATACCCCTGTATACATTTAAGAAAGCAATATTTTTTTTAGTAAAGTTTATTTCTCTCGCTTCAAAGTCAACACAAGAATTAACTCTGAAAAGTAATGTACAGGGTGTCCCACTAAGAATAGCTCTCGGCTGTATCTCGGAAAGTATTAGCCGTAGCGGCTGCGGAAAAAAATATTTATAACTAAAGAGGCTATGGGAAATTGCTGGAAATTATTTTCAAGATTGTAGAACGACCGCTAGGGGGCACAACTGCAACAAGAAATAAGAAAATGGAGTTTTTACATAATTTTGCCTAGATAAGGTGTACTGTAAGTAACAGCTTCATAATCTTCAGTAAATTTTGAATATTTTTTGTTAAAGCCATTTTCCTCTATCTACCAAAATAAAGTGGTGGGGGAAGGTTAGATATGTTTTTATTTGAATATTAATAACTCTGGACTGGATGATCGGAATCCAACAAGCGAGGACTCGTTTAAAAGAGCGTTTCTTGCTATATATTGTACCATATAAACAATAATAATAAGCTTTTGAACGTAGACGCTAGGGGGTGTTGTCTTAGAAATTAACAAACATTGCGCGTTTTTTGAAAAAAATTAAATACGATAGTATGTGCTAATTTTGCTGGTAGTAAAGAGTAGTAAAAGCTTAAAAAGTCAGCGAAAACCGCATCTTGATATCTTCTTTCAAACCGAAGATATTAGCAAAATTATAATAAATACCAAAAAATAAGCCCTTAATTACCTTACTTTTACAACACGGTATCAGTAGCCCTCTTGATTATGCCCATTCTAACCTAAAAATAAGATAGAAACAGTTATTTTATTTTAAGATCGACAATATACCAGAATATCATATCAGATGTATTAATATCTAATAATTAAGATATTAATAATAGTAAACAAGAAACGATGATTCAGTGAAGTCATGGTAGGCTTTGGAAAAAAGTTGCTTTTGACGTAATAGTATAAACGTCAAATTGTTATTAGATCAACATTTTGATATTCTTAGCAGCGTTTTTTATCTATTGATTGCTTTTTCAAAATGCCAACAACTTCAACTACTTCAAATAATAAAGGCATTTTGAAAAACAATTTAAAATATAAAAAAACGATGCTAAGACTATCAAAATGTTGATCTAATCACAATTTGACGTTTATACTATTACGCGAAAAGCAACTTTTTTCCAAAGCCTACCATGACTTCACTGAATCATCGTTTCTTGTTCACTATTATTAATATCTTAATTATTAGATATTATTATTATTAGGCGATTATACCCTCCGTGGTATAAAGTCAATATGACATTAAAAAAATATTTGTTTTAAAATTATTTTTTGATTTGAAGGTGGTATGTTTGTTATTCCAATCAGTACGGGATTATTATTTTTTAATTAATTTACAGTATTCTTTTATTTTTTATAACACCATTAAGGAGTTCTTTAAAAAGTTTTTTTTTCTTTAAAAAGTCTCTTTAATATATTTTTCTGTAAATTAAAAAGGGGAAAACTTCATTCATCATTTTTAAAATTTAATGGGATGTTCTACTATGTTCAGGTCGACGATGCAACAGACTGTATGATTCATTCATTTAGGCTTTTACATTTTTAATCATTATACATAGGATTTCTTATGCCATACTATCGAAAAAAAACTGCAGAAAGTCGGCTGAGGTATAACTATCGACAATAATTTTGGCGAGGTCAAATTATAGACATCATTTACTTCTATTCTTTTTAATCTTTCTATAATTAGTGTGAATTTTTGACAAGTTTTATGTAAATTTTTAGTAAATGTCGTCTAGAGATTGACCTCGCAAAAATTATCATCGATTGTCATTTCCCAGCCGTCTTTGACGCCGTTTTTTTTTTCACGATCGTATGGTATTTAGGTGGTGGATATAGCACATGGTTATATATTGATATATTTAATGTTTTTCTAGGTCTTTTTAGGGCAGCTATTTTGGAAAGTGGTTCCGCTTTAAGTCCCTGGGCTTATCAAAGAGATCAAGTTGAAATATCTTATCGAACTGCAGGCATCTTAAATTCTGACTTCAATACAAACAACAGGAATTCAACTCAACTTCTGGAATATTTGCAAAGTGTGACTGGTAAAGAAATCGACGGAGCCTCAAAAAATTTGACAAAAAAGATTGTAAGTATTTTATGCAATCTCATAATACGAAGTATTGGTCCCCGAAGACTCTTAGGGCACAAACATAGTGAGGCATCTCGATACGATGCTCGCCAAGATGCTGGCCGCGCTGCTCGCCAGGATGGTAGCCGCGATGCATCCTACGCGCACTGTTTTAAAACGGCGAATAGGTGCGCGTAGGCATACTGAAGCATTTACCATCGCCGTTTTATTAAACACCAGTTTATATAAAGTAGTTATTAATTAATTAATTAGTATAGGCACTTGTTGCATTTCAGTTGATTTCAACAAATTCCGACCGCAGCGCTACAACGGCAAAAATCAGATATTATCCCTACCTATTTCACGTCGCCGCCATGTGTCATCGCATAGAATAATATTGAAATCGTGGTTTGGTTATAATACTTAAGTATTTTAGTTGTTTGTTAGTGCAGTTATTGAGACAAAAAAAGAGATAAAACACTCAGGTACGAGGTTTGTGTGATGTAACGCTGTTTCGGGTAATAAGAAATAAATGAAAAAGAATTCGAACTAGGCGTCGCGCGTCGTGCTGTGTTGTGACAATTTCAAATGTTAATAAAATTGCCGAAAAAATGTTAACGCGTAAAGGAGAGCGTACTTAGGGCGTTGTTGGGTGCAATTACATACATTCAATAACTCAAGTTTCCCGGATATTCAACTTTCCCGAAACAAAATTTTATAGCTTCATAATTTCTCACACCGATTTAACCAAAAGCAAAAATGGATTCAAGCATTTCGACGAAACAAGTGAGTAAACAAAGTGCTCGTTACATCATCAAAAAATTAAAAAGACATATACTACGAGAGGATAAAATATAATTTGCAATATTAATGATATACTTTTTTTAATCAACTAGCGATTAAAGTACTTGCTATAAATAAATAAAGTCCATAAACTAATTTCGATTTTGAAAAAAGCTACTGTCACTAGAAACTTGCCATGACGACATCAGCCCTCTTTGTTGCCATTTTTTTTTGCTAGATAGGTATAAGATACCCTAATAATAGTTTCAAAAAGCATTTGAATCTGTTTCGATTTATTTTAAAAAATACAGGTTGTATTTGAAATAACAAGGTTTTTATGTAAAATAAATATTTAAAATAAATCATCAATTTTTGGTACCCCTGTATAAATTTAAGGCAGCAATATAATTTTTCTGTAAAGTTTATTTCTCTATCTTTAAACTCAGCACAAGAATTCTAAAAAGTAATGTACAGGGTGTTGATAATCTATTCCATGGTAGCATACATATTTAAATATCTTTAAATATCTCAAAAAGCAAAGTTTGTAAACATATTAATATATAATAACCCTTATAATAAAGGCCTTATTTTGTGTCCAAGGATCCAAATATGAAATAAAATACCGGGTGTTCCATAAGAAAAAATATAACTTTGGTGTAAATCTTAGTTCTGACATACCCTGTACATTTCAAAATAATTTTAAATTATGCACATGGTCTTCCCACATATGCCGATAAAATATTTTGTTTCTACATATTTCCGTTTTCGTATAATCAACCGAGGCGAATGAGTTGCGCCACCCCGTATAGGTGTTCCATTTAAAAAAATATTCGCGATCCACTCACACTTTTTTGAGCCACCCTTTAGGAGTTCAAATATTTCCTTCATCCTAATACATACTTTATGTCTGGACTACAAAATTCATAAGTTTTTTATTATTAGAACTGCAGATGCCCGACGCACTATTGCCGAAACCTGTAGAATCAAGGTTATTACATTGTTGGTGATAAATTAAATATTAGTATTGTAAACATTTTATTCCACCCGACTCTAGTTCGACATATGCTCAACGAATTGTGATCCTAAACCGACCAATCAAATGTAAAGTTTCAGGCATCCGCGTCCGCTTCTCGTAAAAAACAAAAATTTTGTTTCCTTGGAAGCATCGCGCTGAACATATAGGTGCGTGGCGAGGTGCGAGGCTCCAGTATGTTTTGACTAGCGATGGGAACTATCGATTGAATTAGACTATCGAATGGTTACTGAATGAATGATTTCAACTATCGAATGATTTTATTCGAATAAAATCATTCATTCATTTGTATACTAAAGCATATGTGACAACCTCGCCGTGCGACTAAATGGTTATCGTTGAGCCACGACTATCGAATGTTTTTGATAAATGAAATTTAGTATTCGTTTGATTTTTGTGTGCGTCAGTGCATTATTAGTTCTTCCAAATTTTTATAACTTCGCCTTATAAATACTGTGCTATTTTTGCGTTTATTAAAATATTTAAAATACTAAAATAGTAGTTTTTTTAATTGACGATTGTGTGCGTGTGCAGGTGGTCAAAATTTTTCCGAAAGTTTGTGTGATTTTCCGTAGCCCGATCTTTCAATTATTTAATTTTATATGGTATATGGTCTATTTTTTAATGGGAAATTTTGAGAAGTAGCAATTTTTAAGAGAGATGAGATGAACTTACAATTAATTTTAAAAATACATATTTGTATTTTAGATGTTTTAATAATATGAATTAGTTGAACTTAATAATTATATTAATTAATGTGGTTAAGTAAATGGTTATCGAACTCAGACTATGGGGTGAGAAAATTAAATTAAAAGTTTTACACGTGCCAATTTAAAAAAAAGTTAACGATGTTTGTATTTTGTTTATGCTAATTCTCTTACATGTAGTTTTTTGCGAAGAAATATTTCATTTATTTTTTAGTAAGTAAATACCAGTAAAAGTAAATATTATTATTATTAAATAGTAATATAAAGTACCGAATATAAATAATTTTGATTTCTAATTTTTATTTATATTTTCCTTGCATTACACTGCACGCTTAGAAAATTAATAAATGTTTATATTTCATGATTTTAAAATTTGTTGTTAATATAACAAATTAGTTCTGTAATTATTATTATTTAATAAACCAACGTTGCCACAAAAAATTGAGAGACTATATTATTTTTAAATAGGATCTAATATAAATAATTTTGACATCAAATTTGTTGTTTATATTTTGCTACTACTTAAAAAAAATGTTTATATTAAATGATTTCAAATTTTGTTGTTAATAGGTATAACAAATTATTACTGTTATTATTATTTATTAAACCAGTCTTTGCTTAAACACATTAAAAATAATTTTCCTACATCCAAAATAACAAGTATTATTGCAGTGTAACAACAGAATATTAATAAAAAAATATAAAATATATAGACATACTATCCCTAACTAACTAAAGCCAAACAATAATATTCTTTGCTAATATTAATTATTACCGAGACTAATACCAATATATGGCAACAGCGCCCTTCATAATGTATTTTCTGTGTAAATACTAGCACCTCAATAAAAAAAATAGTGTGTCCTTATCTTTATCTGACTCCACAAAAAATCAAAGATGCCGGCTTCTTTCATAGCATTGCCACCGACCGGGTTTTTCGGAAAGAAACCTACGTCGCCGGGCTACAACTAAAATCCAGTTAATATTTTATTATAATCGATCCTGACGAATAAATGAATTTTCTAAATGAATGAATTTTATAAATGAATGGTTTTTGCTGCCGAATTACTAGAATACAATATTTCAAGGCAGATGACGCATCTATTCGATAATTTTTATTCGAATAGTTTTCAACGAATGTTTTTTTACTAGCTATCGAATTATTCGAATGAATTGCAACTATCGAATGTTTCGATAGTATTCATTCGATAGTTCCCACTACTAGTTTTGACGCATAAATTTGTACATGTTTGATTCAGCATCAGAGGTGAATGGCGCGCATCGCGTCGAGATGAAATGCCCCGCACTATGTTTGTACTATAGTCGCGATGGCATCCTACGCGCACTTACTCGCCGTTTTAAAACAGTGCGCGTAGGATGCATCGCGGCTACCATCCTGGCGAGCAGCGCGGCCAGCATCTTGGCGAGCATCGCATCGAGATGCCTCACTATGTTTGCGCCCTTAGAGATTGTTACAACTAAAATGAGTACAGCGTGTCCCATTTTTTTAGTGTTTTATGAGCAGAGATACAAAGATGCGGTTTTCACATCAATATGCTATTTTTTATGAAACTAAAGATGCTACAGTCAGATTTGTCCGGGCCTTCTTAGTTCCTAAAATATAAGGCGAATTTGAAATTGTTACATTTTTCGACCCCCTTTGTATCTCGTTTATCTTCTAACATCGAAAAGTTGAAAAATGTGTCCCACAGAGTTCCAACGGCGTAAACACTGTTCCGTTATTGCTAGCTGTCATTTCCGAAATGTGACTCAAACTTATGATTTTCTAAATGGGACATTCTGCTTATTTCTTTTTTCATAAAAATGCATTAATTAATTGTTTATCTTAAATCAACCTACCTAGTTCAAAAAACTATTATTCTATTTAATATACAGGGTTGCTTTTATGTATGGAAACGGTTGATTATTAGGTAAAATATAGGAGGTACCGCATAAAGTTAAATATAAAAGGTATAGGATTTTTAAATATCTCTTAGCGAGTAATAAATTTAAGTATACAGGGTCGTTCATAAAGTCGTGGCACATCAAAGTTTTATTTTTTTAAATAGAACCCCCTATATATTATTACATTTATCAATTCTTCCTTCAATTCTAAGCAAAAATCGAAATATACACAATGTACCTCAAAGCAACCGTTTCCGAGTTATTGACTTTTGAAAATATAACTTAAACAATTCGATTTAATTAATTTCGATGCGTTTGGTTTGATTTAACATGCCATTCTGCCGAAACTGTGATACTGTTGTAATGAGTTTTTAAATTCCTATTAGCTACTAGTAAATTTAAGTATACAGGGTGGGTCATAAAGTTGTGTCACATCAAACTTTTTTTTTAAGTGAAACCCCTTGTATATTATTTCATATTTCAATTCTTCCTTCAATTTTAAGCAATATTCGTAATACACAATGTACATAAATTGAAGAATTGAAATGTTAAATGAAAATTTTGTAATTTCCAGACTCGATATACTCTCATTTTATACATCTATATAAATGCTAATTTGAGAACTAATGTCAAATATCATTAAGTATCACAGTTTCGGCAGAATGGCATCGTTAAATAAAACTGAACATATCGAAATTAATTAAATCAAATTGTTTAAGTGATATTTTCAAAAGTCAATAACTCGGCAATGGTTGGTTTGAGGCACAGTGTGCGCATTTTGATTTAGAATTGAAGGAAGAACCGACGAAATATGCAATAATATACAGGGGGTTCCATTTAAAAAAATGAAACTTTGATGTGCCACGACTTTATGACCCCGACCCTGTATACTTAAATTTATTACCCGCTAATGGATATTTATAAACTCTATAACTTTTATATTTAACTTTTTGCGGTACCTCATATTCATTTTATTTTACCTATATATTTTACCTAATAATCGACCGTTTCCATATATAACAGCGACCCTGCATAACTTTACCAGATAATGTTGCTTTTCATCGTGTTTTCTTAATCTGCACTGAAAATGAAGTTGTGTTGCTTCTATATAACACGCTGTTGGTCAGAGTTATTAATATTTTTGATGCACTAAATTTCAAAACACAAAAACTATACTATACGGATTTTGTAATAATTATATATTTGATATTGGTTTCTCTTCCTCTAAAGTGTTTACTTTTTAATAATTTTATATGTTTCTATGTAGTTTTGTTCAGAAAATGATAGCAAAAATATGGACAAAAAATGTCCTAATAAGCTTTTGAATTCCAAGTGAAATTTATTACTAGTTATCGACAGAACTATTTTTGTTTGGCTTTAGGAGTTTCCTGGCAATTTTCAAATTTCGAAAGGGTTTTATTACAGTCCAGTAATCGAGGAAGAATCTGAAACTGCTTTCTTAACGAAATTTCAATACGAAGCTTTTGAAAATGGATCTTTTTATAGAGTTCCTGTATTAATCGGATTTAATGCAGAGGAAAGTTTGTTTATGCTCTCCCGTAAGTAAAATTTAAACAAAACCATACTTTTTTAAACATTATACAGGGTGTATAAATATGGGGTATAAAGATATTTACTTATACAGGGTCAACCACCATTACACTATAAATGCCAATCTCAATTTTAACAAATATATTCACTAGACAAAGTAGTTGAAAATGCTGATGAATATTCAAGGCGAGGTAGGTGTTTGATCACAGTGTATTATGACATATCAAAATCTTTCTCTAGGAGATGCGAGACCTCGTCATTAGTGGGGTAACTCCTAGTCAGGTGCTAGGAAGAATTCCCTTTAGCACTTTGGCTGAGTGGAGCATCCCACTGTCTTGTCCCTGGTTGTAGTGTCGTGGATCAAGACGTATAACGATGCCGAATGGGACTATCCTGTCCGTCATAGGCATCCTCTATTTTCTGTGGTCATGTCTTACGGGTAGGAGACATGACAAAATTTCAAATCAAATCACCAAATTTAATTTTTGACACTGCGTGATTAATTAACATGAAAATATGTTGTTTGGAAAAATGCAGTAATGTCTTTAAAATTAAAATTATTTAGATTAATAATCAATTAAAAATTATTTGTTAATATAGTAGTAACTTCCTCCTAGTTTTTCAAAACAAACTGTGGAGCGTGGGGTGGTCTTAGCTTAACGCCCGGACCAAGAGGAGACAACTTCAACCGGATCAGGGTCAACGGGATGCGTGGCTAGATAGATAACTCGCCTGTTGTATTTACTACTTATAACTTCTATGTATGTAGAAGTTATATTTTATAACTCCAAACGGAATTCGTAGAAGCTACCGAAAATAAACAATTTGCTTCATTTTAAGGAGCTCTTTAATTTTTTTTCTTTTTAACTCCTACTACTACTACTACTACTCCTACTACTCTAATTTCAACTCCTAAAATGTATTGACAACGTAAAATAAAACAACAAATTATTGAGTCTATCCGACATTATATATATCTTTAGCCTTTTTGAATAAAATTAGAAAGGCAGCTATGCAAGAGCTTACCGATTCTGTTACTGTAATGTGCTATTTACTGGCGGCAATCAAAAAGTTCAATATACGGGATATTACGAAATTTAAATATATTTCATTATTTTTAGGAACCTTTCATCGAACTCTCAAAGAATATGACAACAATACCAGATATGTAGTACCTTTTGATATGCATATTGGTAACTCTGATGAATTATTAACTGTTGGGGAATCTATTAAAAAGTTTTACACTCCTGATAAAAATTTTGAAGACAATAAATTAGCTGGAGTTCAGGTAAAATCTCCAATATCCAATATATCTCGATCATTTGGGTATACAGGGCTGTTCACGCTTTCGACACTGAGTAGTGTAGCCAAATTATTACATTTGTTGAAATTGTGAGTGATGGGAACGTCAATTGCAAAAGGTACAGAGTGTCCCAAATAAATAAAAATTATCAACGTTCTATATTATTATATTTTTAGTTTCTACAATTAAAATATAATATAGTTAAATTTGATTAAAGTTTACCGCACTTTAATCTTAGCCTTTTTAAACTGTCGAATACACATACAAAATTCATATTTTCTAGTATTTGGAGCAATTATTAATCAAAGCAAATAGTCAATTAATGGAGTTCAAATATTAGGATAATATTAATAGGTCCTCTTTTACAAATATTTTTTTTTGTTTTTTTAAAGAAATAAGCGATCTATATCGACAATATTAGTATGTGTACTCTTTGAAAATTTGCTACATCTTTAAAAATAATCAATAATGTTAAGATTCCATGGGCATACTTAATGATAAATATCGATCAATAAAGTTTGAATTACAGTAATATAAATTTTCTACGAAAACCTGAAGAGATGGCTAAAAATTGCCTAATAAAATTTGATAGACAATTACATAGGGTTTCCATACGTCCGGATTAAGTGTCCTGGGCGGTCCGGTCCGGATTTGGAAAAGCGTCCGGGAAACCTGACTGCAAAAATAATTTAACTTTGTAAAATATTTTACAGTCATAGTTGAATTAATTTCTCAGTTACTTTGTTGAATACTTTAGTCTCTACGATGCTACAACTCTACTTAACCGACGCATGTTCGAAAGTACTCATATCTATACTTTAGCGCTCAAATTTTTCGCTTTTGGTGCACTCCTGGAAAGTGAATGTTTTTTTTGATTTATATTTTGTTGGTTCCGGGGCTATTATTTGCGTCCTATAAAAGTTCATAAATAAATTTATAGTTTCTTTTTTGCGACGTCCGGATTTTGTCCGGATTTCAGAGTTCATTTGTCCGGATTTCTGAGTTCACTTATCCGGAACTTCCAAAAGCCTTTATGGGAACCCTACAGTGTATACACCCCACATTGTGTACCCGATTTACTTTAAATATATAGGGTGTTCCATTTAAATTAAACCAGTTATTGCCGTTTATAAAGCTAGTAATTTTTAAGAATATTTTCTAGACACTCTGTATAAGGTAGGATGAGTTTTATTATTGCACAATATTTGGTAAATACAAACACAATATATTATATAATAGCTCTAAAAGCCTCAATCATCGCTTGATTGGTTATCTTTCTCCATTTGTTTCTGTCTTTCGCTTTTAATCTCCACCCATCCACTCTTATCCTTCTCAAGTCCTCTTCAACATCCTTTTTCCATCTGGTTCTCGGTCTACCCCTCCTTCTCTTTCTACCTATTTCACGTTTCATTATCATACTAGGAATTCTTGCTTCAGCCATTCTTTCAATGTGTCCCAGCCAACTCAGTCTTTGTGCTTTTGCTACTCCCTTATATTCGGTGCCCGATACAGATGCTTTAATTCTTCATTTGTTCTTCTGATCCATATGTTTTCTATCTTCTTTCCTCCAAAAATCTTCCTCAGTATTTTTCTTTCCCAAATCTCTAGCCTCGAACTCCTTTGAATGGAACGTCCACGTTTCACATGCATATTATGCATACAGCACTATTGGTCGTATCATTGTTTGGTACATTCTGATTTTTAAACTTCTAGAGATGTTCTTACTCTTTATAATTTTGTGTAGTGCGCTAACACATCTATTTCCTGCGATTATTCTTGCCATAATTTCTTGAGTTACATTTGGTTTCCTTAGAAATACGGCACCTAGATATATATATATATATATATATATATATAGAAACACAATATTTGGTTTTAAAAACGTAAATACGCCTAGAGAAATGAAGCTTTAAAATTGTTACTGCATTATTACAAAACCGTAAATATTTCAAAAAAGGTAAGATTAAAGTACGGTAAACCTTAATCAAATTTACCTTTATTTTAATCGTAGAAACTAAAAATGTAATAATATACTGGGTGTTCCATTTAAAAAATGGTCTACTTTATGGCTAAAATGGATTCTGACCGCTCGGCACCCAAATTTAGAGAGTTGTGTTTAGAGAAGTGGTCATAAATGACCGCTTGATATAGTCTGTGAAGCGAATAACTTTGAATTTGACAGTTCCCGCGGGCTTTTCTAGTGTTAATTTTATTAGGTTAGCAACTTGCGGCCATGCATTTTTCTTTGTTTTTGTCAATGACTAAAGAATATAAGGACATGTAACGCCCCTATACGGGCTGCAGCAGAATTTGTGACCATTTTTTTTGTTTTGGTGGCAAACAATGAGTCATCATTTGGTCACCAGCGACAATTTTAGCGATTTTTAATAGTTTGTGTGTAGTAAACTTTGTATAAACTTTATTATAATGGTGATTAGTTGTTCAGCTTTCAAGTGTAAAAGCAGCAGCGATAAGAAAGAGCCAGGAGTTACGTTTCATAGGTAAATCAACAGTCCACTCCAACCTTTTAGCGTTTTCTTATTGAATTCGATAATTATTCTTCAATTTCAATTAATATCTGTATGTACTTGATATGCGCTATACGTCGATACTAGTTTTGTACCTTTTGTTAACATTTTAATACGTTTTTTTCGTAATTAATTAGGATGATACACCATAGGCGTAGTCAAAACAATTATCAAAAAATATAAATATTGCTTCAAACAGCTAGGTTAAGCAAAATATGTGCCACGGCACTGTTTGATGGCATCGTCACAATTTGCTCTCGGGTGTTATTTGTCCTTGGATTCTTTAGTCATTGGTTTTTGTTGTCTTTAGAAATGTCAAAAGCTGATGACATTTTACTTCTGACAATTATGATATTTCGTGTTGATTTTTGCAAGAAGAGGAAGAACTGTCACTTGTTTTATTATTTTCCTTTTCTATTTCACGGAAGTAAAAAGAGTTACCTATCTGGGTACCTATTCTTGAAAGCGAGAGAAGGGAGTGGTCTCTGGGAGCTCCCGGGGAATGCTCCCTCACTCGACCTCCCTGAAAACGAAATGTCGTATTCTTGAAGTACCGAACGCACCGAGAAGTATAAGGGAGGAAGTAGAATCGGGGAACAGCGTTGCCGGCTGGTTGCCGGTGTGTACAACCAATAGAATTACAGCAAATCTTGACAGTCAGCGGCTTACTTATTCTATGGTCAGCGACTTCGGCTTGCGTACATCGCGTCTAAAGATATAATTTACTTTAAAACGTAAAATTTGGAACGATTGCAAATGCAGGTTGATTTGTTTGTGTCCCAAGTATTTGTGCCTCCGGTAAGATCAACAAAAGGGCTTTTTTGCTTGTCTTGCACTTTAGTCAATACAGAAACATTATTCAGAGACGTATTATTTTCAAATTAAGGACATTAATACAGCGGGTACAAACAAAAACGACTAATATCTAAATTTAAAATTGTTCAAAAAATATATATACTTTTTGAAGTTTTTATCCATATTCAAAGCCATATATATATATTCTACTATAACCCTAATTTATACATAAGAAAACTTTATTGATTTTTTATTAAGAGAAGATAAATGTTCTCTTTTTATACCTTAATTTTAGTTCTCAAACAAATGCACATTTACTAATTTTAAAAATGACATGTTTAAATTTCTATCCACCCTGTATAAAACATTTTTACACACATTTAAAGAAACATTTTTATCTATAAATATTAAGTCTGTAACAGCCGAGTAAACAAAAAACATCGTAAATAAATACGGTAAGTTGGGTTAGGTTTGCTCTCTCCCTCGCTTTCTAGTAAGAGAACTTTTAACTCCCTAGCAACTCCCCAGTTTCTTACTCCCTCCCACAATATTTTTCAAGAATACGGAAACTACCAGTTTTATGATTACCACGCCCACTTCTCTCGGGAGTTCTACTCCCTGAAACTCAAGAATAGGTACCCTGATTCGTTCAGGCACTCAATTTAAAGAATATCAGTAACTTATTTGACAGAGGGATTTTATATTTGCCATGTTGGTAAAAAATAACGGTTAAAATTCAAAGTTATTCATTTTATAGACTATAGTCACCTTTTTTAAAATACATATTCTATCAACTGTTAAGTCCCGTTATTTAAATTTAGGTTACTTTGTAAATGATTCTGCGAATTATGAACTGTCCGAGTAATATTGAAAACAAAAATCCCGATACAAGTTTTGAATACAATTAATTAGCTGATGGGTAAAGATAAACAAGTTAAAATTGTATTATCTGTCTAATTTATATGAGTTATAATTAATTATCCATATTTTTTTAAATTGTAGTATCACTCTAACCAAGATTTTGACAAATCTGTAATAAAACAAGCCGAACTTCAAGCATCTTATGTACCCGTTTACTTCTATGAATTTACTTATAGTGGTAAAATGGGAAATAATCAAAAACATCTCAATGGTAAGTTACAACCAAAAAAAAATCGTATTTTAAATTTCAATCTAGAGTGCCGGATTTTTAATCATATCTCAATTTTTTCAAATGGAACAAGGGTGGCTCATTAGCGTATCTGGAAAAAGCATTTTTTATGAATAATTTGGTACCACACTTGGTATTTCAAGTCAAATTGTCGTTATGGATCGCATGTTGCAATTTCAAATAAACCATATGCGAAAATGTCAAAAGTTGACATCTGATATGTCATTCTATTCAGAGTGTCATTTAGTAGATGAAAAGTAAGCAGAATAAAGTAGAAATATACCGAGGGTGTGATTTAAAAATCAAAAGTTGTAGTCACTTCAGCTGAAACAGAAAGTGATCAAAAACAATTAAATACGTTAATCAATCTTAATTTATGTCATCATATACTAAGATACTAAATCTCTTTTTTTATCTCAAAAAATAAAAAAGTTATAGGGGTGAGCCACTTTTGAGACGCATCCGGTATATCGGGTTATTCCACTTCATTGAACAACCTGACTTATTTATTTTCAATTTAGGTTCTGGAGCTGTAAGACATGGCGAAGAACAAAATTATATTTTTAACCGCTGGTACAGTGAGGACATTCCTGATAATACCGATTTGAGTAAATTTTCGGAACAAGATATCAATGTTCATTACAGATTTATGACGTTCTTCACCAATTTTGCTAAATACCTGTAAGTAATTGGGCCCATATAATCACATTATAATTTCTGTTTTTATAAAGAGTTGAATTGAGATTCCAGAGGCATTCCTGCAGCTGAACTCCACTTTAGGCTCCTATATTTCATTTATTTCTTAATATCACAGTATTTTTTTAGAAACCCAACACCACAAGATGATGAAACACTGCAATATATAAAATGGCCAACGGTGGAGGCTGAAAATTTTCAGTATTTAGAAATTGGTACAAATTTGACGATTAAAAATGGCTTTCCAAAAAGTGAAATGTATTTGTTTTGGCAGGATCTTTATGCAGCACACGGTGTTAAACCATATGATACATACTAAATATATGTAATAATATATTAAATGTATTTTCTTCAAATACCTAATATTTTTGAATCATTTCCTTTCCTATGTTTAACGTTTGTAGATACAAAAAATAGCTTTTTATAGCTGATCAACTGGTTGTTTTAAACCATATATTTCTTTATTTATTAATAATAATTATTTATTTAGATGAAAAAAGCTTCATTTCGCGGCTTTACGTAAACTAGACTAAATGAATGAATTCCGAAAATCGTTCTACTAAATCTTTCTGTGCAAATGTTCATACTCCTAGGACAGATTTTTCAGAACTCACCCCTCATTTAACCCGTTTAGAGGGCGAATTTCCAAGAATTGCTTCCTGGTGTTAAATTACGTTTCATAAGGAACGTCTGCGCAGAATTTCATACATCTAAAACCGATTTTAACAAATATTTGTACCAATTTTCATCCCTTATTTCTTAGGGGATGAATCTCTAAAATTCGCTTCTGAGTACTCATTTTCATCACTTAAGAGACCTCTGTGCAAAATTTCATACTCCTAGTTCTAGAACGGATTTTACATAAAAATTATACAAATCTTAAACCTTTAAAAAATGAATTCCGAATATCGCCCTAAATATTCAATTACGCTACATAAGGAACCTCTGTACAAATTTTCATACTCCTAGGACAGTTTTTTCAGAACGTCCACCCTTCATTTCACCTTCTTAGAGGGCGAATTTCCAAAAATTTCTTTTTAGTGCTAAATTACGTTACATAAGGAACGTCTGCGCAGAATTTCATACTTCTAAAACCGATTTTAACAAATTTTTGTACAAATTTTCATACATTATTTCTTAGGGGATAAATGTCCAAAATGTACCTAAATGAACACCTTAGTAGATTGAAACTAAGAAGAAACGGCGAATGCAGATTCTGTGGGGAAGATGGGGAAACACCAGTACACGTCATCACTGAGTGCGCCGAGACGACAACCATTCGTGCCATGAATTTTGGTACAACTGATATTGGAGATGGAGAACTACCCTCTATAAAACCGTCCCAGATACTTTTGTCAAAGCCCTGGGACTGTATGATGAGTTATGACTCAAGAAAGGGGGACACAATGGATCTGTAAGGTCGCAGTGATTAACCCCCCCTCCCACTCATTCTAAATTCTAAAAATTCTAAATGTCCAAAATTCGCTTCTGAGTACTCACTTTCGTCACTTACAGAACCTCTGTACAAAATTTTACACTCCTAGGACTAACTTAAAAAAAATTCACCCTAGCTTCACGCCCTTACGAGATGAATTTCCGAAAATCGCTTCCAGCTGTTCAATTACGCTACTTTAGGCACCTCTGTGCAAAATTTTATACTCCTATAATAGGACATATTTTTTTGTACCCCTCATTTTACCCCCTTCGGGAGCGAATTTCCCAAAGTCGCCCCTTAGTGCTCAATTACGTCAACCAAGGAGCTTCCGTGAAAAATTTCATACTCTTAAAACAGACTTTAACAAATTTTTATACAACCTTTCGTCCCTAATTTCACCCCCTTACGGGTCAAATTTCCAAAAATCCCTTCTTGGTGCTCATTTACATCACTTAAGGAACCTATGTGCCAAATTTTGTACTTCTACATATTAAGGTGCGTTCACACGGCTGCGCCGCTCCGCGCCGCGCAAAACATTTTTTTAACTGTACTTTTGAAGTATATTTTTTTAAGCGCGCACAAAAGTATATGTTAAAAAAAAGAATTTGCGCGGCGCGGAGCGGCGCAGCCGGTGTAAAAGCAACTTTACGTACTTTTTTTCCAATAATCAATACATATTTCTTTAAATATCGAGAAACAAAATGTAATTTGGCACGGTGTTGGAAATATCGCCGAGCATAGTCCTCATAATTTAAAATATTTCAGGCTTCGATTATGTTGAAAAGCGCCACCGCGTGTCAAATCACTAAAGCATACCGCGGACGCGAAGAAACAAAACAATGCAAAACCAAGCAACGTTGCTTCGCTTTAGTCCGCGGACCCGCATTATACTACATACAATTAATCCAATGCACGGTTTTTCGCCGCGCTGCGCATAAGTGGCTTAAGGCTTCCACACGAGCGTTATTTAAAATTATAATATTCTTTCCTTGGACCAAGTCAACCGAATACTGCTAAATAAATATACATATATATATATATAATATAATTACATACTTAGTCCAACATAGTCTTTTACATGTAAAAAACATTTGAAAAACCTCCTTTAGTTACTTAGTGCTTATTCTACGGTTCACTTCAGAGATGGGTCTTTTTTCCGATACATCGATAACTATCGATATATCGAATAACAATAGGTAGCTTCGAAATTATTGATACCTTAATAAGACCACTTTTTATATTCAATACTTAGATTAGTGATATATTTTCTGATATATTGAATAACAATAGGTGTTTCAAAATTATTTATTTATTGATACCTATAGATATATTGACAACTAATATATTGATAGGTGAATTGCGATAACTTCGACAAGTAATCCATTATCGCCCATCACTATTCAAAACTTACTAGCCCCCTCTACCACTACTTAAAATGCATTCACTTTTGAAGAAACGCTCTGTTTTAAGAACCACACATTTCATCTAGATCACAGTTCTCAGTAGTAATCTCAATATTAATAGAGTTTATAGGATATGCTATGATAAGAAAAAAATACTGTAAATACATTAATAGCATACTTTATTATAAAAGAAGTTTGAAACTCATATAAAATTAAATTAAAAGTAACATAATTTAGAACGCATATCGCGTTCGTATATCTTCTAGTTTCTTAGAAACCTCTGCAGATGTTCTGTCTAAATCATTAGCAATACTTTTTTGTTTGGCTGGTTCAAGCGAATTATACTGTTCACAAAGATCACCATCAATCACATTCTGAAAAGTAGATATTGTATTAATTCAGTGAAGTATAAAGAATTATTTAAATAATGTTTGTTTTTCAATCAGTTGGTTTTTAATATAATCAATTATATCATATTCATAAGTCTAGCATGTATAAAATAACATCATAAACTAACAAAAGTACAAACATCTATTTACAAGTACAATAACTGCTTGCAGTTTAAAAAAATTACATGGTGTAGCGAGAGTAGTATATCCGAGATAAAATGATTTGAATTACCTTAACTGGGAAATAGTAGCTTCTAAATGCCAAATGTTCTCTGCAACACAGAGGTGGATTTTCGCTGCGCATGTGCATTTCCAAATGTTGGAAAAAATCGTGGTCTTCGTGTGAAGTGAACGGTACTAGCACTCCCACAGTTCCTGATAATGTGGTATATAGAAGGGACTCGCTACCACCAGGAATAAGGGTTGCTTTTTGAAGCCAGGTTACAGTTTCTCCAACATGAAAAGTTGCTATGGTCTCAGTCTTTTGAGATGCCCTATAAAAAATAAATTAAGGTAATCAATATTAATCAGATCAGAATATTAAAGAATACTATTTATACTGGATGCAATTGATAAGGTGAGGAAAAATCGGGAATTTTGTAAAAGTAAAAACCAAACCAAACGAAACAGCAAATTAGTCATGAGTAATACTCTAATTTTTCGTGTGTTTATATAGTAACACTAACACCTTTTCCGGTATCAACACAGAGTATCAGCACGATTGTGTCATATGGCACAGTAACGAATCAGCGTTATTTCAGTTAAACACACACAGTGTTCCGTGTTTGCGATTTCGCGCGCTCATTGTCGAGAGGCCCGACGGCTGACGCGGTACTCCATGTTGCCAAATGATGAAAAATTGCGTACTTTGAAATACAAGAAAAATTAAACACACTTTTTTGATAATTAATGGTAGTTTCATATACAATGTTATCTAATATAGCATCTTGAAGAGCTAAAGTAGTCTTTTAAATTAGAAAATTAGAGCACAGATACTCAATAAAAGGATGATGGCAACATTGGTTTGCAAAGGTAGTTGTTACGCAAAATCGGAAATCGGTAATTCCCACAGCACTAAGCACACCACGTGTTTTGTTTTAGTTTACACACGATACTCCGTGCGGAAAGCTTGCAGCGTTATATTAAAAGTGTCAGTGTCAAAAAATTCATTGACGCTGTTTCAACACCCATGACACACTGAAAGGTGCCAGCACAATAGTGCCATACAACGCAGTGTTACACATGGCTACGCAAATAAAAGGTATGGTTTTTAGTGTAACTCACCCATTCAGTAATCCCCTATCCCACAATGCTTTGTGACCAGTAGGATCTTCCTCTACATCATCACTCACATTGGTTGGTAATCTCATTATAGAAATATTACCAAATTTATCAGCTGTAGCAACCGAATTATAATCCAAAACTGTAGTACATGTAGTCCATCTTGGGTTCGTATCATCGGCAAAAATAATTAGTTGGTTTTCTGCCCTTTTGTATCGCACCATAAAAACAGATTCTTGAATATCTGATACGAATATTCTTTTGCCCATAGCTTGAATATTTACTATGGCGTTTGGTATATGCTAAAATAAATACATTACGATTAACTATGTATATATGTATTTTAATTCTGAATATAGTTACTGTTATAAATATTAATTAAATCAGAACTGCAGGAATCTCATCTTTATTGTCAGGGAGTGTGATACTATCATCATATAAACAATTTGGTAATATGAAAATATATTTTAAAATACAAATATTTTTCAAAAATTAATTGAAATGAAAAAATAATTTTCAACCAGACAAATTTTATAAAAAAATGTAATATTTCTCGATTTATAAATATTTATTATAGTAGCGATATTCTCAGAGATTGTTTTACTAAAAATGAACCTGTCAGAAATATTATATCCCCTTAAACAAAAAATAAAAAGTATCACATACCTTGTTTTCACATTTTCTTAGAAGTTTCTTCTTGCCCATATCATATAGTCTTAGCATTCTTCCAATTCCTGCTAGCAATCTACCATTATATGGGCAAAGAGCCATTGGAACTTCATCAACGGGAGTTCTATGAACTAATTCGAGTTTTCTGCACATGACATCTACCCTAATGACAAAAAATATTCTAGGAATAGAAGTTTATTTTCAAAACAAATTGTTATCTGTCCATTTCTTAATCATCTAATCTTTGTTATAAAGGTATTTTGAGCAAAGCAAAAGATCTATCACATCTGGTACTATGAGCATGAATGTCATTTTTGGAAGTTTTCTTTTGAATTCTTCAGTGGTAACAAAGAATTAAAATGGAAACGCCCATTAATATTAGTCCTAGTCAACAACTAACCTATAAGTATCCAAGAACCCTTGAGTACAGATTCGGGGATTTAGCTGATAATCTTTGGCAATTCCTAATATTAAAAACCACTGATGTTCTGGCTGTCCATGAAACTTTACCAACGCTAACGACATAGCAGCTTCATTCTGTTCAAAACGTAAACATTTATACAAATTCCCTCCAACCTAGAAAATTTAAAACCATATTTCATTTAAAATATCCTAGGGGCTATTTGCCATAAAAATTTCTTTGACTTACAGGATCCATAATTTTCAAAGTTGAAGCCCACATACCATGACCAGCTTTAGGAGCTGAAAATATATTTTCAGGCAAGTCTTCATTTAAAAATGCTTCAGCCATTTCTTTTGCCAACTCTTGTTCGTCTTCACCTGCTGCTTCTTTCATTTCCTTGGCATTCTGAAATAAAAAAGTATGGTTTATAGTTTATACATTATAACATTATACTGCTTGATTATAACTTCCTGTTCACTTTCCTTGATTATTGTTGTGAATTCAGAACATTTGTAGCGCTTCTATATTGTTATAGTCAAATAAAATGAAGAATTGTAGCTAAAGAAGATTTTTTTACAGTTATATGAAGCTGCAAAATACTTATTTTAGCAAAATGTTATTCACAGTATTAACGCCATAAATGATTTAAAAACCAGTCACATGGATGTTGTACTGTGGTATAATATAACAAAAATTTGTAATAAATATTAAATATAGAGATATACAAAATAAAAAAAAATATATACAGGGTGGTCCGAACTGTATTCCGGAAACTTCGGCACCATATTCTGCAAATAAAAATAAGTAAAAAAGTTCGTATAAATGTATGTCCTAAAATGCTTAGTTTCGGAGATACAGGTTGTAGAAGTTTCATTTTTATTTCGATTTTTTCCAAATAATTTCTGCAGTAACGTCAATACTTGGATGAAAATTGGTATCTGTTTTTTTTTGACATGAGAAATTTGATTTTGAAGTCAATATTACTAGTAGAGGGCGCCACCTACATATTTTTAACCAGTTTGAAGAGTAATAACTTTTCGTCCGTACCTGTATAAAACTACTGAGTAAAAAAATATACATTTACGATGTTTTTTACGTAAAAAATGTCTCTTGGTAAAAATCGCTACAAGTATTGGTTTTTGAGATATTTGGAATCGAAATTATTAATACCTGTCATCATTGACATAATTTAAATATGATGACTTAATAGTTACTAGACTGAGATCATAATTGTGAAAGTTTTTGTGCCAAAAGTTCAACAGAAACCGTTTTATTATCATTTTTTTGCAGAAAAATTTATGATTAATTAAAAAAAAAATTTCCCAAATTTATTATTTCAGTGAAATAACTATCTACTCAACGTGTTTATTTTTCGTCAATAATGACATGTACAGTACGTCTGTCCGTTCTGTAGCAACGGGGTATCCGTGAGAGGGGAAACGATATTCTCTCGATGTTTTTCGTAAAAAATTAGACGACGCGTCCCATCAATAAAAATTCGACAAATTTGCAAATAGCCAATAAAATGAGAGGGCGGAGCGATTTGCGGTGACGTAATCGTCAAGTCGACGTATAAAATATATTGCTATTTGTTTAAATGTTTTTTGTCCGCATTCCTTTCATAGACACAGATCCAGCAAACGGACTGTATTGACTACTTCCATTCTAAAGTTTCCGAAATACAGTTCGGACCACCCTGTATATAAATAAAATAAATTAACAGATCAAAGTTATTTATACAAAATGCGAAACAGCTGATAAAAAAATCAAACAATGTATTCCTATTGTAAAATTACCTGTAATCGTCTTTGTTTTTTTGTTTCTTCTGTGTAAGCATTGTGTTCTGTTTCAAGAATGAGAAGATTGCTAGATTCAGGATGAACAATAAATTTTCTGGGTGTATATTCTAATGGAAATGATATCTGCAATAAAATATGTAAACATTTAATGAATGGGTAACTAAATCTATGCCTATATTAATTTTATATAAAATTTGTCATAGGAATAAGTAAAACTACGTTTAATGTAGAAAATAACAAAAAATTCAAATAAAATTTTTAAGATTGCATAGAAAAATAAAATAAAAATGGCGTCAGTGTTCTTTGAACTGTAACTGCAACATAACATAACCCAAACAGTAACATAGAAAGACACAACAAAGTAGAGATTAATCATAAAACTTTGGGTTTTCGTTAAATTGTGCCTCTACTTTTTTGGTACTAAAAAGGTTTTTAAGTATTTAATAATCTAAATATACAAAAAATAATTAAAACTGACCAATGAAAATTTTGATAATTAATTTATATCTTAAATTCCTTGAAAAAAAAAACATATAACTGTTCCATGCAAGGGAAACCAACAGTAATAATTACACTACAATTGGTACTATGATGATGGATAATTATTTTAGACAATATCTTGATCTTTTTTCATTAAAGGAAAAAAGCAAAGCAGATACGTCTATCAAAAGTGATTTATAAACTGAAGAGATAAAACACACGAGGCGGTTTATGGACGTCGCTGCGCAGCGCTTGTGCAGTCAACGGAAGCTCCTTAATGGGATGGGCCGCTTAGCATGCAGCAACTGTGTTTTAGTTCTAAAAATAAACTGTATAGGTATGTATAGACTTGGTACATTTTACCAACGGCAGTACGTTTCAAGTACAGCAGAAATCAGAACTTCCCGGCTGCGTATTTCCATAATATACCATGTAGAGAACATAGGGTATAGTTCGTAGCCGCATTACTGGCGTTACTTTTGATGGCATAAACAGTAATATTCATTTGTGTAAAACAATGACTAAAAAATACAAGGACAAATGGCAACGGAGACCAAACTGTGACCATTCTTCCAAACAGTGCCGCGGCACATATTTTTCTTAACATAGCCGCTTTAGTATTATTGGTAAATATTTTCACTACGCCTCTGGTGTGTCCTGTGGTATCATACTAATTAATTACGAAAAAAACGTATTAAAATGTTAACAAAAGGTACAAAAGTAGTATCGACGTATAGCACATATCAAGTACATATAATATCAGAAAAATAATTATCGAATTCAATAAAAAAACGCTAAAAAGGTGTAGTGGACTGTTTATTTCCCTATAAAACGGAACTCCTGGATCTTTCTTATCATTGTGCCTTTTACACTTGAAAGCTGAAGAAATTACCATTGTAATAAAGTTTATACAAAGTTCACTACACACAACCAACTATTAAAAATCGCTAAAATTGTCGCTGATGATTCATTCGTCCAAACCAAACCAAACCAAACCAAAAAAATGGCGTCTAAAAGGTCACAAATTTTGCTGCAGCCTGTATATGGCCGTTACATGTCCTTATATTCTTTAGTCATTGGTGTAAAATAAAACCGCATGGTAAAAAACGGCATCAGCGATGGCTATGAAATGAAGATCGCTGTCATTTTATATATAAATTTATATGGGAAATGTCATCAATCGTTATTTCGCGGCCAATTGGACGCCGTTTTTTTCGATCATGCAGTATGTATTTATTCTTTACATTTAAAACATGACTACAAATATAAAACAAAAAAAATATCAACAAAAATAACATTTAATTATTAAATAATGTATATTCTACTAATTTCTTTAAAATATCAGCCACTTAAAGAATAATAAAAATAAACATTAGTTATTTCCTGTTAGATTGTATTGTTTAATTTAAAGTATTAAATATTAATGTCTTTTGGCATTTTGTGTATTTTTGGTAATATTTTTGCCCAAGCACTATTTTTTTAGGCTGTTCTCTTCTGATAGCCTTCTTTTTTTCGAGTGCAAACAAGTTCTTCTGGATAAAGCTCCTAGTTGTACTTTAATATACTACTTGCTTTTTTGCAGTTTATTGTAGTATTTTTGAGAAATGTTTTTAACTGCTGCACTGTGTCAATATAATGTGACATTATTAAACTGTGTTAATATTTCTAGCATCTGATTACTTTTCTATTTTTGTGTTAAACCTAGGACTTTTTTCTATATTTGTTTTCAATAAAGCATGTTTTACAATAAAGCAACAATTCAGTTCAAAACTGTTTTCCTTAAATTCTTGCAGCCCGACAAATATAGATGTAGTGTTACTTACAGCACTGGTTTTTGGTGAATACCTGTTGTCTCTTGTGAAGCCGAATTACTATTTATATCGACAATTTTACTTCAGATTTTATATTTGTTAACATAATCTCTAACGTACATTGCTCAGCCATCCTGATACTTGTTTACAATTCGCAACGGTCGCAAACTGTCTAATTCAATGCAAAATACAAGAAGTGACTAAAAATGTGATATATATCACGTTGTAACGCTGAGAAGGCGACTCCATACTATACCACATTTGGCGCGTTGTCGTATTCCATTCTATACCGCGTTAAAGACATCTTCAATGCTAAACTAAGCTTGGAGGTGGAGCTTAGAGACCCTATGCTCTCTACATGGTATATTATGGAAATACGCTTCCCGACTCTATATTTCACGTAGTCCCGATTAGTTCTGTTGATCGCGTTGAAATAATATTAAAATCGTGGCTTTGTGAAAACATAATATTTAAGTATTTTAGTTTTTAGTGCAGTTACTGAAACTATAAACTTCTCAGGTACAAAGTTTGTGCGATGTAACCTTAGGATGTAACGCTGGTTCGGGTAGTAAAAATTAAATGAAAAAGAACTTGAACTGTGGGCAACGCGATAATAAAATTACTAAAACACTATAAATTATATAATAAAATTGCCGAAAAAAATCAACATAAAAAGGAGAGCATAATGCTTGGTTTTTGGGTTACAATTACATAATCAAAAAATTATGTTATAAAAATATTATCATATACTATGACGATAAAATATAATTTAATAAATATTAATGGTATACTTTTTTTAATCAACTAGTGCTTAATTTTTTTATGGACGCGTTCTAAAATGATAATTTTGTACCTTTAAAAAAGTTCAATACGGCGTGTTATTACTAATCGAAAAAGTTTTTGAAATAGACAAAAATAAAGTTAAACGGACGGTAAAAATTACAAATTACTTGCTATCGTTTCAGTTGATAAATCCTTACTTGATTAAACACAGCGCCAAGTTTTTCTAAGGCTAAAATCCTTAATGTATTTGTCGAGATCGCAACAATTCCTTCTGGACACTGTTCAGAACTAAATCCAGAGGCATATTCCAAACTATCGTAAGAAAGAGGCGTCAAATAAAATCGACTTTGATAGTAATAACTAAGCCACGATCGGCTACTCATTGCTAGGACTGCTTCTGAATTTTGCATTCGTATTCTGAACAGCTTGACAGGTCTAGACCCTAAAACCAAAGTAAATTAAGTTTGTAAAATAGTAAACTAGAAATTAGACTATTACAAGTTAAGAGTTATAACGAATTTAATAAAAAAAGCGCTCTTCAAATAAAACATATATATTATCAGACAGCTCTCTGGCAAAAGAATAAATATGATTAAACAGACAATATCTCAAAAATAAAAAAATAAAAATTTTTTTAATTAAATTTCACAAGGGTAACGAAAAGGCAAATGAAACAACCAAACAAGGCTCATCAATGCCATTCAGACTCAGAACCCCTCTGTTGCGTTGCAAAAGCAGTCACGGGAATTACTACAAAGTGATGAGTGGCCAACAAATCTCTAGAATGGTGGAGAAACTCACCAGGGCAGAGACAGGCGAAAATGTTAATAGTAGAACATATGCTAAAATTCACAGCACACCTGATAACAAAACAGAAAGACAGTGAAAGCTGTAGTAGGTCTACTAATACGGCATTGTAAGCTGAATAGGCATCTAAAGCTAATGGGATTGACGGACAAAGCCCTGTGCAGGTTTTGTCAATCTGAAGAAGAAACGACAGAACACATTTTATGTCGGTGCGACAGCCTGGCAAATGTGCGGTTCTTGGTAATAGGCCCTTGACATACAGCTACATGGTGGGTTCCAAGTTGCTAGACTTTATGAAAAGGATAGAACTGGAGAACGTACCCTAAGGATCAGAAGAGGACCACAATAGATCAGAAAATGGCGCAGTGGATCAGATCGATAGTCACCTCGAATAATCTAATCTAACTGTATAGGAAAAATATAGAAAGTAAAATATCAAACAGATATCTCAAAAAGTTGGTGTGACAGCGTTTGTTAGTTTTATATGGCAGAAGTGAAAATGGTATTTCCATTAAGCAGCTCAACAATTCAATAATTTAATATTAAATGAATAAAATATTTAAAAAAGGCGTCCATTATTCTCAAACACTCTTGGTTTATGAGTTAAAAACAGAAGAAAGATAATATACTGATCTATATATTATTTCTAAAATGTTGTTGCTTATTTTATTAAACTATTCATCAGACGAAACAGTAAAATTAAAAAATATGCAACATCAATTTTCACAGTGCTAAACGCCACTCTAGATTAAGTTACTAGTCATCTGGTGGAGCTGGGACTGTGACTAGGATTTCCAATTTCCAGAATTGGGATCCCGTTTTGAATTCCTAGGAAAAGAACCTATAATCTCGGGATTAACTTATCAAAATGAGAAATTTAATCTAAAAAAATACTTAATAAAAATGCAGCTACATATATCAAAAAGAAAGTGAGAACAAAGTTTTATTAAAATAGACAAAACAAAGTAATATTCATATTTAGTAACTAAAAAAAAATCTTGTTCCAAAGAAAATAAAGGTATAATAGCAAACACTGAGATATAACTTTTAGATATAGATACTGACATTCTGCTTAGTATAAATAAAATATGATCGTTGGACGACTAAATCGAATCGAATTTTAGATTGGGCATTTAAATTTTTCGAGATTTTCGGAATCTCGGGATTTCAGGGATACACATACACCAGGACCTAACTGTAACCTACTCGAGAAAATCCTTAAAATAATAGCACATACCTAAATATCTTGTTCTCGTGTCAGTTAATTCTCCTGTTACTGGATCCAATACAGCTATTAGTAAAGCACCGTTCTGTAGGCCTATATTCAAGTATAAAGTACTACCGGCCTGGGCGCCTGAGCTTTCTGTATCTCCGCCTCCTCCCATTTCTACTATACATAAGGATTCCGGGCAAGCTGGTAAGACCTGCATTGCACGAGAAGACAGACAATCCGCAGGGTCTAATGACATTATTTGAACAGTGTCATTGGCCAACCCAACTGCCAGAAACCATGCCCTTTGTTCGCCAGGAGCGACGCTTCCAATGGCCATACAAAGCACCTCAGAATCCATACGTTTTCGTTCTTTATACTCATGTAGATGCCCAGTCTAAAACAATAAGAATATTTCAACTAGATTATAAAATGATAACATTGATACTGAATACTTTTTACGGAAATTTTTTGGTTTACTTCAATAACAATAGTTCATAGCTTAGATATGATTGAAGTGATCTAACGACGAACGTCACATTACGGATGCATATAAACCCATACTTACAAAAATGTTTTAATGTATCATCTTGATTCACTCCAATGCCTTATAATAAGCACATCGGAGGCGACAAGAGGATTTTTGTTTTGCATAGTTCTAATAGCAATAAGCCATGGAAAATGCTTATCAAAATATTTCTATGCTTATAATTAAAAAAAAAATGTAAATGTTACAAACCTTTTTTTTGGACTGAAATAATTAATGAGTTAAGCCCCATACTCACCACCCACTGTTTCAGTTCGTGAATGGAAGCATTTCCAAACAAACCAACAAATCGCATAGACGCACTGAATCAGCTAATAGTGAGTATGGCTTTAATGAATACTTACAGGGTCCATTTCAAAGCAGACCAATTCACCGCCTGTCAATGCTAACACTACCTGTCTTTGATTGACAGCACATTTTACAATCGACTTTTTACCATCTTTCCACTGATTGACTTTTTTATTTGGACCAATATGATGCATACCCTCTGGATAAATCTATAAAGTAAGGCTTCTTTAAAAATATTCTGATTTACCAAATTTGACTATATTTTAATACAAACCTGAACTAAAGCATCATTAGCTAAAGCAGAACAGGACAGTGTAGGAGTTGTACCTTTGAAACCACTGTCTGTTACTTCTTCAACTGTTTCACCAATTGACAACACCAATGTAGCATTTATAAATGAAACTATGATATATGCATCATACTCATCTGGAACAAAATCCACATCTTCAGTTGTAAAAATTCAAAAAAAAAACATACATATAACAGTCATAAGCAATTTTACTTATTCAGTTTTGTAAATTATAATCACACAGATTCAGGTGAAACACGGACAAAAATTTCATCACTATGGTTAATTTTTTGTATTTAAGAGCAAATTATTTAAATTAACAATTTAAAAAAAGTTCAAAATTATTTCCATATGATTGCAGTTCTTCAAAAGCTTACCTTACTTGGCAGGTTGGTCACATAGGCCACAATCTGAAATAAAAAAAGCACTGGTGTTGATAAAGCAAATTCAACATCCAGGCCTTGTTAAAAAACTTGTTTTTTTTTTCTAGATCAAGTTTTAATGTAGACATTACAAAGATGCTTTATTGCATTATACTGCAATAAAGGTAACATATATATATATATATATATAAAGGTTGAACATAAATTATTTATTCAAAAACACAAAAAATCTATATGCATATATTTCACTTCAATGGCAAGTTTCTAAACCTACCAACTTAAAATTAAACTTTAATCTCTGAATGATGTTAGACTTTTTTAAAGAAAAATGAAACTTTCTATTTCAAACTTTTTACTTGGAACTAGGTTAAATCTCAATAAAACCTAGTATTAATTCTTATAAAAAAATATACGAATTTTAAAATAAATAGTAGGTTATATAATAAACTATAGTAACTATATATTAATTTTAACATATAGTTACTATAACTATTAACATATAGTTACTATATTATTTATATAGTAACTATATGTTAACTATATATATATATATATATATATATATATATATATATATATATATATATATATATATAATTTTTCATGTATGTCATTTCGTTACTTTTAAACCGCATTCAAAAAATGGTGACGCATCCGCGGCATAATTTTTCATGTATGTCATTTCGTTACTTTTAAACCGCATTCAAAAAATGGTGACGCATCCGCGGCAAATTTTTTTCAGTAATATACTCCCTGAGGTACCTAAATGACAAAAATATATATAGTTAATATTGTTAACTTATTATCTGACTGATACCACTAGGTTTCTTAAAGAAGTCTATGAAACACAGTAAACAATGCATAATAGATAAAATAATAACTAATCTTTTGTAACACCTACAAATTTAGAATATATTAACTTACCATCACTTTTGTTTTTCACAGTCCATACTGCATTTGGGTTACCAGGAAGCTCAGAAACTGCCATTTCAGATACCTAAAATATTAAATAAATTAAAAATCTACCACCCTACATATAAAACAAAACAGTTAGCGTCGCGAAAATTGTCAGTTGGCAGTTTAGTCAGCACTAAACTTTCTTGGGTAACCTCAGTAGAGGGAGCCTGCCAAATACTCATCATGTACGTAAATACTTTATAAAATCTGTGTAAAAGAAAAACTTGTCTTGTCCAAATTTTGATAAGCCACCACCTTCCCTCCACCATCCATTTTATGTTAAAACATTTTATGTTAAAAACAATAAAAATCTAACATTTCAAATTTAGAGTAATAGTGACATCACTCGGCACAACTAACTTTACTGTAACACTCATTTATTAATGGTGCCCTCTGTTGCTTATCTTATAAATTGCGCATAAGTGATGTAATTTTTCATTTCATCTAATATTTTTTTTCTGAAAGGTAAGACAACTTTTCCTCTAACACATTTCAAATACATATTGATAAATGTAAAACAAACCTCTAGACCATGCCTCAACACTCTTAATGATGACCTTGGTCCTCTGCCGCATAACATATACAATTGAGGAGTATCTTCGCCCGCCAAATCAGCCACCCTGGCAGATAGAATGGGAGATAGACTTTCAATTTCATCTACCAAAATCAAATTCTGTAATTGTCTAGGTGCAAAAAAGAAAGTATCTCCTTCTTCTAATGGCATAGCAGAACTAAACTCGAGCTCATCATCATCATCACCCAGATGGGCTATCTGATACAAATAACTAAAAATTATATTTACCATTATGTTGCATCAATATTAAAGTACAGTAGGTATGCAGGCAACATGTTTTATTCAGACATCCAAGGAAGTTATACCCATTCATAAAAATATCATTTGGCAATAACTTTTATCATCATTTCAATACAGTCTATTTTATACTTAAGGTATGGTTTTATTCTATATACTTACTGATTTCCAAATTCTGAAGCTACAAACAAAAATCCAGTCTTTAGTACACACATGGCTGTGGCTACTGGCACTGTATCAAAATATTTCAACTTGATTTCAGTAACCATATCTTCATCTGTTTCCAATGTAATTTTAAATATATCTCCTTGTTCAGTTTGGGCCAAAAAGAAAAACATTGATTTTGATTTGCTCACTGCTGAACTAGACTTTGTTTTATATGTAGCCGAACATACGAAAATCATTCCCCTCTCAGGATCATCTAAATCATTTCTTCGTCTCGGTATAGGACACCGAATATCATGTTGATCTCCCAAATTTTTATATGTTAAATAATTTTCAGAACAGATAAGTACTCCAGAAGGACCTTCATCCCCACCAGGAACTGTTATCAAAAAATTTGCATGTTCTTCTAATGGCTCTGAATACTTTCGTACTACATGATTTACATTAAGGTCTAACTCGTAGAATGTTAATGTCTGTTGAGTTCTTTGAGCTGCCTCCCCTGTAGGATCTGAATCAGCTTCTTCATAGTCAATTTCAAGACAAGCAAACATAGGATTATTAAAAGCTACGTCAACACCTACCATATGATAAACTAATGTATTACTTTTAGGGGCTTCCAAAGGAGAAGATATTGTAAGACGAGTTTGGTCATCTCTGTTTAAAATGTAAGCAAGTTTTTGTTTTTCAATTGCACCTAAAAATATAACTCTACCATGAGGATCTGTCGCCAAGTATTGTCCAGGTACAATACGCCGACAGCCACTTTTACCAAATGTCTCTTGGTGTACTTTCACAAAGCAATTTTTTTGGGGTTGGTAATCAAGAATAACAATTCGACCACTATCAGATCCAACAATTACATAATCCTTGGTACCACCAGTCAACCGAAAAGGCATCATAGACCTAACTATGCCAAATATTTCTATTGTTAATAACGTGTGAATTTTTCCAGTGTTTGGATCTAATCGCAATAGTTCAATGCTTTTTCCTCTTGCAATAACAATTTCCTGAATCTTTGATCCGGAAAAGTTGCCGTGAATAGCATGGGTAATTGCAGTAGCTCTCTGAAGTGTTAAATTGTATAGATGCATCGTGGCTAAAAATCATTAAGAAAACTCACATGAAATCCATTGTGTTGACATCTCTAAAGCATTTTTTATAGATTAAGTACTATTTAATTATATTAAAATGAATAAAAAAGATGACAATAAAAAAGCAAAATAACTTGTTTACATTAGAAATACTCGAGTGGATAATTTAAACTATGTAAGATACTGAGACCAGGAATATATGTATTTTTCATATATTCCAACGATGCAAGATATCTAAAAGTTCTTTTGCACTAATTCGACCTACATCTACATAATTAAAGTAAAAGCAGGAGATACCAAGTGCTCATCTTTATAAGGATATTTATAAACATGACTTATAATTAAAATACATGCAAAATTTAATATAATGAAAATATAGAATGTAAAAAATACTTACTGGATTTATCGATGAACAGGAACCATAAAGAAAAATTAAGATTTTTTTATATATAATCACAAAGCCGACATTTTACTTTCCGCTTCGCATCCGCATCGTAATTTTTTCAGGGGATTTTCGATTTTCGGGATTTTCGGATTTACTTAACCGTTAACCGAAACCGAAAATCGATACAGAAGCCCGAAAACTGAAAACCGTTGGGTCATATACTGGCCATAGACTGTCATACATCATACATAGCATCATATACCGTATGATCGAAATAAAAACGGCGTCAGCGATGGCCATATGAAATGAAGATCGCTCTCATTTTATATGTAAATTTTTGGTAAATTTATTATGAAATGAGGGATATGTCATCGATCGTCATTTTCCAGCTAACTGGACGCCGTTTTTTTTTTCGATCATACGGTCTTTTTATTCAAAGTACGGTACTTTGTAATATACAATGACCTCTAAATAAATAACGCGTAAAATAAGATGTACTGAATAAAGAAAGAAGAACAAGTACCGTATGATCTCTAAAAAAACGGCGTCAGCGATGGCTATGAAATGAAGATCGCTGTCATTTTATTAAAATATGACATTGATTTTATTTAATCATATGATTTAATCAAAGATACATTAAAATACGCAACCAACCGTCCAATCAGATGAAACAGATACGTACCCTATCGTTGGGTATTGTGCCATCACGTGATGCTCATGTCGTATGACGGTTAAATTTTTGGTTAGAATTTTTGTTGTTGTTTTTACTGAAGAGTTTTTACCTGTTTTTACTTTATTTTTCTATTTACATCAGATTTATATTTTGTAATTGCCTATCAGACAATACGTATTTAGGAAAATAATAAGAATTAGGATCGTGTTTTTTTTAAATCCTGGAGATTAATTGGAACTTTTGATAACATTACTGCTTTTGATATAAAAAGTGCATTTTTGATTGTTTACTTGGGCTAGGATATTAAAATATCGGTTGGATTGTACGACATAAATAGATGTAGGTATGATTATTTATATATATGTATGTATTTATAAAGTTTACTATCTGTTTTGCATTTTCAGTTTTTGATCAGACATTTGATTTTATTTGTGAAATGCCCACAAAAAAGCTTCCAATGATTCAACATCAGTGTGTTTGCTGCATAATGGATCATTCCTGCTGATTTTTTAGATCATTTGAAGTTCTACACGGAAAAAACCAGATATGTTACATTTTCATAGAAATTGATAGCGATACAACTTTATAGGCAAGTGTTAACATTATTCGAGGCACCATCAAAGAAAGCAATAATAATATGCTTAGTCCCAGAGATATTACAGCTTAGTTATTTTGCCCTACAGGAGAAAAACCAGAGTAGTCCACTCGTAATTGCATTTTCTCGACTCCAGTTAAAATGAACAAAGCTGGTTTTTCCTGTGGTCTTCATTTGAAATAACGTAAATAAATGTTTATACATATGTGTGTGATGATTAAATTGGTGTTAAGGAAATAAAAATGTTTTTCGATATTAATATATACCTATATATATATTTATTTTGAAATAAATTACAATTTTAACAGTTTAATGGAGTTTTTAAAGCCAGTTATAATATTTATATTTTAAAAACTTGAAGTCATGTGGATGTAATCATGCATTAAACCACAGACTAACTTATATAAGTCAAAGAGTAGATTTTAGTGTTAACTTTATATAACTTGTAAGTAAAATAATAAATAAAACAAATATGAAAAAAACAACAATTCTAATGTATATATTAAAATACAGTACAATAATAGGTATCTGATACCCTCACTTAACGTAGAATAATATTCTACCCAACTCAATACTATGTCCAACATGAGTTTCAAATATATCGGGCCCTAATCGTTCCTGAAAATAGTATTTTTTTACATTGTTATACTATATTCTAAACTATTTAATATTTCAGTCACTTAAAAAGTTAATTTGTATTGTATAATTGTCTACCATTAAAGCAAATTTGGACTAGTATTCTTAATGGGCATATTCGGTGTATGGAAATAGGTACTTCCTCCAGATTTTAGGTTCAACCAATTTATTCTCAAAACCAGAAACATCTACGTATAAAAAATAGACAGGTCACTAATTATAATAAAATTTACCCTTAGAATTACTTCTTTAACAAGTAATTTCCATTGCTATACTTTTCCATGACAAGTAATCAACTTCCTAACATTTTTTAATTGATGTAATACTTACTCATGATGCGAAAAGAAAATATTTTCTTCAGCACACAAAGGACAAACGATATGTTGGCTTACTTTCAGATTAGTTACTTTTCCATATATATCCTCATGTCAATTCAAAGACGATGAACATGAAAATGATCATCATATGAAACATCACAAACTAAAAACCTAATAAACAAGTTTATATCGAATATAGAAATAAATTTAGTGTTCTTACCTATTGTCGTCCGAATCCACGTTAATAGATAATTAATTTTTTGGATTTTTAGCTTTTATTTTTAAATATATTTTTCGAAGTGCTGGTTTTAGTAATTATTAAATTAAACGAACTAAAAAGTCAAAAATAATAATAAACAATTAAGGGCGGATTTACCCAATTCCTTAATTGCTATTCCTTAATTCTTATTTCTTATTTGCTAAATTATAAAAAGATAAAATACGTGCTATGCAGTTAGTTTGGTTATACAGTGTCTTAATCCTTAATTCTTAACCACGGTTCGTAATTCTTTATTTTGAAAGTTCCCAACTTTTAACTTTTTAGCGATTACGAATTAGCGATTAAGGAAAACGTGTAGATGCGCATGCGTGAAATTTTGAAATGTTAATTTTTTGTGTATTTTGTGAACTATTGTTCGTCCCATTCAAAAGAAGGCATGTCTTGTATTAGAGTTCCAAAATTGCCTTCCATGCAGTGTTCCCAACCGCAGGGAATTTTCCCTTTTTAGAGAATTTTCGTACCCAAGAGGGAAAAGGGAATTTTTTGAATAAAATCGTGGCAAAAAGGGAATTTTCGAAATAACAGATATTACTTAGAAGATGGTAAATAATGTTAATACCAAACAATTCATTACATAAAATAAAATAATCAGCTTATCAAAATTCAAAAAAAGTTTGGCAATATTGCCCAAATATTTTATTGGGAGAGAGAGAGAGAGAGAGAGAGAGTCAGATGCGGGATAAAAGTTGCAGGATTTTGAATTGCCGTCAGGTGTTCGAAAAAAAGTAAATGCGCAAACTCATAAAACTTATTTGACTTTGACATCGTTTTTGGTCGGGGATTCCCATTGTATTTACATTTACATTAATGTTAACTAAAAGTGAATTTTAAAAAATGAGTTCTTCAAGAGATACTGAGAATGTGGAATGTGATAGCAGTTCTGTTATCTGTGGTGATAACGAGCCGAGAGAGCCACCAAAAAAGAGAAAAATACAAAAGGATAAAATGTTTAAAACATATTTGTTAGATGATCCGTTATTTAAACCTTGGCTATTGGCTGATATTAATTCGAAATACAAAGCAAGGTATGTCCAATTTTTAGATTTTTTTAGTTTATTTTATTAAAAGGTTATACCTATTTGACATATTTAATTTTTAGATGTAAAGTTTGTAACGTGAGTATTAATTCCGGAAAAAGCGAATTGCAAAAGTATGCAGCAACCCGCAAACATATAGACAAAATGAAAACTGTAAAAGAGACTAAAAATATAGTTCAAATGTTTGCAGCAAATAAGGATAATATTCACAATTCCAATGTGAAAAAGGCGGAACTTAAATTAGCTGCTTTTTTTGCTGCAAATAATGTGGCATTTCGATTAATTGACCAATTAGACCCAATTTTGAAAGAGATATTTCCTGATAGTAAAATATGTCAAGGCATAAGTTTAAAACAAACTAACTGTACGGAGATTATAAGAAATGTTTTATGTAAAAAGGAAACAAATGATTTAATTAGTTACCTGAGAAAAATACAGTTTTCCGTATTATTAGACGAATCAACAGATATTGGGGATTTTAAAAGTTTGGCTGTTCTCGTTCGTTATTCAAAACTTGGACGAATAGAGACTAGACTTCTAGAGCTGATACAAGTAGATGCAAGAGATTTAGGAGCAACACATTTATATGGGGTTTTTAAAGTTTGTTTGGAGAGACATGAAATACCCTTGAAAAATATAGTTGGTAGGTTTTTATAGTCTTTTATAGGTATTTTTTCGCTTAAATAGTTTTTTTAAGGTGTTGCATGTGACGGTGCCAGTGTGATGGTGGGGAAGCATCATTCCTTTTTTAAATTATTACAGGACGACATACTCCATGTAATTTTATTAAAATGTATATGTCATTCTGCAGCATTAGTGGCGTCTAATGCTTGTTCATTTCTTCCTCGATCTGCGGAGGAATTACTGCGCAATGTATATAGTTATGTATCAGGAAGTGCAAAACGGTCCGCACAATTACAAGAAATGCAAGAGTATTTTGGAGAAAAGAAACATAAAATGCTAAAATTGGCAACAACGAGATGGCTAAGCAGGTTTGAATGTGTATGTCGTGTACTTGAAAACTGGAATACTCTAGAAAATTATTTTACTATTGCAGTCTATGAAGACAAATTAAAAAGTGCCGAATTAATTCTTAGGGAATTAAAAAATGTCTATACCAAGGCATACTTATTATTTTTAAAGTATACTCTAAAAATCTTCAATACCTTTAATACTCTTTTCCAAAACAGAAAACCGCTTATTCATGTGTTATATACTGAGTGTATCATGCTAATGAAATAACTATGTCGAAATTACATCCAACCAGCAGTTCTCGCCGAAGCAGATCTATCCAAACTGAATTTAAAAAACCCTAGAATATTTTTGTCATTGGAAGAAATATACTTAGGGGCAGAATGTTCCGAACTTTTAAAAACCACCCCAGTAGAAGGCAAAGAAACATTTATTAAAAACTGCTTGAATTTTTACATTGAAGGAGCAACAGATCTACAGGAAAGGCTACCTGAAGCAATATTTAAAAATATGGCATTTCTTAATCCTACTGTTGCTTTTAATATAGATGCTTCAGCAAGAAATATTAATTTTGAAGAACTAATTAATAAATTTTGAAGTGTCATTAACATTGATAAAAGTGACTTGGAAGTTGAATGGAGGAATTTAATCGATGTTTTTAGTGAAGCAGAGATGAACAGATTAAAATCCTTGGAAATAGATAAAATATGGTTAGAAATATCTTCAAAAAAACGTTTTGATGATACTCTCGCTTTTCCAAATTTATCACAACTTGCTAACACACTTTTAATATTACCCCATTCAAACGCCGAGGCAGAGCGTATTTTTTCAATTGTCACCGACACGAAAACAAAAAAAAAGGAATAGATTAGCGGAAAAGTCCTTAAATTCCATATGTGTATTCAGAAGTGCTTTGCAAGCTACGGAAAATGATGTACGGCAGTATCAGATAACGGAGGATCTTCTGAAATTACATAACGTAAACATGTATTCTTTTAAGAACAAAAATTCATAAGTTTTTACTAATTTGTTAATTTCCTATTTTCTGTAGGTATTCTGTATTAATTTATTTTGTTAGTTGTGTTTAAATTTATATAGGATGTTTTGTTTGTTTTTATTTATGTATATGTGTTTATACTGTTTTATGTTTTGAGATTTTATAATGCAGAATATACAATAAAAAGTGGCAATTTTGTATAGTCTGTCCAACTTAGAAGATCCTTGACAGTGATAGATGTGTCTGTCATTTTAATTTCAAAGTAGTTTATTTTATTTTACAAAGAAATAAGTTGGTACAACTCGAACGCATAGCAGGAAATATTTAAAATTTGATTGACAAAGATGACAAGTGATTACTTCAAAAATATTGTGAAAAAAACTGTATAAAACTGAAAAATGTAATCGAAAGTTATTTTATTTAATAAAACCGGTATGTGTTAATACAAAACAAACAAGAAAAGACACTACATACAAAAAAATATAAAAAAGAACTATTTTTACTTTCAAGCTTTATGAAACTACCCGCATTTTATGATTATATTTATCAATATAACTTATGTACAAATACAAATTTGTAATATTCCACAGGAATAAATAAAACAACATAGGTAAATAAAACAAACTATTTTATTAATAATAACACCTACCAACTTTTTATACCTTAAAGGTTGATTAATTAACTTTAATCTTAGATAGGAACTATCGGAAGAGAAATAGCCATCTTATCTGATAGTCAAGCAGCGTTAAAGGCGATCAACTCAGTATCAATCAATTCGAAATTGGTCAATGAATGCATAGAGAAGCTGAATAAATTAGGCAAAGAAAACAAAGTCCCTCCACTGGGTGCCTGCTCACCAAGGGGGATGAGAAGGCAATGAAAAAGCAAAATAATCTAGCTAGGAAAGGAGCTAACACTCCATTAACTGGACCAGAACCGTTCTGCAGCTTCCAAGTGGTAATAACCAACTCAAGGCGGAACTCAAGAACTTGGAAGATTCCATCCGCAACCTGGAATGGAAATCTTGCAATGGTCTAAGACACTCTAAGAAGTTTCTGAGGGCTTATGATCAAGAAAAATCACAGATCTTCCTGGGTCTGAGTAAGAACAATCTTCCGGATTGTCACGGGTTTTTAACAGGACACTGTCTCCTCAATGAACACCTCAGTAGATTGAAACTAAGAAGAAACGGCGAATGCAGATTCTGTGGGGAAGATGGTGAAACACCAGTACACCTCATCACTGAGTGCGCCGAGACGACAACCAGTCGTGCCATGAATTTTGGTACGACTGATATTGGAGATGGAGAACTACCCTCTATAAAACCAAATACCTGACAGATACTGGCTTTTGTCAAAGCCCTGAGACTGTATGAATGATGAGTTATGATTCAAGAAAGGGGATACAATGGATCTGTAAGGTTGAAGTGATTAACCCTCTCCACTCATTCTAAATTCTAAAAAATTCTAAAAAAACTTTAATCTTAATTTTTAAACCAGTACCTCTTGACATTATTTTCTCTGCAGTACTAAAATCCATTATTTACCTATCGTGATGATGTCGATATTTTACAGCTACTCCAGTTTTTAGTATGTGTTTAGTTTAGATCCTTCTACCATATACGAGATGCACTTATCATGACGAGATGGTATACAAACTTTAACGATGGGGTGTATAAGACTTTCTGCCTGGGCAGCGAGTATTAACCATAAACTGTGCTCTGGGTCTACAGTTAATTTTCACTCGATTTTTCCTCCACTTGACTTCAAAGACACAATACACACGTAATAATACGAATCAAAATGCATCATCATCTCCAAAACGCAGGGTATTTAACAAAGTTGACACAAAATTATAACCTATAATTTGGCAAGACTTTGACAAGCGTCAAAATGACAAAAATCTAAATATGAGTTCATACGCATCGGCGACCGTTTATCGTTCATCGTTCCGTCAAACCAATAAAATTGAAATACGATCTGTCATTTTTAAATAAACCAATAAAACTGGAGAAAAAACAACAAGACACGACGCATGACGGATTTATATTTAAACCCATCCATAGATAACTTAAAAAATTATTAGAAACTTTTTTTAGTAAAATAAATAGATTGGTATAGACGTCATCTGCTTTTTCTTCTGTCATCGTCTGTCGAAATCTTACCTGAGAAAACAGAGTATACAGAGTATATAGATTGGCAACATGTGATGGGATTGAAAGCAGGGAAATTTGGTTCTAAATAGGGAATTTTTAGCATTCAGAAAGGGATTTTTCACTCCGAAAGGTTGGGAACACTGCTTCCATGTCCTTTCTTCTATTCATGGGGCGAACCCCAAATCGCGATACAACCAGGGTTCGGAAGTAGTTAACCAAGACGTAATTTACCTGATTAACTACGTGTAGTTTTTCTTCAAAACTACGTCTTTTCTGTTCATTAACTACATGAAAACTACGTTAATAAACTATGTATTGATATTATGAATAATTTTCCTTTGTATGAGGTGTAATAGAGATAATATGATGTAAATATTATATTTCAAAAGCCATATTTCTTCTGTTTTCTTAAATACATTATGTGTTTTTAAAGCTTCAACTTATTATAACCTCACCCTCAAACCTTTGACATTTGAAAGTTACATACATAGGGTTACATAAACTACACCCTCTACATAAACTACATTAACTACATGTAATGTAGTTTTATGTATTTTAAAAGTAACATGTAGTTTTCCGAACCCTGCCTACAACCTCGGTGGCGATTCATGAGAGTAGCGACACAACAAGCCATGGTTATAAACAAATTTGAAACTGCTGCAATTTTTTGTATGGACCTCATTGCACACAATAACAGAGCGAAATAAAAACGATTTGATTTGATCTACTAGTGTCAGTTTTAAGAATTAAGAAATAAAGATCAAGACATTGGATAACTGTCTCTAAAAAAATAAGGGATAAAGAATTGTGTATTAAGAATTACAAATTAGAGACTAGAAATAAGAATTAAGGAATAGCAATTAAGAAATTGGGTAAATCCGCCCTAATTCTCTTGTCAATTGTCAATTTTCTCCAGGTACCGAACATCATCGATAACGCACGATCTACGACGATTACTCCTTTGATCTGATTGGACGGTTCAATGACGGTTGGTTGCGTATTTTAATGTATCCTGATCAAATCGAACACCTAAACCACACATTTACTCATATCTAATCATATATCATAATAAGATCATAATGATTATAAAAATTGTGATCATATATCATATACTTTAATCATATTTTCAAACTAAATAACTATGAATCTGTGTTTATGATATTTTATTCCTATCTATGGTCTATGATCACAGAGTCACAGAAGTCATCTCTGGGTTATTTATAGGTTATGTCATGGGTTATGTGGCAGACTTCCGAAGGTAGCAAGTGCCCGCCACAGATTGGTTGGTTCCACGGGAGGAGAATAACAACCCTGAATGGCCGTCCAGCTGATATCTGTCAATCGAGGAAGAGGAAGGATTATTCTGTGGATAGACATTCGACCTTCAACATTCACGTTTCGCGCCAAGAAACCGAATTCTTATGTTTTGTAATAGTTATTTAGTTTGTAACAATTGATCGAGTTAATTAAATGACTTAATTATTTAGTGTGCCTAATTTGCTACCCGCAACGGCCACATTGGTGACCCCGACGAACGTGTGAGTGCAAGAGATTCAGATACGCAATGTCCACCTCCGACACGAACGACTTTCAAACCGACGATCAAGTCGTTATTGCCCGTGTAGGGATTAAAGCACCGGAGTTTTGGCGCACAGAGCCCGAACTATGGTTCCTACGCCTGGAAGCCCAATTCAGGCAAGCCAAAATAACATCTGATGACTGCAAGTTCGATCACACCGTAACAAGTTTAAACAGCGAGGTCCTATTAGAGGTAGCCGACATACTACTAAATCCAACTAGAGGTAGGGCCTACGAAGATCTCAAAACGAGACTGTTAGATAGATATGGCAGTAGCGCTGATGACAAAATTCACCAGCTTATGGAAATGACCTTGGGCGACCTTAAACCAACACAGCTTCTCCACCGAATGCAAGCTTTGGCCTCAAATAACGTTTCTACGCAGGTTCTAAAGAAACTCTGGTTAGACCGCCTACCACCCCAAGCCCGGGCAGTCATAGCAATCCTGGATGGAGACCTGGAGGAATTGGCCAAGAAAGCTGACAAATATATACAATGTTCTAGTTTTCCTATCATGGCCATGGACGGAAAGCCTTCGTTAAACAACAAAGTAAGTGTGGACGAGAAAACTGACGGGCACTGCTACTATCACAGGAGATTTGGGTCCCAAGCTAAGAAGTGTAGAGCACCATGTACCTTCTCAAAAACGATCAAGAGAGGGGCGCAGTAATCATGACAACCACTGCCCCCCATGCACCACGTCGCCTTTTCGTCACAGATAAAGCCCTAAAGCTGCAGTTCCTCGTTGACACTGGAGCCGACTTAAGTGTGCTGCCACGCAAAGCATGTTCTGCTTCAAAACCTAGTATGAGACGCCTATACTCTGCTACTGGTTCCTGTATTAGAACGTTTGGGCGAAACAGTTGACACTTGACCTTGGTTTTGGCCAGCCAGTCACATGGACCTTTGTTGTTGCAGATGTCACTACTGCCATCCTAGGTGCTGACTTCCTCGTACACCATGGTTTCACCGTAGATATGCGAAACAAGCGCCTTGTGTGTCCAACTATACCAAGCAGCATTACGTGTGTGTCTCGACGAGTAAGCGCGTTGAGGTGGGAATATCTACTGCCCATCCTTATGACCGACCAACGGATGCACCAGACGACCCTGGAAGAGTCCAGCACTATATCGACACCCAAGGCCACCAGTGTTCTCCAAGCCGCGCAGGCTTCCACCAGACCGTCCACAAGCTGCACGGGCCGAATTCAATCAACTTATACAAATGGGCATTGTTCAGCCATCAAAATCGCCATGGGCTAGCCCGCTTCACATGGTCCAAAAGCCAACGGCCAGTGGCGTGCTTGTGGGGATTTCCGTCGGTTAAATGCAATTACCAAGCCTGATCGTTATCCAGTGCCACATATTCAGGACTTTGCAAATCAGCTACATGGAAAGAAAATTTTCTCTACCATTGATCTTGTACATGCATTCCACCAAATCCCAGTCCGCCCAGAAGATGTACAAAAAACGGCTGTTATTACACCTTTTGGTTTGTACGAATTTCTACGTATGCCCTTTGGCTTACGTAACGCCATGAACACTTCAGCGGTACCTCGACCATCTCTTCCGAGGGTGTTCATTTGTATATGTGTACATCGACGACATACTGGTAGTCTCGGAGACGGAAGCAGAACACGAGCAGCACTTAGCAGTAGTTCTTCAGATCCTAGAAGCAAATGGACTCCAAATCAACAAAGAAAAGTCCAAATTCCGGATACGAGAGGCAAATTTCTTGGGCGTCACAGTCTCCCCAAATGGAGTCAGGCCTCTGCCAGCTAAAGTCAGTGCTATTCGCAGTTTCCGCAACCAACAACATACAAACAGCTACGTCGCTTCCTAGGGATGGTTAATTTCTATCGACGCTGGTTACTGAATGCTGCAAAAGAGCTTATGCCACTCACCGAGCTACTTTCCCACCAAAAGAAAAAGCAACAGGACCTCAACTTGACTCCAGCAGCATCAAGTGCCTTCACCAGAGTTAAAGAACTCCTAGCTACTGCTGCCGAGTTGGTTTTTCCAGCACCCCATGCTCAGTTGAGCATGTCAGTCGACGCTTCGGACACCGCGATCGGTGGTGTATTGCAACAGCTTGTTGGTGAGCACTTACAGCCTATTTCTTTCTTCTCACGGAAGTTGTCGAAGACGGAGCGTAACTACAGTACCTACGACCGCGAGCTGTTGGCAATATTTAGCGGTATTCACCATTTCCGCTACCTTCTTGAGGGCATGCCATTCATCATATACACTGACCACAAGCCCTTGACGTATGCCTTTCAGCAGCGACATGACCGTCAATCTCCACGACAGATCCGCCAGCTGGAATTTATTGGTCAATTTTCCACAGACATCCGACATGTCCAAGGAGAAAAGAACATTGTAGCCGACTGTCTCTCACGACCTGAGGTAGACGCAATAACATCACCCATCACCATTGACTTTGACCGGTTAGCTGAAGCTCAGACAACTGATGAAGGTCTACAAGAAGCTCTGCAGGACCCCACAAGCTCTTTAAACCTTCAACACATTGTCATACCAGATAGCGAACGACCCCTATACTGTTCAATCCAAGATGGACGTGTACGTGTGTACGTGCCGGCGACCTTCCAGAGGGATGTTTTCTTGAAGTTCCACACCCAGTCCCACCCTGGACACGCTGCTACGCTGAGAATGATCGCCGAACGCTTCGTGTGGCATAATATGAACCGTCAAGTCAAGCAGTGGTCCAGAGAGTGTCTTCAATGTCAGCGGGCCAAAGTAGGACGTCATACTGTTACACCCGTGACACCACTAGGAATGCCTGACGAACGATTTGCCCACATACATATCGACATTGTGGGACCACTTCCACCTAGTGACAATTTTCGATATCTACTCACGATCATTGATCGATTTACGAGATGGCCTGAGGCTATCCCTATTCGTGAGATAACTACTGAAGTAGTGGTACAAAAGCTCCTCGAAGGATGGATATCCCGCTTTGGTGTACCAGCGACCATTACTACAGACCGAGGCAGACAATTCGAGAGCCAGTTGTTCCGCCAGCTTAACACAGCACTTGGAGTACAGCACATAAAGACGACGGCTTATCACCCACAATCAAATGGATGTATTGAACGCTTTCACCGAACCCTCAAGGCTGCACTCGTCGCTGCTGATGTCGTATCCTGGGCCGAAGCTCTTCCCCTCGTCATGCTGAGCCTGCGGAACACCTTTAAACCGGACATCGCCTGTACAGCCTCCGATTTAGTGTTTGGTGCACCAGTTCGCCTCCCTGGACAGCTATTTGTTCCAAGTGCTACCCCAACCGACGAACACCGATTTGTTCAACGACTCCGTGAGACCATGGGAGCTTTGAGGCCTGTACCAACGAGCAACCACTCAGTTCGCACCGCCTATGTCCATCCCGACCTACAGACGACTACACATGTCTTCATACGTAACGACAAGGTGAAGCCTCCATTGACACCTCCATATAGCGGCCCGTACAGAGTTGTGGAACGAGATGACAAGTTCCTAACGGTGGACGTCCAGAATGTTCCCCAACGAGTCTCCATGGATCGACTGAAGGCAGCATATGTTCCAGCATCTCATCAACTGGCGGAGGAACATTCATACGCCAACCGTTTGCTGCTCAACGTATGCCAGCAGAACCGTTCACAACCAGTGGGTTCCACTCTGGGGGAGCCCTGTGGCAGACTTCCGAAGGTAGCAAGTGCCCGCCACACTCACTTTGTCGTTACGTATGAAGACATGTGTAGTCGTCTGTAGGTCGGGATGGACATAGGCGGTGCGAACTGAGTGGTTGCTCGTTGGTACAGGCCTCAAAGCTCCCATGGTCTCACGGAGTCGTTGAACAAATCGGTGTTCGTCGGTTGGGGTAGCACTTGGAACAAATAGCTGTCCAGGGAGGCGAACTGGTGCACCAAACACTAAATCGGAGGCTGTACAGGCGATGTACGGTTTAAAGGTGTTCCGCAGGCTCAGCATGACGAGGGGAAGAGCTTCGGCCCAGGATACGACATCAGCAGCGACGAGTGCAGCCTTGAGGGTTCGGTGAAAGCGTTCGATACATCCATTTGATTGTGGGTGATAAGCAGTCGTCTTTATGTGCTGTACTCCAAGTGCTGTGTGAAGCTGGCGGAACAATTGGCTCTCGAATTGTCTGCCTCGGTCTGTAGTAATGGTCGCTGGTACACCAAAGCGGGATATCCATCCTTCGAGGAGCTTTTGTACCACTACTTCAGTAGTTATTTCACGAATAGGGATAGCCTCAGGCCATCTCGTAAATCGATCAATGATCGTGAGTAGGTATCGAAAATTGTCACTAGGTGTAAGTGGTCCCACAATGTCGATATGTATGTGGGCAAATCGTTCGTCAGGCATTCCCTAGTGGTGTCACCGGTGTAACAGTATGACGTCCCTACTTTGGCCCGCTGACACTGACCACTGCTTGACTTGACGGTTCATATTATGCCACACGAAGCGTTCGGCGATCATTCTCAGCGTAGCAGCGTGTCCAGGGTGGGACTGGGTGTGGAACTTCAAGAAAACATCCCTCTGGAAGGTCGCCGGCACGTACACGCGTACACGTCCATCTTGGATTGAACAGTATAGGGGTCGTTCGCTATCTGGTATGACAATGTGTTGAAGGTTTAAAGAGCTTGTGGGGTCCTGCAGAGCTTCTTGTAGACCTTCATCAGTTGTCTGAGCTTCAGCCAACCGGTCAAAGTCAATGGTGATGGGTGATGTTATTGCGTCTACCTCAGGTCGTGAGAGACAGTCGGCTACAATGTTCTTTTCTCCTTGGACATGTCGGATGTCTGTGGAAAATTGACCAATAAATTCCAGCTGGCGGATCTGTCGTGGAGATTGACGGTCATGTCGCTGCTGAAAGGCATACGTCAAGGGCTTGTGGTCAGTGTATATGATGAATGGCATGCCCTCAAGAAGGTAGCGGAAATGGTGAATACCGCTAAATATTGCCAACAGCTCACTCGCGGTCGTAGGTACTGTAGTTACGCTCCGTCTTCGACAACTTCCGTGAAGAAAGAAATAGGCTGTAAGTGCTCACCAACAAGCTGTTGCAATACCCCACCGATCGCGGTGTCCGAAGCGTCGACTGACATGCTCAACTGAGAATGGGGTGCTGGAAAACCAACTCGGCAGCAGTAGCTAGAGTTCTTTAACTCTGGTGAAGGCACTTGATGCTGCTGGGGTCAAGTTGAGGTCCTGTTGCTTTTCTTTGGTGGGAAAGTAGCTCGGTGAGTGGCATAAGCTTCCTTTTGCAGCATTCGGTAACCAGCGTCGATAGAAATTAACCATCCCTAAGCGACGTAGCTGTTTGTATGTTGTTGGTTGCGGAAAACTGCGAATAGCACTGACTTTAGCTGGCAGAGGCCTGACTCCAGTTGGGGAGACTGTGACGCCCAAGAAATTTGCCTCTCGTATCCGGAATTTGGACTTTTCTTTGTTGATTTGGAGTCCATTTGCTTCTAGGATTTGAAGAACTACTGCTAAGTGCTGCTCGTGTTCTGCTTCGTCTCGAGACTACCAGTATGTCGTCGATGTACACATATACAAATGAACACCCTCGGAAGAGATGGTCGAGGTACCGCTGAAGTGTCTGGGCGGCGTTACGTAAGCCAAAGGGCATACGTAGAAATTCGTACAAACCAAAAAGGTGTAATAACAGCCGTTTTGTGTACATCTTCTGGGCGGACTGGGATCTGGTGGAATGCATGTACAAGATCAATGGTAGAGAAAATTTTCTTTCCATGTAGCTGATTTGCAAAGTCCTGAATATGTGGCACTGGATAGCGATCAGGCTTGGTAATTGCATTTAACCGACGGAAATCCTCTACAAGCACGCCACTGGCCGTTGGCTTTTGATCATGTGAAGCTGGGCTAGCCCATGGAGATTTTGATGGCTGAACAATGCCCATTTGTATAAGTTGATTGAATTCGGCCCGTGCAGCTTGTAGACGGTCTGGTGGAAGCCTGCGCGGCTTTGGAGAACACTGGTGGGCCTTGGGTGTCGATATAGTGCTGACACGTAATGCTGCTTGGTATAGTTGGACTCACAAGACACTTGTTTCGCATATCTACGGTGAAACCATGGTGTACGAGGAAGTCAGCACCTAGGATGGCAGTGGTGACATCTGCAACAACAAAGGTCTAAGTGACTGGCTGGCCAAAACCAAGGTCAAGTGTCAACTGTTTCTGCCCAAACGTTTTAATACAGGAACCAGTAGCAGAGTATAGGCGTATCATACATAGGGTTTTGAAGCAGAACATGCTTTGCGTGGCAGCACACTTAAGTCGGCTCCAGTGTCAACAAGGAACTGCAGTTTTAGGGCTTTATCTGTGACGATTAAGGCGACGTGGTGCATGGGGGCAGTGGTTGTCGCGATTACTGCGCCCCCTCTTGATCGTTTTTGAAGGTACATGGTGCTCTACAGATAGCTTGGGACCCAAATCTCCTGTGTGGTAGTAGCAGTGCCCGTCAGTTTTCTCGTCCACACTTACTTTGTTGTTTAACGCAGGCTTTCCGTCCATGGCCATGATAGGAAAACTAGAACATTGTATATATTTGTCAGCTTTCTTGGCCAATTCCTCCAGGTCTCCATCCAGGATTGCTATGACTCCCCGGGCTTGGGGTGGTAGGCGGTCTAACCAGAGTTTCTTTAGAACCTGCGTCGAAACGTTATTTGAGGCCAAAGCTTGCATTCGGTGGAGAAGCTGTGTTGGTTTAAGGTCGCCCAAGGTCATCTCCATAAGCTGGTGAATTTTGTCATCAGCGCTACTTCGCCATATCTCTCTAACAGTCTAGTTTTGAGGTCTTCGTAGGCCCCACCTCTAGTTGGATTTCGTAGTATGTCGGCTACCAATAATGACCTCGCTGTTTAAACTTGTTACGGTGTGATCGAACTTGTCAGTCATCAGATGTTATTTTGGCTTGCCTGAATTGGGCTTCCAGGCGTAGGAACCATAGTTCGGGCTCTGTGCGCCAAAACCTGGTGCTTTAATCCTCTACACCTAATAACGACTTGATCGTCGGTTTAAAGTCGTTCGTGTCGGAGGTGGACATTGCGTATCTGAATCTCTTGCGTTTTTCACGTTCGTGTCGGGGTCACTGTCCTTGCCGCTGCGGGTAGCAAATTAGGCCACACTAAATAATTAAGTCATAGCCATAACTCGATCAATACGTTACAAACATAAATAACTATTACTAAAAAACATAAGAATTCGGTTTCTTGGCGCGAAACGTGAATGTTGAAGGTCGAATGTCTATCCACAGAATAATCCTTCTTCTTCCCCGATTGACAGATATCAGCTGGGTGGCGATTCAAGGTTGCTACTCTCCTCCCGTGGAGCCAACCAATCTGTGGCGGGCACTTGCTACCTTCGGAAGTCTGCCACAATACTATAAAGATAAGGATATTTCGATTCCTATCTTCCTGCACTGTCAGTTTTTTTTACATCATCTACTGACTGAGTTGAAGTTGGCGCTAAAGATTTTAAGCCGGAGTCTCATGCATCCGAAATCCGATGGTACGACATCCGAAATTTGAAGTTATCGTGTGAAATAAAAAAAGCCTGTCACATACATCCGAAAGTTCGTTCCGAAATTTGACAGTTTTAACATTTTCTGCTGCGCTGAATAGAGATTCATGTCATGTTTTATTGGAGAAACACTTATAAAAATAACTTCCTCGCCAAATATCCCGAAATTGCCCACTTCCCACTAAACTTGTTTTTAAAAACAAATGTTTTCAAAAAAAGTGAGGTTAAAAAACACACGATATCGTACAAAAGTTAAGCAAAATTTAACTTTATACGACGTCGGATGATTAGTTAAAATTATCGGATAAAAATTGTTGTCAAAATATTTCGACCAATAGGAGCACCGTCGGATCGTCGTCATCGGATTTCGGCTTTAGACAGTGACAGTTATTTTTGCATTTGACGCTCGAGCGCACAGTGCGTTGGAAGATGAATTTAGCGGGACAAAAGCGTTTGGTTAGAAATAAGTCAAAAAATGTGTACTGATAAGAATAAATAGTAGACATTCCAATTGATACAAAAATGCATGAATATTCTTTGTATTTCGATACATTTTTATCAACCAAATTTGGTCGTTTTCTGCTCAGCAAGGCAGAGATCATACGAAAACAAAATATTTACAAGTGCTTATACATTTTATTAGAAAGCCAAATTATGTTGAAGATTGCCAAAGGTATGTACTTTTCTACTGTACGTATATTATTTGTTAAAATCCTTCGTGCCTTTGTTCTGCAGATATCAAACTTTTACTTTTTTTTCAAATATCGATATATTGAATGATGTAGATCTTTTGAGTTACCAATAGTTACCAACACAGGTAGTCACAGTCACAGGGAGTTCAAGCTTAACAGGTGAATGCCCAAAAAGATTCATTTTAATCGGATAGTATAAAAACAAAACAACTCCATCAAAAGGCACTGAGTTTAAAAAATTGTCTTATATACTTACTATATATGAATTTACAATTACCGAGTGTTAAAATTAAAATTAAAATATCTATCTTATTTATTATTTTCAAAATAAAATATATTTTTTTAAAATAAATTATAGAGGGTGTCACAAGATTACAAATTAATTAAAAAAACTGCTAAAGAGTTTTTTGATATCATAATTTCATGTATTTGGCAATAGTTTACAATACGGTTTTTGTGTGTCATGTACGAATAATATCATAGTTTTATTATCTTGTATTTATTTATTAATAAATTAAGTTGTTAATAAATAAATAAATTTAACCATATAGTTGCTATATATTAGACCATTTGCTACGTTCTTAGATTTGAAGTCCCAAACATTGCTCTTGAGATTTTGTCCCGCTAGAATAACCATCCGCCGCACTGTGGAGCGCTGGTCAGCGCGTGACGTAGATTCCACGGAGACTACGACAGCGGCGATTTGACGCGATCGAACAGTCCTCACAGGTTAGGTTATTTTTAGAAAAATTGGAAAAATCAGAAAAAATATGGAGATTGAAAGAAAGTTGAGTTTTGGCGAATTAAAGTTACAAAAATGGATTATTAAACAATGTTACTCGATAGGTATGTACATAATGTGTGTGTAATTTTATTGGTTCAATGTAGGTATTATCTTTATTATTTACAGGAATAAAAAGTCCTACATCTATACAGTCAAACTGTATACCCAAAATTTTAGAAGGCAGAGACTGTATTGGAGCTGCGAAGACTGGTAAGTACTTTGAAAGCATGCAAGAAGCTACTATACACTAAATTGCTTGAAGATGTATTTGTTTGAACTGGATTTTTATAAAGAATTTTTCTTATCGAATCAAGTTTATGCCATTTTTAGGTAGTGGAAAAACAATGGCATTTGCATTACCTATTGTTCAGAAGTTATGTGAAGATCCATATGGAATATTTGCATTAGTTTTGACTCCAACTAGGGAGTTAGCTTATCAAATAGCAGATCAATTTACCATTATTGGAAAACCAATGAACTTGAAAACTTGTGTAGTAGTTGGTGGAATGGATATGGTGGAACAAGGAAGATTACTCTCACGAAGTCCTCATATTGTAGTGGGAACACCTGGTCGATTAAGTGATCACTTAGAAAGTTGTAATACTTTTACATTATCTAAAATAAGGTTTTTGGTACTAGATGAAGCCGATAGATTACTGGGTATGTCTTAGAACTTTGAAATATTACATTATTTATAATTTAAATTAATTGTGTTTCTTTAGGTGGACATTTTGACGAACAAATAAAAGTTATATTCTCTGCACTGCCTAAAGCACGCCAAAATTTATTTTTTTCCGCCACTATTACGGACACATTAAATATATTAAAAAGTACAATAGGTGGTGAAGTATTTTTATTTGAAGATAAGAACCAAGGTGATGCAGCAACTGTGTCAGAACTTAAGCAGCAATATTTATTATGCCCTAAAGATGTCAAAGATGCATATTTAGTTGAACTGCTAAGAGATTATAGGACAAAAAATGAAAATGGAAATATTATGATTTTTACAGACACTTGTAAGTAAGTAATATTCTACTATTAATATTATTTCTTCAGTGTTTAATCATATTGGTATTTTAGATAGATTTTTTCAATATTTGATTAACACCTAAAGTCACTGTGAAAATAATATACATGCCAAATGTTAAATTAAATTATGGCTATGTTATATAATTTGTATACCCTGTTACTTTTAGAAAATGCCAGGTTTTGTCTATTACATTAAATGAAGTAGGTATAGACAATGTAGCCCTCCATGCAATGATACCTCAGCAACAAAGATTGGCAGCTTTAAACAGATTTAAAAATAATACTGTTAAAATACTTATAGCAACAGATGTTGCTAGTAGAGGTGAGGATAAATTAATATAAGAGAGCATTTGTCAATTACTAAATGACTAATGTTAAAAATTTAGGTCTTGATATTCCCACAGTCCAATTAGTTGTTAACCATAATGTACCAAAAGTACCAAAAGAGTATATTCATAGGGTTGGTAGAACAGCAAGAGCAGGTAGAGGTGGTTATGCTGTAACACTAGTTACACCTTATGATATAAAATTACTGAAAGCTGTAGAAGATCTAATTAATGTTAAATTAACCGAATTAAAAATTAATGGTAAGATAAAAATTATATTTATATATTTATATTCTATAGAAACTTTTTTTCTAAGCACTTTATTTTTCTTTAATTTATTTCTGGATTAATTGTAGATAAAGAAGTTGGGAAAATTTTTACACAAGTTTCAGTTACTAAGAGTGAAGCGTATATTAAATTAGATGAAACTGATTTTTATGAGAAGAAATTGACAAATTTAAGGAAAAAATGGATTTTGGAAGGTTTAGACCCGGAGGAAGAGGAACAGAAATTATTTAAAAAAGGAAAAATAGATAAAAAACAGAAGAAAACAACAAAGAAGAAAAAAATAAAGGCAAAATCTCTGAAATTGTGACATTAAATTAATTGTTGATTTTTTTTTACTACAATGAAAATAATATATGTATTTTTAATTATTATTACTACATTTTTAATCTAAAATTACTACAATGAGGGAGAGAACAACCACAAATTGCATATTTTTTCAGTTTTTAAAATGAGTGAAAAGGGTTGAAAATAATGACATTGGTTGAAAAATTATTCTATCGCTTTTAACAGAGATCCATATCCCTGGTTTGAAGCATATATCATAGAGAAACTAATTTTATATTTCTCTATGGCATATATATAATAATTATAAAATGGAAAACAAATTTCTTGCAGTATAGGTATATAATAAAATTATATAAGAATTCTTGCCACTTAACTGCTGATAGAAATTTAATTCCATGCTGTGTTTGTCATAATGTGGCTGCTCTCACTAACGGTGAGTTTGGGTCGATTCCTGATCTGATGATGGAGTAGGGCTCCGAAACCGGTAGTGAGAGCAGGTTGATCCACATTATGACGAACACAGCGTGGAATTAAATTTCTATATCAGCAGTTAAGTGGCAAGAATTCTTATATAATTTTATTATACAGTGTGTCAATTTTAAAACTTCCCACCCTTAATATCTTTCTTGCAGTTAAAAATATGAAAAATCGGAAAGACACGTCAATTTTATTTGTAAGGGGGACACTTTAAATTAATATTTTTAGTCTTTTTCTTTTAACCCACTAGGAGAGGTAGATGTCACCCTTACAATTTTAAATGGGAATGGGGGTCAAGTGGCGCATCGTTTTAAAGGACGTTTAATTCTCTTTTCAGTGGTATCCTACTTTGTTGCTTTTTGTCCAGAGGTTTCCGAATAATCGCGTTTGAAACTTGCAGAAACAATTAAACATACCTGCATTGAGATTATGGTTTTCAGGCTAGTGTTTATAAAAAACATTGCAATGGGTCTCCTTGTAGTATAAATAATTAGAAGGTTAAGTGGAAACATGGACGTAGCAATTATATTTTTCTAGGGGGGTCGAAATACTAATAAACAGAAAACGTCATAAACATTAACGTTTATTTTCTTAAATTCGAATGAGTGGCAACCTCTAATCAGTTATACAGGAGGATTTGTTAACATTCCAGCAGGACGGTGGCTCCACCTCGTTATTTTCTTCCGATCCGACAGTGGTTAAACGAGAAATTTCCGGGTACATGGATTGGCAGAAGGGGACCAATTGAATGGCTTCCTAGATCACCGGATTAACACCCTTAGATTTCTTTCTTTGGGGACATCTTAAATCCATTGTTTATAGAACACAACCTACTGATATTGATGATCTTAAAAGGCGAATTACAGCAGAATGCCGTTCAATTCCCGGTGAAGTTTTCCAAAATGTTAGGAAGGAGTTTGAAAACACACTTCATTATTGTTAACAGGAAAATGGACAACATTCTGATCAACTTATACGATAGGGCGTAAGTGGTGTAATGTGATCTTCTAATCTTTTGTACTATAAGGAGATCCATTGCAATAATTTTTGTGTAAACAATAGACTGAAAACCAAAATCTCAATGCAGGCATGTTTAATTGTTTCTGCAACTTTGAAACGTGATTATTCGGAAACCACTCGACAAAAAGCAACAAAGTAGGATACCATTGAAAAGATAATTAAACGCCCTTTAAAACGATGTGCCACTTGACCCCCATTCCCATTTAAGATTGTAAGGGTGATATCTCCCCTTCCTAGGGGGTTAAAAGAAAAAGGCTAAAAATGTTCATTTAAAGTGTCCCCCTTACAAATAAAATTGACGTGTCTTTCCGATTTTTCATACTTTTAACTGCAAGAAAGATATTAAGGGTGGGAAGTTTTAAAATTGACACACTGTATACCTATACCGCAAGAAATTTGTTTCAATTTTATAATTTGGTTTGCCTGAAAAAAAGCCTTTTACTATCGATAGTTGCGCCTCGGTGGTACGAAAGTACTCCCATTGCACGCAGGCCTCATCTCCCGTGCGGGACTTAATATCTAACCGCTACTTTCCGACAAGTTCGGAATTAGGTACTCTGCGCTATGTTTGTCTTTTGTTGAATCGATCCAAGCTCACTTGATGATGGAGTAGGGCTCCGAAACTGGTAGTGAGAGCAGGTTGATCCACATTGACAAACACAGCGTGGAATTAAGTTTCTATATCAGCAGTTAAGTGGCAAGAATTCTTATATAATAATTATATATATACAGGGTGGCGCCTCTCACACGACCTGGAGGCTCGAAGGAGAACGACAGTTTGAATTGAAATGGAAATTTTGTAAGCATATGTATATTAATTTAGACCATTTTCTAAAAATATAGAGAGTTCTACAGATCCAATCCAACCCCAAAAATATAATGACAGTAATGGTAAATGAAACACCCTATATATTAATTGATTTTCGGATTCTAAGAGAAAAATAAAGGCGAGTTTCATTAGAGTAATATTCTATAACCAAAATGTAGAGTAGAGTGGGACAAAATGACGCATTTAAGGGTTAAATGATTATAAAAACGACAAACTTCGAAAAAATATTTTCCTATGTAAAGAACCTAAACATTACTGTCGTGTGACCAACAGTGACCAACGGATCTGAAGCTACGGGGTATCGGCAGGGGAACGCAGTTGTAAACAAAACACGCCCGTCATTCATAAAATAGTCATGGGCGTACGGTGTTTTATGAAAACGTGTATATGAATATAATATTCAGATTAATATTTTTTTTTCAAAGAACTTTATGCTATAGTTTTACTTTAAATGGATTTACATTTTGATTAGTGATTTGCTAAATATAGTTAGATTTGTTAGAAAGCGTGTAATAATTAAAATTTGTTAAATTCCACGTTCACTTAAGCTTTTATAATGATTTTTCAAATGAGAATTCATCCGACCAAGAAAATTTTACAGAAATTAAAGAGTTACAATCACCAATACAATAATAATCTTAATCACTAATATAATTTTATGTATTAACGTAAATTGAAAGGTAAATCGTTGGTTGGTTGGTGGAAGTGCCGAGTGCCGACCGCTTGCCGAACTCTAATTAGCAGATGTCGTTTAGATACCACTTACGCTGCGTCCTACGTGGGAGACAAAAGCGAGCGGGCGACGCGTGTGACAACAGAGGGCGATGAGCGCGACATATTTGAATTGCCTACGATGCCGCTTCAGTCGCGCGCATCTCCTACCTAGGACAGCTTCGTAAGAAAACGTTGTTTGATAAATACGCGTCGCTCGCACCGCCCGAATCGCGCGCTTTTGTCTCCCACGTAGGACGAAGCCTTACTCTGAGACCCTATCCCTAGGTATGATAAAATTGGATTGTTAGGTTAAGTGTTATAACCATTCGGTGGCATTAAGGTAACGGGTAACTTCCGCTCTGCTCTTCCCGGCAACATCTTCAAGATTTACGAGGCTGTAGCCTCCTAGGAAATGATTGCGGAACCCAAAGTAAGGTTATGTCGTACCTACTTGCTATATAGGTTAACCGACAGGTTCAGCACCGACATGACTAAGCAGCCATGACTGTCAGTGATTATTGCAGTTTTTCGCTCGTAAGATGTCTCCTCGCTCAGCCATTGGCATGCCTTCCAAATGACATGTTATCTAATAAATATACCTATATATATTCCAATGAAAAGTATACAATAAATATACCTATTATTTTAATTACCTATAAAAGTATAGCTCTAAATCTATATATTTTTTATATGTTGACAAAAATTCTTCCAATCATCAGTGGATATCAAAGACATCGCTCCTTTGGCCTTTGGTGACTTCTTTTAAAATGGATAAGGTAATAAATTGCCCGTTGTGATTTGGCTTCTTATTAAAAACTTTAATCTTGACCAAGCTAATTCAATTGGGTTTAACCTTAGATTAAGAATAAAAGGTTTAACTCACGCATATAAGGATATCCACTCAAGTTTACGTTTAAGCGGCAACTTAAGCGAACTCTCTGTAGCTTCATCGTCGCAAACCCTATTATGAACACAAGGAAATAAACCAAATGAGACGTCATCCACGTTTATTTATATTTATTTTAGCTTAGCTAAAATATGTTGGTAAAATGTGTTCTTTTTATTTTAGCCAATTGCTATTATTCCTCTAGTCTGGCTATGTAGCGTCTTACCTTTAACAAATTTATTCATTTTAAAACACAAATATACGACCAAACACTTAATATTAATTAAAAAACTACGAACGTAAAACAATATAACAAGATTACAAAACAATAAAACACAACTTAACTATTAAATATACGAAAAATATAGGAATAAAGTTTAGGATAACCGGTATAAAATAATGAAAGAAAGTAATAATAATCAAAAGAATAACACCGCCACTGGATATTTCAATAGCAATCAATATTTCTACTCTTTTCAGAAGAGACCGTGAAGTTGGGGATTAAACTAGCCGATAGGAAAGGCCATGGCAATCGCGTGGTAACAAATCCTGTGACGTACTCTCGCCAGTGGCGCATCTAGAGATTGAGTCTGGGAGGGGTAGCAATATTTAAATAAAGTACAAAATTTAAATTAAATTTTCTATGAAAGGTACTTATTGTAGCTGTGGAAAAAGTAAACTAGGATTGGTGTGGATTTTCTATTTTGATTGGTATTATTAATTTCTTTTGTAAGAATTTTTGTTGTATACGACATTTTATCACTTAAACATTCTTCCTGGCAGGGGTAATTACCCCCATTACCCCTCCCGTATATGCGCCCCTGACTCTCGCCAATGATGTTCGATGAATTGCTGTCCTCCTTTCACGCAGTTGAGCAGCTCTGAACTGTCCAAGAACGCGATACTCTCACTCCATTCAATTGAGTCATAAAGTTCCAGAACTGTTCCGCGCCATATGGAGGCACCAGGCTATCGCGCACCGCTCCTTTCAGAACCGTTCTCGAGTAGCCCCAGGGCGTAAAGCCCGGAACTCGAAGTTCGCGAATGGAGGACAGCAAATGCTGTCCTCCATTCGCTGCTCACTGCTCAACTGCGTGAAAGGAGAACAGCAAAATAGGCGGCCATGCGCGGCGATGCCGGCTTGCCGATTGGAAAATCTT